AAGTGTACAAGTCTACATTCATACCAACCACTCAGCTCATACACCGTACTTTATCTGGTACAATGAAAGTTATCTAATGAAACTGTAATCAAAAATTTAGAATGCTTTCTGTCAGTCATCATCTCCCAACAAAAACATACATGTAGGAGTGATTGGATAAAAGATCTGATACAACATAAGGTACAATGTTTAGGTAACAGACAGAATATCTGATGTTACAGAAATGTTCCAAGTACACAACAGCTGTCTACTGCAGCGATAACACAAAATATCACAAAAACAACACAACCATATCTTATTTCATAAAAAAGGATGGGTTTTTATAAACTTCGTACAATCAATACCAATAGTATTAGAGAACAGAAGTACAGGAATGAGGGAAATAACCTGTTTTGTAGATTAAACAGGTAGCAATTTGTCAAGAAAGTATGAACAGTTCAGATTACTAATTTTTTTATTGGTAAATAATAAAATCAATATTTTATTTTTTTTTATTAAGTAAAGAAGTGTAAAACAATTTTTATGTCTGTTTCTAATTACAAACTGAAAAAAATACAGATATATATCCTGATATAAAACCAACCCCCATCAAAATAGCGTCAATTTCAAAACAATTGAAAAATACACATTAGGTTGAAATCAGCCTCTATGTTTGAAATGAAAAATTAATTGCTTGCTGGAACCCTTTGACAGGAGATAGTGACCAGCTTCCCTGGCACAGCACTGTTATAACCTGATACCACCAGAATCGCACACAATGAATTATTAATGGCTTACGTCCAAACCACATAACAATACAAACAATTCTGCCTGAAACACTCCATTGATAATGATGCTAGTAAGCCTGTCATTTTATCTCATGTTAACTTATCACAGGAAATCCAATCCACTGGTCAACCACTGTACTAATGTAGCTATACTCAAACTTCCATTACGTCCTTACCATCCCAATAACCAGAGTGGATTCTGCAATCCATTGATAGAGACTGTGCTAAAGGAGATTTTGGGAGTGGACAGGGTACTTATGATGAGCAAGGGTCTCATTATAATATTTTTATTCAATGGATGCATTTCATGGATGTATATATAAATGTTTACAAAGGCTAATCTTGTAGAAAGCTCAAAATCACAGGCTCGCATGTCAACATACAAAACTAAATGAATCCAACTTAATGGTCTGAACTTGTCACATGGAACAGACAAATAGCCAAAGTTACGAGATTCAAACCAGTACAGATCTTATCTCAGGCAGAAATGCATATCCTGTTAGGCTATTGGATGAGCGATACCAAATATGGTTTGAATGTGCACAGCATCTATTTGAAGTTTTCAATATTACCATAGATAGGTTAACCAGATAAAAAAAATGTTCCCTCGATTAAAAACATCTAATTAATCAAAACAAGACCATCGTCCTCCTATATTAATTGAAAAAATAACGCGAAATTAATCTCACTAAAGTGGTTTACAGGTGACCTCAAAACGCACAAATATTTAACATATTCCTCATTACAAATATTGGTTCGACAAATGGTTGAAATCTACTTGTTCACAAATACATAACCCGTATATGTAAACTTTATTCATTTCACAACAATTGCAAAACAAGCTGATAGGCTATATAGTAATCACTCTTGTAGGCTGAATGGAAGCTGATGAGGAAGGAAAACAATATTCCAGGATAAAACTTGTGTGGTTGGGCAGGTTACCCCAAACCTTTTCATGTTCACTTCTGGAGAATCACATAACAGATGTATAAGTTAACGGCGAGTGTGTTACTATACCAATGTGTCATTCGACTACCGAAATATTTTTAGTTTTTTTCCTTTTTTTTTCTCTTAAACAATTAACTTTTCCTAAATTTTAGTCCGAATTAAATAGAATTCCTTTTTACATCATGTAAATCTAGACATTTGACATGTCAATTTGACTCACAACCAAGTCTCCATATAAAAATGACTTTGAGATATCTATACTGCAAAAATGATAAACTGACTGAGGGACGTAAAATCACTGAGAGTAAAGAAATAAATAGAAGACTAGAGATAGAGTGAGAGCTCATGATATGGCACGAAATCTGAATGATATCAAAATCATTCCAGAGATGTGAAAGGTGAAACTGAACAGGGTAGGATCAGTGAAGTGTTACGATTAGCGTGAAGTGTTTACAGCTGGATACAGGTGACCAAGCAAAGACTATGTAAACAAAAACATACAAAGATGTAACGGACAAACTGATCAGGTCAATTCAGATGAAATTATGTATGACACATCTCACACAACAGGTTACTGACAATTCAAAGACATACAGTTATGTTTACAATGTAATTGATAGTGATAAGGTATTGTTACCATGCAAATCTATTCTACTAATGAAAACTCATGCCTATAAAATTCCAGCTACCTCAGTTTATGTTTGTCTGCTAATTGACTGCATGCTTCGCTGATTTGCCCTAAATATGCCCTAAATAATACATGCTTTGCGTATTGTCAGCTTCCAATTTCCAACAATATCTTTTATTTGACAAGGGACTTTGGTGATGTGTTGTGTTGGCTTTCCACGGTACATTCACTTGGTAAACTCACTTATAATTCATGTCTTTAATTTTGTAGGCATAAGTCTGGAACCAAATTCTCTTTTGATGTTTTATTAAATATTGTCAGTTTATGGAGTTTTTGGAGAAAGCTTCAATTTTAGGGTGTTGAAAACAAGGGATGAACTATTCAGCCATGAAATAACAGTGTAGCAAAACGTTAATATAATAGTAGCGAAACGTTAATATCATACAAACATGGCGTCAGTAGTCCTGTACACGTTATTTTCATTCAACATGATAATTACATGGCGACACTGTAGCGAGGGCAATGTGTATTTGATCTGTCTGCAGCTCAGTAGGCAATAAGACTTCCATGAAATATGTAAGCTTAGAGGTCATTAAGTCTGACAAAAGGAATATTTGGGAGACAGGATTGTTTTAATAGCTCCTACAAAAAACTCTTCATGTCTTTTATATCTAAATACTGTTCTTACTATGAACACACAACTGTGTCAGTGACATTTTTGGTTAACACTCTACAGGGGCAGGAAAACAAGGTTTTAAGTTTGTTAGTAATCTACAGGGGCAGGAAAATGAGGTTTATAACTTTGTCAGTACACTATAGGGGCAATAAAACAGCTCATGTTTGTCAGTACTTTATAGGGGTAGGAAAACATGCCTTAAGTTTGTCAGTGCCCTGTAGGGGCAGGAAAACAAGGCTTAAGTTTGTCAGTACTCTGTAGGGGTAGGAAAACAAGGCTTAAGTTTTTCAGTACCCTGTAGGGGCAGGAAAACAAGGCTTAAGTTTTTCAGTACCCTGTAGGGGTAGGAAAAACATGGCTTTAGTTTGTCAGTACTCTGCAGGGGTAGGAAAAACATGGCTTTAGTTTGTCAGTACTCTGCAGGGGTAGGAAAACCAGCTTAAGTTTGTCAGTACCCTGTAGGGACAGGAAAACCAGCTTAAGTTTGTCAGTACCCTGTAGGGGTAGGAAAACCAGCTTAAGTTTGTCAGTACCCTGTAGGGGCAGATTTACGTTAGGAACATAAAATCTTTATTTGATTTAAGGAGCCAAAAATTGCTTAGCAAGAAAAACATGGACATTTAAAAAAAAATGGCTTTAATTTTTTCTGGTATTTTACTTTTTTGAAAACTGCTCAAAAAGCGAAAAATATTGAGCTATATTTCAAAAGAGGTGACTGTTATTTCATTTTTTACTACTTTCAACCAATAATCCCTGATTAGGAAGCAAACTGACAGCAGTGATATTCCATGTAAGATTTTGTTGAAATCTACACAAGTCTTCCTTAATTATACTCAGGAGAAGGACCATATAGCAAGCTAATAGCATTTCCATCTAATTAAAAGCTCAGTTTTAGCAGATTAATAAAACTACAGATGATGAAGTATGAGAAAAAAAATTATAAAAGATTACACTAGATTTATTTATATTGAGTTATCCTTGCTACCTCAAGTCAACATCCCTACATCAATATAATGATAGTGTTTACAATCACTGACTACAGGGAATCAGTCAGTCATGAGATTCTGAATGAAAAATACTTAATGACCTGGATTTAATAAATGATCATAGCAAAAATTGAAATGATCTCTTATAAAACAAGGCACATGTATTATTATCCTGGTAGTTGTAGGTATAACACCTGTATATGGATGAGTAGCTCCAACTATGATAATGAACTTCAAAAATGTTTCCCATTTTAATGGTAGAGGTGAGTATATACATGTACAACATTGGGTCTTGGAGGGAAGTTACATATAAAATATTCATCTCTGAAATATGATATTTTTACCATTGAAATGTAGAAAATTATATAAAATAGAATAAGCTGCAGGAATAAAGCAGCTGGCACCCCTACAGAATGGTCACAAACTGACGGACGGATGTATAGATAATGTTATATATACTTTTTATCAAACACAATGGCTGGATGATCAAGCGATGAATTCATAAACCTTTTGATGCTACATGAACATAAATATACTAAGTTCTGTCGGTCTGTTCTGACAAGCACCATTCTACAATCAAAAAGTAGGCACCATATTAATATACTGCTGATATAGACTAAGTGACTTACTGGTACTTTAATCAGGAATGCGAAAAAACTTTCAATGAAAAAACCAGTCATAAACAAAAAATTTAGTCTAGCAGCACACCAACTAAAACGCGTCCTTTATGATTTTATCTCTGCCAAACACACTACCACTCTGAACCTTTAGTACTGACAATCATGATTATGCAAGAAGGTTTCAAAGTTACAGTTTTTTTTCTACTAGAATTACAATCAATTACTTCAACAACAACAATTATTTATCAGAAATAACAACTGATAAAATAACAAATTTTGGCCTCTACTGAATCACTGCTCATACATATCCACGTAGTCATAATGTCTTAAAAAATATCACAGCACTTTGAGATTGAGGATCATCAATGTGACAGCTCATGCTGTTGACTCATTTGGAATGACAGGTGGTTTCTTGGTGCCATTCCGACTGCCTCTGCTGCCTTTACTAGCTTTACTGTCCACTGATGCTGTATCACTCATGACATTGTCTTTGGAACCCCTCTTCTTTTTACCATTTTTCCTACAAAGGAAGAAACAATACATTTAGAAGTAAAAAGATTGTTAGTCTGTCTGGCTGTAAGACTTGCAGCATCAGTGTTTTAAGTTTGGTATGTTTATAACCATAAGTTTAATTGTTGGTGTCATCAGTTAAATCAGGAGTGTAAACAGCAGCTGTAATATACTCATTATATTTTTGGACTAAAAATTTTCTGTCTATAAAGATTAAAGTCATCATCCATGTGAAAAAAACATAAGTATTTTGCCTGAGTTCTGTTTATATTTGTGTGTTTTTCTATAGGTTTGCTACATAATCTCACAGCATGTAAACTGTTTTGTATGTGAGCTATTTTGGACATCAGATTGTCATCAACAGAAAGGCGTCCCTATCATGAGTACTCCCAACCACAATATGTGTCGCTAAAGACACAGACTTCCCCCTGTCTTGGGGCTGGAATCATGTGTATCGATACTGACTACAGCCAAGTTAGGGAGGGTGTACTGGAATCAGGTGTGTCTATACTGACTACAGCCAAGTTAGGGAGGGTGTACTGGAATCAGGTGTGTCTACACTGACTGACTACAGCCAAGTTAGGGAGGGTGTACTGGAATCAGGTGTGTTTACACTGACTACAGCCAAGATAGGGAGGGTGTACTGGAATCAGGTGTGTCTATACTGACTGACTACAGCCAAGTTAGGGAGGGTGTACTGGAATCAGGTGTGTCTACACTGACTGACTACAGCCAAGTTAGGGAGGGTGTACTGGAATCAGGTTTGTCTATACTGACTGACTACAGCCAAGTTAGGGAGGGTGTACTGGAATCAGGTGTGTCTATACTGACTACAGCCAAGTTAGGGAGGGTGTACTGGAATCAGGTGTGTCTATACTGACTGACTACAGCCAAGTTAGGGAGGGTGTACTGGAATCAGGTGTGTCTATACTGACTACAGCCAAGTTAGGGAGGGTGTACTGGAATCACAGGTGTGTCTGGAATACTGACTGACTACAGCCAAGTTAGGGAGGGTGTACTGGAATCAGGTGTGTTTACACTGACTGACTACAGCCAAGTTGGGGAGGGTGTACTGGAACCAGGTGTGTCTACACTGACTGACTACAGCCAAGTTAGGGAGGGTGTACTGGAATCAGGTGTGTCTACACTGACTGACTACAGCCAAGTTAGGGAGGGTGTACTGGAATCAGGTGTGTCTACACTGACTACAGCCAAGTTAGGGAGGGTGTACTGGAATCAGGTGTGTCTACACTGACTGACTACAGCCAAGTTAGAGGGTGTACTGGAATCAGGTGTGTCTACACTGACTGACTACAGCCAAGTTAGAGGGTGTACTGGGATCAGACTAAATCAACATGACAGACAAAAAACCACACACACATTATATACATTAACTACTTTCTTTTCAGCTGCTCAGTTTATTCTAATCAGTTGAAGTTTAGCAAAAAAAAACTAGAAACAAAATTTTTTGTGTGTATAAGTTTAAAAAAATAGAGATAAATTTTGTAGTAAGTCCAGTGTTGCCTATGATTTCATACGGTGTCTATCTGTTTTCCAATAGCATCAAAAAATCACTTTTGTTGTCGCGACAATCTCTCACACGACACGCTCACAATCAACATACATATGCTGGAGCCATATGTGGAATGGCTACTAGCAGAGTGACTGAGGAATTCTTTATCATCTCTGTATGCTTCAAAAACCAGACAGTATAACACATGGTACAGTAGATTTCTCCTGACAGGAAGTACAGACACCAATGTGACATGTCCCATCACAACACATCATAATGAAATGATATGCTTTTTACATGATTGCGATGAATCCAGACAAAAACTAATCCTCCTGTTACAGTTCTCATCGCACCATATGACCTTTTCATATTGTACCATTCCAGGAAATCAAAAGCACTTCAGGCTAAACACTGGTCAAGACTGCAGGCAATATCAAACAAGTGGTCGAGTGGCCATGATAATCACATGATCAGGCTAAAGGTAATGTAATCGCTGACAAAACCATACATATATGGGTTTTGCAATTTCTGGGCTGTGGCATGTCTCTGTTGTTTCTGACCTGGGGGGTAGGGTGTATTTGAGAGTAACCATGGTAACTCTGTGGTAGTGTTCCTGGAGAATGTGAATGCCCAAGAAGAGAATAATACCCTCTGGGATGTACCTGATTTTTTCAAGTTTGGGTAGGGGGACACAGTTTTCCTTGTTGCAACATCTAAGACGTTTGTCTGTCATGATCAATGTAACATTCTGTTAGAAATATTAAACATTTTGAAGTAGTTACTTTTAAGTTCAAACAAAGTTCTTGCATGAAGCCCTGGGACCTCTAAACTGTTTACTCATTTCAGTGATAATGAATACTAAATTGAAATCTATCAAGTTAGACAAGAGTAGATCTGAAGATTAAACATCCTTGTTGTCCTCTTTTATCCATAAAAAGTGGCACATGTACTTCTCATGATTTTAAAATTGTGATAAGACAAAGATGTGATAGTCTTGCTTTCAAAACTTTTCAAAATATACTACTTTGGTATCTTTTATTTAAATGTCGTTCAAAGAAATTTGTAAGAAGATCTTTCTCTTCCAAACTTAAAATTATGGAAGTAATTAATCTTAGTTGCCATCAAATAAAATCCCTCCTACCTAGCTAGCTATTAACTTAAATCCCTCCTTGCTAGTTAGCTAGCTATCAACTAAATTCCCACCTAGCTAGCTAGCTATTAAATTAAATCCCTCCTAGCTAGCTAGCTAGCTAATAACTTAAATCCCTCCTTGCTAGTTAGCTAGCTATCAACTGAATTCCCTCCTACCTAGCTATTAACTTAAATCCCTCCTAGCTGGGACATCAGTATTATAGTCCTGGACCCGTATTCACGAAACCATTCTCATGCTCGAGCACAGATTTTGTGCTCAAGCTAACTTTTTTATAATTCACCTAAATCATAAAAAATAATACAAATGTCAAATATAAACTGTGAATATAGCTTTTACTTGAAGTCCTTTCAAAATTTGTTTCAAATCTTTGGCAAAATCAGTCTTATTTATAAATTTTTAACTTAAACAAGACATAAGGCTTCATCACAAAATTCATGCTTGAGCATGAGAATGCTATAATGAATACGGGCCCTGGACTTATGGCCCAAGATATCTAGCGATGGGACATCAGTATTAAAGTCGTGGACTTACGATCTAAGATCTCTAGTGCCGAGACATATGTACTCTGTTGAAAACATAATGTTGAATGAAGGTCAAGGCTTTTGTTTTTGTTTTCTTTGAATCGATATGCATGAGCTACCCATTGATCAGTGATGCTGACCACGTACATATGGCCGCATATCACCTGATGAACTTTATCTTTTCTGACTATGAAAGGACCACAATTTTTTCAGACTGTTTAAGTGACCTGGAACAAAAACCCTGATCTTGTAGCCAGTATACAATTATTGAGAATGGATCAAGCAAATCTTTTACCAAGGGATTGAGATGTAATGATACTCCTATGTGTTTCTCTCCAGGGAACTTTTACCAATGAAATGGCCGTTCAGATCATCAGTTGTCATAGCAACCAATCAATACCTTTTGATCACTAGTATCTTCAATTACAAAAGACCCATAGGGCCTCCATCACTCATATGGATAGTTGAACATGCTGGACAGCGCCTCTTAGTACTATGAACAACTATGATGTTGTTACATGGACCTAAAGATTCCTCACTTCTTAGCCAATTAAGTTAATGTATGACCACTTACATGCCCAAATAAGGACTCTTCAGAGTCTTGCCTATTTATCCTAAACAGAAAAATTCAGTGTTGTATGACATTTATACAAAAACTGATTCAATGTCCTAAAGTCAAGCCTAAGACTTAAAATACTCTTATCCCAAGTATTCACAATCTAGGCCAGACCCCCGGCTTATTCAAGTAATAGCACATCTTTATCTCAAATTTCAAAATAGCTTAAGGAAGGGGTCCTCACCTACTTCCATGTTACGACCAAGAAACAAACACACAATGAGCCAGATTTAATCCTGAACTGTGGCCTATGACACAAAGGAATCCATAGATATAAAGGATACTTAACTTGTATAGCTCAGAGAAAAAAAATCGCTGATCAAAGACAGAATTTTAAGATTGGCACAAACTTCATAAATCCTAATCCTACACACAGAAAAGTATATAAGGATGTGATGAATTGACATGAATCTTTAGAAAATCATTGAATTACATGTGTACAACTGCATTAAGCAACGACAACAAACATTTTAGTTGGAAAAATGAACAACACTAATCACAAAAGGGGCATAACTCAAAAACAAAATCCCTTCCCTACCCTGAACAAGTAGAAGTTGATAAGATTGATATCTTTTACCCCCCTTTTCCAAGAAAAATGTCTTGCTCAGTTTTCTTTGGCCAAACCATACCTCTGCTCAAATTCACACAAATTTAAACAAGAAATTCCAGAATATTAGAATTTTGAAGAAAAAGCTGATATATAGACAAATTCTGTACCACAGATAATCTCCTCAGGCCCTTTAATCCAGGTAAGCATAAAACCGAATAATGATATTGTCATGGACATGTTACTACTATTGAAAGATACGCGTTATGTATTGAAATTACCCTGAGTATGACCAGGAGTCCTATCTGTGTCTCGTCCCCATAGCAACAGTTGCCAGCCTTCAGTCAGTCAGTCACCACTCTAGCTACAGTCGAATACAGTACTGAGATCATAACTCCTGTTATGACTTAGTATAAACATGTATAAAGATAAAGACAAAAATGATACACCACCTTTCTCTTTGTTACTCCACAATACAACATGGATATTGCTCTTTCAGATATGTTTCTAAGTTTCTTGAAATTGTGTTAATATAGGTTACAAAAACATTTTCAAATGCATTTTTTTTTTCCTACTAAAATCTCTTTATGACTCCAGGAGCGAAAGAAAAAGACAGAGAGACAGAAAGGAAAAGAGAGGTATCAAACTCTTAATCATTGCTTTCCCATGTAATATCACGAACAACCCATCTTCAACTATCAGCAGTCATTAAAAAAAGTAGATAAAACCTATATTTACAATAATGAAGATTTTTTAACAAGTGTACTTCACCTGTCAGTCGCCTGAGAGTAAAGAGCACATTATGGTAAAAATTTTATGAATTTTTCACCGTTGAGTGGCTATCATTGATGTGACAAAGTGCATTGTACTAACTTACTCCAGTCTACAACAGAATCTGACTAATTAGTTCCATATAAACTGTTACATGTGACATCAACAACCTCTGACGGAATTCAAAATCATTTGTTTGACAGAATTCAAAATCATTCGTTTTACAAGGAATCATGATTAAAAGTAAAAATTATTGTTTTGAAAGAGATGTTGTATAATTTATATTTGTATACAAAATGATTGATGTGGCTATCAATTGTTCATCTCTACCTCAGACAGAATCACAAATCACCCAATTCATATTTATATAAATGATAACCAACATGAATATTTACACATCACAGAAGTGTTAATCAATATATTTTTTTTTTAACAAAGACAAAAAATACTGCTACGTCATTCCTAATGATAAAATGTTGTAACAGTTTGGATCATCCAAGCATAAGACTGTAATAAGGAATTCGCATCTAATTAGCATTTTCAACCAGGTACAAGGTAAAAAAAAAAAATTGATTGAAACAATAACAATTTTGAAACATTGGTGAGGTCCTTTAGAAAGGAGTAAAACACACCACCTTGTATAATTGATAGGGGTACTAGATTTTAAATTAAATAGCACAGTTTTCTACAGGAAATGTTTTTACATAAACCATATGCATTATACGATAAAGTAATTATGAACCCACTGAGTTTCCATTTTACACCTGGTGACAACAACATTTATGTGGATTTTCTGGGATGATCTGTGATCACGCCTCACTGAACAAAAGAAAAATTGTACATGTACCACAAAGATAACATGATTACGACTGATTCTAACAGATAACGTTTTTTGTGTAATTTCTTCAGTTAAACAGTCTTTCACTCATTTGCACCAAAACTTCTACTTCATGTGTCTTATAATACAGCGTAGGTAGATAACAGTATATGTAAAAACGTTTTCAAGTACATGAATTTGATTTTATCAAAATACTGTTATATAGCAAGTATCATCTGAAAAAATAAAAAGAAGAAAGGTTATTATTCTAGATACTTTTGCAGACACACCTACAAAAGCAGTAAAACAAGAGATCCCAGAGGTTACCTTGGTGTACACCATTGTTTGGTTTTACTTGGGCTTTAAAAGTTGGATCTTTTCCCTTGTTTCAATTCATCAATTTCTTTAAAGAAACAGCAAACATACCTACATACGAACTTTGAGAAAGTTCAATACTGTGCTTTTCAAGAAATAGTGACAGCAAACTTTGATAGTCAAAATTCAAGATGGTTGCCTATCAGCCATTTTGTTTTTCTGATCAGTGATCAAGACGAATACAACCAGTGACCATGGGGTACCTACAAACAAGACTTGAGGAAGATCTATTCAGTATTTCTCAAGAAATAGCGATAAAAACATTCTTTTTCAAAATCTAAGCTGGTCAGCTGAATGCCATTTTGTGGTTATAATCAGACCTAAAATAAAGTCAGCACAAAAATAAACAAAGAAGGACCTGCAAAGGCAAACTGAGAGAGTTCCATCCAGTTCCTCTCAAGAAATAGCAATAACAGGAAATCCTTACTGACGGGCGACGTATCACCGATGTAGGACAATTCGAATAGCCCACCATCTGATGATAGTGGGCTAAATACGACAAGAGCCAGGTTACATAGTAATACCCTATAGCCATATAAAGACAATGTGTTAATTCCCACCAACCCAGTACATAACACAACTTAGTCTGACAATATGTTGATTCCCACAAACCCAGTAGTACATAATACAACTTAGTCTGACAATGTGTTGGTACCCACAAACCCAGTACATACCACAACTTAGTCTGACAATGTGTTGGTACCCACAAACCCAGTACATACCACAACTTAGTCTGACAATGTGTTAATTCCCACAAACCCAGTAATACATAACACAACTTAGTCTGACAATGTGTTGGTACCCACAAACCCAGTACATAACACAACTTAGTCTGACAATGTTTTGATTCCCACAAACCCAGTACATAACACAACTTAGTCTGACAATGTGCTGGTACCCACAAACCCAGTAATACATAACACAACTTAGTCTGACAATGTGTTGGTACCCACAAACCCAGTAGTACATAACACAACTTAGTCTGACAATGTGTTGGTACCCACAAACCCAGTACATAACACAACTTAGTCTGACAATGTGCTGATTCCCACAAACCCAGTACATAACACAACTTAGTCTGACAATGTGTTGGTACCCACAAACCCAGTACATAACACAACTTAGTCTGACAATGTGTTGGTACCCACAAACCCAGTAATACATAACACAACTTAGTCTGACAATGTGTTGGTACCCACAAACCCAGTACATAACACAATTTAGTCTGACAATGTGTTGATTCCCACAAACCCAGTACATACCACAACTTAGTCTGACAATGTTTTGATTCCCACAAACCCAGTAGTACATAATACAACTTAGTCTGACAATGTGTTGGTACCCACAAACCCAGTAATACATAACACATCTTAGTCTGACAATGTGTTGGTACCCACAAACCCAGTACATAACACAACTTAGTCTGACAATGTGTTGATTCCCACAAACCCAGTACATACCACAACTTAGTCTGACAATGTTTTGATTCCCACAAACCCAGTAGCACATAATACAACTTAGTCTGACAATGTGTTGGTACCCACAAACCCAGTAATACATAACACAACTTAGTCTGACAATGTGTTGGTACCCACAAACCCAGTACATAACACAACTTAGTCTGACAATGTGTTTATACCCAGGACATACCCAGTACATAACACAACTTAGTCTAACAATGTGTTGATATCTACAAACCCAGTAGTACATAATACAACTTAGTCTGACAATGTGTTGGTACCCACAAACCCAGTACATACCACAACTTAGTCTAATGATATTTTGATAACCAAATACCCAGTACATTTCTAAGCATGACAATATGTCAGTACCCACATACCCAGTACATAACACAACTCAATAACAATGAGCTGATGCCAAGATTTGCAGTACATACCACTGAAAACTTAAACATTGTAATTTTCAACATTGTTTGAATATAAAAAAAATTCCCAGAGGTAAAATCTTGAATTCATGAAAAAAAATCTTATTTAAATTCTACTTTCATTTTGAAATCTCATTAATATTTCTCATGAATTTATTTTCCATTTTTAAAAAGCTTGGTCTCAGAAATATGGTTGACTAATTTTTCCAGGCCATGAATGTTATAATTTAGATCCCACATAGATATACCTATTAGAAATTAATGAAGAACACCATGAAGTTGTGACATAAAAGGCAGCAAATTCTTCAGAAATTCATACTGTCCCTCCCAAGGGAAATAAGAACAACTCTTGGAGAAGTGACAGTCTTTCCACAGGTACCTAAGTAAGTACCTTGTGTCGCGACATGTGTAGTGATGCAGGACCTGGTCACATGAATGCCTGGTGCCACCATCACTGAAGTCATGTTCGGTAAAGTTAATAGCACCAGTGTTTCCCCGTAAAGTTTTATCTAATCTGCCAAGGAACCTGTTAATAATTAAGTATTTATTATCTTATCTTTTGATCTATCCAGCGTTCTGTTGACTTCCTGTCACTGACTCCCAAACCTGCATAACACTGTGACATTTTTTACTGGAAGGCTTTGTATAATTATAATAATTATCGTCAAACTCATTAAACAATAAGTATGATTAATTTCACACAAAATGTAACACTATGTTATAATCAGGACTGTTTTCAAAACATACAGAATTCATAAAGGGACGGTAAAAAAAGCTCTGAATAAGTTCAGCACTTACTTCAGAATTAACACTAACAATAAACACTGTCAGGCTGTGACACCAATGACTGATTAGTTTATGTCCATTAACAAGTGTCCAATGTTTCGTAGTACTTGATGACAATTCTAACATCATTGGAACAAGAGGCCCAATAGGCCTGAATTGCTCTCCTATTCTGAAGATGTTAAGCAAATTTATGCCATTACCATGACTCAGGACCTTTTGCTTGTTGAAAAGAACAAATCTTATGTTCTTAACACAACCGATCCTTGTGACCTTGAAAGTGGGTCAAGTTAATTCATTTGAATAAATCTGTTCGCCTTTCATCCTGTCATCCTGTCATACTACACAACCAACATCAGTACCATGGATTTTTGGTTATTGGGAAGATGTTGCTTAAAGAATTGTACATATTTGACCCCTTAGACCTTAAGTGGGTCAAGGTAATACATTTGAAGATTTTAACACTGGGATCTTGAAAGTGGGTAAAGGTAAATCAATTTTAATGAAATTACATTTCCCTAATTGGGTCCTCACCCCTCCCACCCCACCCCGTTTATAGAGAAATGGTTCCCCTTCACCTACTAACACTTCAGACCAAATTTGGGCAATATCCATTCATTCTTACAGGAGGAGTAGGATTTTAACGAATTTACACTATTTCCCTTATTTGGCCCCATGGACCAGGTGAGCTATAAAAATCTTAATTATTAAAAATTACTATATTGTATTGAAACTCCAAACAGCATGATCAACGAGAGGGGTGTGGTCACAAAGAAGTGTAATCAAAACCATGTCACAGACAACAATATAAGTCAACAGCATCAACTGATCCTAATTTGGGAATAAAAACAGCTACAAAGAAACCTTCTCTATTAGTATTACTGCTGAGAACAATTCACATTTATTGATAATTGATGAACACAAAATCCTACCTAGTTACAATGCAATAATTCCTAAGAGATCAAAACAGTGGCATTAACACAATTAAATTTTCACTAAAGCTGAAAATTTCAATTATTAACAATAAAGTAACGACTTAAATAATTAAAGACACATAAAATATCAGCTTTCAACCACAAAGACAATCAAAATGACACTATGTGACAACATACTGGAAAGCATTGTAAAAATGTCAGCAGAAGTATCTTTTATCACTGTCAGTGAACAATTATGTAGTGTCCATATTTAATAAACACTGAGATAACAGTCATGCCACTGGTAATGAAAAAAAGTCATAACTGGGATGTCTGTACCACAGGGACCCAGTGACATGCACAGGTGGGTGTCTGTACCATAGGGACCCAGTGATATTTACAGGTGGGTTTGTCTGCCACAGGGACCCAGTGATATGTACAGGTGGGTGTCTGTACCATTGTGACCCAGTGATATGTACAGGTGGGTGTCTGAAGCACAGGGACCCAGTGATATGTACAGGTGGGTGTCTGTACCACAGGGACCCAGTGATATGTACAGGTGGGTGTCTGTTCCACAGAGACCCAGTGATATGTACAGGTGGGTGGCTGTACAACAGGGACCCAGTGATATGTACAGGTGGGTGTCTGTACAACAGGGACCCAGTGATATGTACAGGTGGGTGTCTGTACCATAGGGACCCAGTAATATGTACAGATGGGTGTCTGTACAACAGGGACCCAGTGATATGTTCAGGTGGGTGTCTCTACCACAGGGACCCAGTGATATGTACAGGTGGGTGTCTGTACAACAGGTACCCAGTGATATGTACAGGTGGGTGTCTGTACCACAGGGACCCAGTGATATCTACAGGTGGGGTGTCTGTACCACAGAGACCCAGTAATATGAACAGGTGGGGTGTCTGTACCACAGGGACCCAGTGATATGTAAAGGTGGGTGTCCGTACCACAGGGACCCAGTGATATGTACAGGTGGGTGTCTGTACCACAGGGACCCAGTGATATCTACAGGTGGGTGTCTGTACCACAGAGACCCAGTGATATGAACAGGTGGGGTGTCTGTACCACAGGGACCCAGTGATATGTACAGGTGGGTGTCCGTACCACAGGGACCCAGTGATATGTACAGGTGGGTGTCTGTACCACAGGGACCCAGTGATATGTACAGGTGGGTGTCTGTACCACAGGGACCCAGTGATATGTGCAGGTGGGTGTCTGTACCACAGGGACCCAGTGATATGAACAGGTGGGTGTCTGTACCACAGGGACCCAGTGATATGTACAGGTGGGTGTCTGTACCACAGGGACCCAGTGATATGTACAGGTGGGTGTCTGTACCACAGGGACCCAGTGATGTGTACAAGTGGGTGTCTGTACCACAGGCACCCAGTGATATGTACAGGGACCCAGTGATATGTACAGGTGGGGTGTCTGTACCACAGGGACCCAGTGATATGAACAGGTGGGTGTCTGTACCACAGGGACCCAGTGATATGTACAGGTGGGTGTCTGTACCACAGGGACCCAGTGATATGTACAGGTGACCCAGTGATATGTACAGGTGGGTGTCAGCTGTACCACAGGGACCCAGTGATATGTACAGGTGGGTGTCTGTACCACAGGGACCCAGTGATATGTACAGGTGGGTGTCTGTACCACAGGGACCCAGTGATATGTACAGGTGGGTGTCTGTACCACAGGGACCCAGTGATATGTACAGGTGGTACAGGTGGGTGTCTGTACCACAGGGACCCAGTGATATGTACAGGTGGGTGTCTGTACCACAGGGACCCAGTGATATGTACAGGTGGGTGTCTGTACCACAGGGACCCAGTGATATGTACAGGAGTTGTATAAGGACAACATAACTCACCTATTGATATATAACAGTTATAAATTAAAGTGTTAAGATATATATGAGGTGAATTCTTGGTAAAGTTATCCAGAATTTGCAATTAGACTTGTCCTAATCTAAATAAGATCAAATTCAACCTACATCAGGAATTCTTGTTTGTATGTTTATCATCTCATGAGTAACCATGGTCATTCTGAGGTTAGGTAGTAACTGGCGGTTACCTCACTGAACAACATATGGGAGGTCCATCAAATGCCATCCACAACAAAGAGGGTATAGTGTCTTTCCTTGGGACACAGCTGAGAAAGCATAGACCAGTCCGTGTCTCAGCTTCCTGAGAGACACAAACTGCTATGGGTAAGGTGTGTCAAGTCATGCACTTTGAATCTTTACCTGAGGTTACGTTGGTAAATGCTCTACCAACTGAGCTAGAATACCTTATACAAAGATATATTTCAATACATTAATTATACCTCTTATTGTACACATAGCTGTGTAACAACAGCTGGTTATAATAATATACAACACTGAAAATGTTGCTTTAATAAATTGCTATATATGCTACACTCATACCAAGTTAGTCTTTAAACACCAAACATATTTCTTTCATTAATTAAAGTCAGGAGTAGGAGACATTAAATATCATTTAATAACACTGTTTTGCTATTATGTGAGAAAAATTCCTCTTAAGAAATAGCAATAATCTTTAACTGTCAAATCCAAGATGGCCACCTGTCTGCCATTTTTTGTGTACCCAAAAATCAGAAGGGCACAACAGGGGACCAGAGGGAACCTTCATATGAAATTTGAGAAAGATCCATCCAATATTTCTTAAGATAACAAATAGCGAAAACAACCTATTACTACCAAAAACCAAGATTGATGTCTGTCAGCCATTTTACTATTCCGACCAGCCACAAAATTGACTATGCAAGACTAAGGACCAAAGTGAACTTACATTAAACTTGAAAAAAATCCATCATGTGATTCTCAAGATATTGCAATAACAAACTATAAGTATTAAAATCCAAGATGGCCGACTGTTTTTTTCACATTTGGCCCAAAACCACCTAGATACTCCAGGGGTTACGCTCACTATCGCTCTCTGCACCCCTGGAACATTTCATGGTAAAAGTGAAGGTTCAATGTGCAACACCTTGTGGATACATAATGATCAATTGAATAGGCTTTGACAGTGAGTGTTGTTCCTTTTTAATCTACAAACGAGCATATCAGTCTGTGATTGGTCAGTTTTTTCCCCTAATATCTATTCTACACCAATCAAATTACTTCAACTTTGCCAGGAAATTTTCCGGGAGTGTAGATAGTGAAAGTACCCTTTGGAGTATCCATCCATCCAGTTCTTCTTAAGAAGTAGTGATAATAAGAATTGTTTCAGGACAAATGGACAACAGACACTTGAGTGTGGACACTGGGCAATTTGATCAGCCCACCATCATCAGATCAGGGGCAGGAGTCATCATAAGGTTCCAGTACACACATCATGACATTGGAATCTGGGTTAAGAGTCAGCATAGGGTACCATTACACACATCATGACATTGCAATCTGGGGCAGGAGTCATCATAGTGTACCAGTACACACATCATGACATTGGAATCTGGGGCAGGAGTCATCATAGGGGACCAGTACACACATCATGACATTGCAATCTGGGGCAGGAGTCATCATAGGGTTACAGTACACACATCATGACATTGGAATCTGTTGTTTTTACTGTGTTTTCCGTAACATTGTTACACTAATTTTCAGTCCCCACCAGGTATTTTCTTGGATAAATGCTATCAGGAGACCTGTTAAATCTTCAAACTACTGGCACAGAATGAGGGCCAAAGTTTGTCAGAGGGTCAGATTTTATTGTCTTCAACAGAATGCTTCTCCTGTTGATGGTTTTGAAGAACACATAATTGGTGGGATACAATGACATTGTAACACAGATCAAATATCCATGTTGTTCTATAAATGTGTTTACTGCTATTATCATTTAACAATATTTGAAAAAACACTTATAAAACATATGAACAGAACCCTGTGCTGAAATGATAAAACAGTTTTAATGACACCTACCCTTTCTTACGTCCTTCCAGGATGTCATCATCAGATTCCTCAGTTCCTGAGAGGAACTTTAACTCCCCAGATTTTGTTGTCACAGCTGTGACCTATAGACAAACAAACAAACAAACAAAGACAGTGTATAAATTTTCATTTTTTCTGCATTTTTCTTTGCTTGCTTGCAACACATGATTTCCAGACGATTTGCTAATCAGTGTATCAAATGGTAGAAACTTTCAAGATCCCAAAAAACAAATATTCACATTTAATCTAGTAATTAATCCTTCGATACGTAAACCAGAAGTCTAGGCATATAGCTATTTTGATGCAAAGTTTGTATATAAATAATATAACTACCTTTTTGCCCTTACTCCGATCTGGTGAAGGTAAGGTATCAAACAGTGGTTCATCTCCATCTGAGGACACAGAGCAAAATAATGTGAACAGAGAATGGGATAGAAGGATAAACAGAAGACAAGACAAATAGTGTAGGCTACATAGAGGGAAAGACAAAGAATAAAGGATACCCAGAAGGAAGGACAAATACAAATACAGGATTCATATATGGAAGGAAAAGAGTTAAGAAAACACAGAGACAGGGACAAAGAGTAAAGGATAGACAGAGAGGGACAAAGAGTAAAGGATAGACAGAGACAGGGACAAAGAGTAAAGGAAACACAGAAACAGGGACAAAAGTGTAAAGGATACACAGAGACAGGGACAAAGAGTAAAGTATACACAGAGACAGGGACAAAGAGTAAAGTATACACAGAGACAGGGACAAAGAGTAAAGGATACACAGAGACAGGGACAAAGAGTAAAGGATACACAGAGAGGGACAAAGAGTAAAGGATACACACAGAGAGGGACAAAGAGTAAAGTACACACAGAGAGGGACAAAGAGTAAAGTACACACACAGAGAGGGACAAAGAGTAAAGTACACACAGAGAGGGACAATGAGTAAAGTATACACACAGAGAGGGACAAAGTGTAAAGTATACACAGAGAGGGACAAAGAGTAAAGGATACACACAGAGAGGGACAAAGAGTAAAGTATACACACAGAGAGACAAAGAGTAAAGGATACACACACAGAGGGACAAAGAGTAAAGTTCACACACAGAGGGACAAAGAGTAAAGTATACACAGAGAGGGACAAAGAGTAAAGGATACACAGAGAGGGACAAAGAGTAAAGGATACACACACAGAGAGACAAAGAGTAAAGTATACACACAGAGAGACAAAGAGTAAAGTACACACACAGAGAGACAAAGAGTAAAGTATACACACACAGAGAGACAAAGAGTAAAGTATACACACAGAGAGGGACAAAGAGTAAAGGATACACACACAGAGAGACAAAGAGTAAAGGATACACACACAGAGAGACAAAGAGTAAAGTACACACACAGAGAGACAAAGAGTAAAGTATACACACAGAGAGGGACAAAGAGTAAAGTATACACACACAGAGGGACAAAGAGTAAAGAATACACACAGAGAGAGTAAAGGATACACACACAGAGGGACAAAGAGTAAAGTATACACACAGAGAGACAAAGAGTAAAGTATACACACAGAGAGACAAAGAGTAAAGTATACACACACAGAGAGACAAAGAGTAAAGTACACACACAGAGAGACAAAGAGTAAAGTATACACACAGAGAGACAAAGAGTAAAGTACACACAGAGAGACAAAGAGTAAAGGATACACACACAGAGAGACAAAGAGTAAAGTATACACACAGAGAGAGACAGGGACAAAGAGTAAAGGATACACAGAGAGGGACAAAGAGTAAAGGATACACAGAGAGGGACAATGATTAAAGAATACACACAGAGAGACAAAGAGAGGAGACAAAGAGTAAAGACACACAGAGAGATAAAGGATACACACACAGAGAGACAAAGAGTAAAGTATACACACAGAGAGGGACAAAGAGTAAAGGATACACAGAGAGGGACAAAGAGTAAAGGATACACAGAGAGGGACAAAGAGTAAAGGATACACAGAGAGGGACAAAGAGTAAAGAATACAAAGAGACAGGGACAAAGAGTAAAGTATACACAGAGAGGGACAAAGAGTAAAGAATACACAGAGAGGGACAAAGAGTAAAGTATACACAAGGAAAGGCCAAACAGAGAAGGACAGACAGAGGGAGGGAAAACAAATAAAGGATAATAAAGGAAGGACAAAAAAAATTAAGGATAAATTCTTGGAAAGGAAAAAGAGTAAAAGGATATGTAGATAAAAGGCTGTTAGATATAACAGGAGCAGATTTAGATACACAGTGGGAAAGGTAATGAATAAAGGATGCACAGGCAGAAAGACAAAGAGTAAAGGCTACATAGGGGAATGGATAAAGAATACACTTCAAGACAAGGAGTATAGGATACATAGTGACAGGATAAAGGTGATGTTTAAACAGGGAGATTGATAAAGGTATCATCATAAGCTAACAGAAGAGACAGTCTGAGACAGAGTGCTATGCATGGACTACAAAAGCATCCTGCAAGGTGTTGCTACCTTCTGCCAAAACATAGTTGGCCGGGAAGAATCCTTGTTGACCATCGGGCAGTTCTCCCATCCACCAGTTTTCGTTGTCCTTGTACAGAACTGTAATCACGTCATTCTTGAAAATTGTTAGCTCATCTGATCTCTGGGCGCGGTAGTCATAAAGTGCTTTCACCTGATCAAAATAACAACTTACATCAAAAATTTCCAATATTTCATGTAAGATAACTAACTTCCATCTATCTAAAAATTAAACTTTACTTCATAAAAAATCATCATGAACCATTTTTATCTCTTAATTTCTGACTCAATGGAATAACTTTTTTCTGTGTTATGTATCAGAAAGACAAATGGATATGAATTTCTTTTTTATCTTTTAGGACTGAATTTCTCTGCTTTTGAGACACAAAGCCTTATAAACTTACAACTGGGTAGTATGGGACGTCATTTCCTATAAAGGCTTAAAATGACATCTCTTTAGCCTGGGATGGCATCTCCCATAAAGACTTATACTTACAACTCCGTAGCCTGGGACAGCCTTGCCTGCTGGGGCCTGGAAGCTGAACTGGGCTTTATTCCCCTGTGCCTATAACACACAAAGAGTTGTATATACACAATATGTAATTACTGTATAATAATATTAGTAATATAGACAATACATAATAATGTCAGTTAAAACATATAACATGTTATGCACAATATGATACATGTGATATAAAAATAATTTTCCTTTCTTGGCCGAGAAGTGTATGTAAAGTTTTTTTCCAAAATATTAACTCTGAAATGTCAATCACCTGTGTGTCAGGTTGATATAACAGGTAAAATGTTGTCTGCCTGTTTACCCAGATATAAAATTAGCCATCAAGGGATTCTTGTGACATTGACTTTTTAATCCAATCAAACTACATTAAAAAACGTTGAACATATCATTGGAGACAAACAGTGTAGCAGTTATTGATAACATAAAACCAGCCAGATTTTGGAGCAGACAGGCTCCAGCAACACCTGTTTGGCTTCAATATGATGTCATCCAACACTGATTTTGCAGGTGAATATCTTTTCTCCAGGAGGATAAATCCTTGTATTAACCTGAGGTAATGTTAATAAATGTATGATATCAAATACAAAGAAAATGTCAAATACAAGATATTTGGAGGTATAACAAGCAATGCCAGATAGCAAGATGTGGGTCTCAATGTATTAACGTGTGAAAACAAAGGGAGATAACTGAACAAGAAAACCTACCGTTAAAGCTATCTGAGGAGGTCTTCCTATGAATGTAGGACTAGAACTTCTGGCTCCTGAACGGCCAACTTAAACAAAGTGACGGTTATATTTACAAAAGGAATAATTTTAATTCATCTCTTAGAGACGTAACACAATATTTACAAACGAAATAGAAAATATGTGACAGTCATCTTGTAGAACCATATACATTTATAATAAATACAAATATTCTTCTTCCAATGAGAAGATATATACATCCAAAACTATTACACTGATTCATAATTTATTTTTTATTTAAACTAATATCTGATTTACAAACAAAACAAAAATTAAAAGATTCCTTGACTGAGTGTAAAAATAACACCCTTTTGTAAAATTATTTACTCTGAATAATTACATATGTACATCAACGTATGGTAGATCACAGTGTAAGTGTTGTGGACAATGTTGGTTTTACCTTCGTGGAAGCCAGGTCGCCAATCTGAATCTGAAGATTTCATGTACATTTTCTGTGAGTTAAACTGTTGTTGCTGCACAATGCTTGTCATTGTCCGCGGTGCGTGTGGACTGAATGCCTGGGGCCCAGTAGTCTGAAATTGATAAAAATTTGGACATACACTGCTACATGTCCCAATGTTATTGAGGAACTTAGGAATTCAGTAAGAAGGGTTGGTGGTCATCTGACCTGATATACTACTTAACAATTATTTTAGAGGATGGTAATGGGACTGTCTAACCAGAGAATGTGTGATAGGTTTACATTGAAACAATAGTGGGTCAGTCTAATTCCTCGGATTTAAAACCTGTATATAGAACTGACACTGAACAACCTACCATGGTCCTTGGTGTCATTGACTGGTCCAGAGAGAGGAATCCTGTGTGAGCTAGTCGTGGAGAGGAGACTGGCATTCCAGGTAGGTCTACTGGTCCTGACAACATCTGGGACTGAAACAGAGAGTTATAGGTCTGATACAGGACATCATTAGTTATAGGTCTTAGATTCAAGTGTAGAACCAACGCTTTTAGTGGGGGATTGGGTTGGTTCCTGATATCCTTGGTTGGTCTGAATACTTCCCAGTATGCAGGGTGATCAAAGAATAGGGACAAGCTAAGAAGTGTAATCAATGACACATGTAGGGGATAAGTGTTTTTTCTTTGTTATGAGATATTGACCAGTTTTTCCTAAGCTTGGGCTTCTTCAGAATGGTAAATTAGTGAAAATTGACCCCTGAAATACTGAAATTCCTGGCACATGTGTATTGTTCATTATGACATCACACTATGTGACCAAGTCCTTTATTCTATGCTGTTATATATCAGTTACTTTATAATACATTTTACACTAACATGTGATGTTAAAGATGTATGGCAACATATTAATTTTCCTACTGGCAAATTAAATGTACATGACATTGAATGAATTGCTATATTATTTACAACAAGGCCTAAAAGGACTGATAAAGATATAGGGACAGCATCAGTTAAAAAGGACTGATATTGAAGAATTGACATTTTGATAGTATCATTGTGGAGTTGACAATAAATATTACCGTTGCAGCATTGAGTTTCCTCATCACTTTCTGTAGCCTTGCTGTGCTGTGGGCCTCAAACTGCTCTTTATTTAAGACACTGGAAGACATCAGTGTTTCTTCTTGCTTTGTGGTGCTGTTCAGTTTAATAAAAGATGTATCAGTATATTATATCAACAGAATCCACAGATACATTATCATAAAGGCTGACAATACAGATGTCTCACAGAAACAACACTGATGTAAGCTAGTCGGATAACATCGAATATATATGACAAAGTAGCATATCACATTGTTTATCTGTTTCATTGAGGCTAAACTTTGTAGAGGTAGACATTGTGTCAATTTCCTTATAACTGAGTAAAAACTCACCCCATAGTAGAGGCAGGCATGGTGTCTAACTCCTCTTTTGGGTCTGGTACAATCTGTCTAGGAGTAAGCCCTGCGTCCATCTGAGCAACTAAATAAAGGAGAGAAAGAGTTCAAAACATTTTGTTCAACACAGAGAACTCTACCATCCTAAGACTGAGTATACAGCTGAACACTGCTGGAAACAGAGACTCTACATAAACAGAAACACATATAAGATAGTTAACACTTGACTCATTTACAGTCGTCTACATACACAAGGTATAAACTTGTGTTACTCTCTTCAATTTTTGTCATGTGAATCCCTGAACTCAAAACAACAGTAAATAAATCTAGTTCTGAGTACCTTAAACTCCTTAATTTTGTAATCAAATGTTTAATATCAATTCAAAGTAATATGAATACCCTGAAATTTATAACAATACGGTCTTGTATTTTATCTTCTTACTTAGATATAAATGTAATAGAACTAACTTACCATGTGGATCATAGTCATATACAACAATGGCTTGATTGTCTCCTAAAGAACATGTAGCAAACATGTGGTCCCTGGGGTGGTATTCGATGTCTGTCACAGGGTGACGGTAGTTTAGCTCCGAGTACATAGCCACCTGGTCCCCTGGAAGGCAACAAAAAATACTAAAGGTCTCAGATTGTTATAATTACTGAAAAAAACCTACACAGAACTTTAAAAGATATTCCCGGTTATATGTAGCAACACTAAAGAATCTTAGTATGTTGTAATTGCTCTAAAAAGCTACAGACGCCTGCTGTAATACAACATAACATTCAGAGTCTCAGATTTCAGTAATTACTCTAAACATCCACACACATTAGCATCAGACTGTTATGTCTTCACCGCCAGTATACTGTTAGTAACATGTTGTAAATGTAAAGTACACCCACCAGTGTCTGTGTTCCAAGCATATGCGTAGTTATCTTCGCTTCCAGAAAACACAAAGGACCCACAAGGTGTGATGGAACTCCGGATCTGTTCCCGGAAGTTCAATGCTCCAATGTACTTCTGCATCACTCGTTGTCTGAGAAAGATATAGTTCATTAGTATCGCGATAACATAAAGATCAATGAATACGTCATAGAGATTGTTATAGTATATCATACCTTCCCATAGAATACACACAATCCTCTGTCAAAACATCTGGTACAAAGTCTAACATACACACAGTACTTAAATATCAATTTCAATTTTATTTTTTCAATTTAAATTTTACTTTGATTTCAAATTTCAAAAAATAAGATTTCAAAATTGTTGGCTCAAGATAAAATTTGACATCAAATAAAACAGATAGGATATATATACATGCGCAGGTCCATCATCCTGAGGATGTTGTCACGACAGTGAACCAGCAGGCGACGCCCACTATGGTGGAGCTGGATGTAGTTGATAGAAACATCCTATAACATAGAAACAAGCCTAGCTTTAACAACAGGACTTAACAGAGAGGCAAATGTATTCAGACACTAGTTTGGTCATATAAACAACCGGGAACAAGTGTTTCTCAGTCAAAGAATGGAAGGAGTATTCTTAGACTGGAAGACAATCTGTAATCATTATTCGCTAACATAACTAAAATACATAAAGCGAAAATAATGGATTCTAAACATTCAGGAACACTTGTTGTAGTTTTATGGTAGACTAATTTGTTGACATGTTTTGACCGCTATGCGCCCGCCATCAGGATGCATAGCGGTCAAAATATGTTGACAAATTTGTCTACCATAAAACTACAACAAGAGTTCCTGGATGTTGAGAATCCATTATTTTTGCTTTATGTTGACCACATTGTAAGGAGCTCTACAGAAAACCTCTGGTATCCATTCAGGAACCTAGCCGCAATCTGAGACATATAGAGTGTTGGTTCTTTAATATTGTTTTCTCTTAAAATACATAAAATGGTGAATGGGTAAAATAAAGCCTACAAAAATATATATTTCGTAAATAAGCTGATAACATCAAACTAATGTCCAGACAGATACTCTTGTAGTAGTGTCATTTAATACTCACACAAAAATATACTTGGCATGAAATGCTGCATACGAAAACTTAATACAAAATCATACTTTCATGAACACAGTTATGTTACCAACTGACAGTACATATCCAATGCTCAAACTTACCCTACATATTACATTAGATAATGTAATAGTATAACTTGAATAAGCTGAGGATAAAGGAATTTGTATATATACCTTCATTTCAGGATCAGACAGGCTTTGGAAATGTGTCCAGTCTCTAAGAAAACCTGAAACAGATGTCGTTAAGACTATTAGCATCTCTAGACTGTCAGCATATAAACACCCGAGACAACCTTTATGTATGCAAGCATTCTGTATCCCATCTGAAACCTTCACTATTTACATAGTGTTACCATAAACTTCTGTTACAGGTAACAATTGTATGAAGGAGTAAAAAATTTTATATTTCATGTGAAAAAGCTGGATTAACTAAACAAAGCTTTTCGTCAAACTTATTTAAATTCATATATCACTACATTTGAAGCACTTGAATTTTGTGTTCTCTGTCTCTCTCTCTCACTCTCTTTCTTTCTCTGTCTCTCCCTCTCTTTCTCTCTCTCTTTCTTTCTCTTTCTCTCTCTCTCTTTCTCTCTCTCTCTCTTTCTCTCTCTCTCTCTCTCTCTCTCTTTCTCTCTCTCTCTTTCTTTCTCTCTCTCTCCCTCTCTCTCTCCTTCTCTTTCTTTCTCTCTCTCTTTCTCTCTCTCTTTCTCTCTCTCTCTGTCTACACACATGTATTGCAGATATAAATGTAAAGAGGAAAATACAGAGAACCATCCACTGTCTTCAGTACATGATGAAACAATCATTTTATACCCTATCATTTATCTTATTCAGAGATTTTTTAACCATCACTCTACATTATTCAGAGATGTAACCTAAACCAATCTACAATAAAACTTGTAGCCAGAAGAAAGATAATTAAAAATTAGTTAAGAAAAAAATACACTGATATATGCTGGAAAAACATCTGTATGTTAATGTTGTAGTACACACTGTCCCCTCCACTCATTATACCCAAAGTATACACCAAGTTTAGATAAACATTACTTCAGGCATACAATGATATGAAAATGAATCTACATGTATTTACTTAAGTCTTGTACTAGTGTATTTTACCAGATTAATGTAATTTGATTTGACAACAATATACTGCAAATTTGTTTTTCCTGGTAGTGACAATTCTTCCTATACTTCTTATTTCACACATGTTCATTGTGAAACATGTGGGAGATTTCAGTATAATAGTTTTGGATAATGTGACTTTTCAACCAACTCAGAAATCCTTCAAAATAACTCACTGACACAGTCTGTGGGACAGGAGATACAACATGGCTTTCATTGAAAGTCAGACTCTGGGCAGAAAACTAGACACATATACACATATTAACCTTCATTGAGAGTTTGACTTAAGCCCCAAAATGAGGACAAACACTGACCTTTACAAACAGTCTAAAATAGGACAGAACAGAAGAAAAATATTGATCTTTTGAAATGATCAAATAGGTGAAAATTACAAAATTTAACTAACTTCAGGTAGTGCACTTCTACATCTAGATTTTGACATTTCTTTTCGATCATATTTCATTTTCCTCAGTTGTCTCTTAGATTTCAAAATTTAGGCCTTTAGCATCACTGACGAGTCCTAGAAGGACTAAACAGCTGTATGATGCAGTTTAGTTCATCATTTGGCTCTTCTGTATTTATATACTTAATCGATAGGTGCCATTCACTTGTGTTTCTGTTATTCCTTTGCGTCACTTTAGTACAATCTTCATTAACAATCGGACTTGCAACTGAATTTGAGACGGGGACAAACATTTGCTAAGTTACCATTATATAACACTCAGAGGGTGAAATGATCATAAGGTGAATTCATGTGTAATGGTACAAGGGTGAAAATAACCAGGGATGAAAATATCCTGGTATACAGTATCTAATTTATGTCAGGCTGTTTGTTTGGTGGGTTTGTTATTAGACTGTTCATGCCAAAGAGGAAGGGTCTCCATGTAGTAATGGACAACATACAGGCTTTCAGCCTCCTGAGAAGTAACCACACACTTCAGCTAATTAAAGTTTAATGCCTTACCCACTGAACTAGGTGGCCCAGCACCAAACTTATCACAGATGAAGACATACTGACCATTTTGTTACAAGTGAGATTTGAAGATGTTCAATTCAAGGAAGTTTTTTTTTTTTGTAAATATTAACAGAATAAAATACGGTAACAGAGAAACAACAGACTTTGGGGGACATTTCGTCCTCGTAGACACCCGATACATAAGTGATGTAAATGAATATGATTAGATTTTAATGTGTTAGTGGTGAACATCTATTCAAAATGTACATGGTGATGATTTAATTTCCTACTCTATTGAAAAATTAAAAGTACATCCACCAGAAGATAAAAATACTGATGTTCATTGTCTTACCGGACTGTCCTGTTATTGAAATCCAAACAGTATACATCAGTGGAGGGTGACAAACATATAAAACATAACTTGTAATAATAATAACTTACAATGTGTAACACAGGAATTTTAAAAGAAATATCAATGTTATTAACTCCTTATGTATGTCAAACCTATGATTGATAATGACACCTTTTATATGACTGCAGAATTTACTCATTAAAAATACGTGGTTAAGGGTTGTCTTCACATACAAATTATCATTGATGGTTGGGAGATTGCCCATTCCATGTTTAAGAAATACACAATTCTGTTTGACTAACCTTTCTGGCTGGATTTTTCTGTCACGTATACATTCCAGATATTGATATCACCGACACTGTCAGCTGTATACAGCTTTTGGCCATCATCATCAAAACAAAGGGAGTTCACATGGCCCTTGTGGTTCTCAATTTCCTGTTTTAACTGAAACATTGAATATTCTGAAGTCAGAAACATTACAACCGAAAGTGTATCTTGGTAACATCCTTTTAATAAATATAGATACAAACTTTATCTATTTTACATCAACTGCAAAACAAAATTTCAGCATATATATTAATGATTCTTGCTGGCCTGGGTGGAAGCCTGCAGATGGTCTTACTGTGGGAAGAAACCTGAGTACCTGGGGAAAACTCAGGTGTTCAGGCAGGTGACCTAATGCCTTTTCATGTTTGTTTTGATAATCAAACCCCGGATGGCTAGGTGAAAGGTGTGTGCGTTACTATTGCGCCACCTGACCACAAGTTACATCCTTTTAATTTTGTATCAATATTAGGATATTCTAGACCTAATCAGCTGGCTGGTATAAAGCTGTATTATTCTCCCTCTTATACAGTACTGACAATGATAAGTGTTTTGAAGTAAATTGACAAAACTCAAGATACTGTCTGTTTCTTTCAACAAGCCATCTTTCTCTTTTGTTTAATATTTTACAGCATTATGCATGAAATCTTATACAATGTATTAAATGCTTAAGAGATTATATGGAAGTCAAATAATTCGTCTTTCATAATTTGCCCCAATACATATTCATGTCTTTCATAATTTGTCCCAATACATATTCATGTCTTTCATAATTTGTCCCAATACATATTCATATCTTTCATAATTTGCCCCAATACATATTCATGTCTTTCATAATTTGTCCCAATACATATTCATGTCTTTCATAATTTGCCCCAATACATATTCATGTCTTTCATAATTTGCCCCAATACATATTCATGTCTTTCATAATTTGTCCCAATACATATTCATGTCTTTCATAATTTGTCCCAATACATATTCATGTCTTTCATAATTTGTCCCAATACATATTCATGTCTTTCATAATTTGTCCCAATACATATTCATGTCTTTCATAATTTGTCCCAATACATATTCATGTCTTTCATAATTTGTCCCAATACATATTCATGTCTTTCATAATTTGTCCCAATACATATTCATGTCTTTCATAATTTGCCCCAATACATATTCATTTCTTTCATAATTTGCCCCAATACATATTCATGTCTTTTCATAATTTGTCCCAAAACAAATACATGTATAGGCCTATATTGCAATATGCAATAAATAACATTACAAGAATATTTGAATTCTATTTACTTTACAACAACTCAAGGTGATATCTTTCCACCTCGTTCAAAAGTTTAACTTAACGAGTTATTTGCTACCTTGTTAATTAGCTCGATCTTTTACTAATAAGAAGATCAATGAAATTAAGGTATTGTTTCTTTATTTTCACATAACTCAGTCATTGTGAAATGTTTTTATCAAGAAGGTAGACTGAGTAATGAGTATGGAAATATGATAAAAAATGTGATAGTGAAAGGTGGAAGTGTGATATCACTGAGAATTGTAGATGTGAAATGTGACTGTGGATGTAAATGTTAAAAATGAAGTGAAATGTGAATGCAAAATGTGACTGCCAAATGTGAAATGTGAAAGTGAAATGTAAATGTGAAATATGACTGTGAAATGTGGATGTGAAATGTATTTGTAAATTGTGACTATGAAAAATGTCATTGTGAAACAAGATAGTGAAATGTAACAGTGAAAGGCAACAGGTAAATTGTGTGTGTGAAATACCATACCTGTCCATGCACGCTGTCCACGTCCACATCCCAGACTCGCACTACCTGGTCATATCCACCTGTTGTGATGATGTTTTCCACACGTGGATGGAACTGTGCAGTGTACACAAAGCCAGGATGAGGTAATAACTTTTCTGAGGTATCAAAGTTATCCAGATTCCATACTCTTAAAAAACACACAAAAAAAAGGTTTCATAACTTACATGCTTTTGTGCACAAATCTAGATCTGCATGGTCATTTATATCTTTGTAAACTACAGGAATACAAACTTAAAAAGATCTTCAATATTTAATTAAACATTTCTGAAAGTTTGCCTCACTCAGAGTACATAGGTTCATGGGAGACAACCTCCCCTGTGAACATAACCAACCATTCTAATCAACTTTAAGTTGTCTCCCCTTTCCCACTCCACTTTCTATGATCTGAAAGCCTTGTTACCATCTTCCTGTATTTTAATCAGTATTTCTCGTTGCCATTTTTGTCAGGTGTAGCATTTATCAAGTGGTATGAGTTCAATGGATGACGATGTCCACATAGAAAGGTGCTACTAAAAACGAGATACCAGAACCAACACATAATGAAATGGTCTAGAAATGCAACAATCCTATCTGTCACATTGTGCTAAGCTACTGAAGGATATCAAAAAGAAAGAGTAAACAACGAATCACAGTAAGAGATAATGGACACACTAACATGTAGTGGTAAGTATAACGCCAATACTGTATATACATAGGCTGTGTGTATCACCCCTGAAGTAACTAACTCTAATATGGCTGATCTAACAGGACATGTAATAGTTCAAAGTCCTCATAAGTTATGGGAAATACTTACCTGACTGTGCCATCTGATGATGCAGAACATAGGTGGGTATCCTTCTTGGACCAAGACAAGTCATACACAATGCCAAAATGACCTCTGAACTTGCCAAGTAGCTGACCAGACGGAATCTAGAATTACAGACAAGGACAATGTTAAATACACCATCCAACACTAGCTTTCTTCTAAGAAGTGATATTTCAATCTGTTGCAGACAGAATTTAATCTTATATTTGACAAAAACAGTCATCTGTATTAAATGTCCATTTTTTTCTGGATGTTTCCTAACTACTTGGTATGAAAAAGTTAATAGTGAAAGAATACATACCTCATAGACTAGAACTGGAAAGTTTTCCCTATCATGACAAGCACATGCTAAACTCCTAAAACAAAACAAACCATATACACATTCTTATACCGTTCATAAAATGTTTTTATCACTATGTTAATGATCTGAATGCTGAGAATCCCAAAAAATATATTCTGTATCAAATTTCCTTTGGAAACAAAACTTTTTGAAATACTGAAAATAATGTACAAATGTGTCCACTATAAAACACAACTTAGTTTAAATTGTTTCTTGCAGTAATAAAAAAAATCAACACTATTTGAAACACTGATTCCATGATAAATCTTTTAAAATTTGTCCTTAAATATTAAGCATAGCAATTCAACTCCAGTATAATATTAAGCTGACAAATCGGATACAAGTAATTATATGTTGTGTATATATATTATAGTGAAAGAGGAAGTAAGACACATGGTGTAAAATTGACCAGGCCAGATAATTTTGGGAGTAGTATAAGATGGAAACATCCAATGATGTAATATAACAAAAATACAGGTATACCACCTCCACACCTACCTTCCATCATGTGAGAATTTCACCACATAACATCCGTTCCTGCCAGCTTGTAGAGTCAGCTTTAATCGATTAGGGATGCGACACAACTGACCGACCAATCTGGACCAGGAGGAGAGTGTCCTCTTTTCTATCTCTCTGCCAATCAAAAGAAATTGGTAAGTAAGGTGCTAGCATACTAACCACTGTACTGTAATGGTTCTTATTTGTAGTTCACTTTCTATGCAATTAATATTTTTACCAAATCACTTAGTATCAGCACAACAAAATTTGTGTTAAATTGAGCCTGAATTGTTTTTTTATTACAGTTGTGATTATACAAATAAAATGTATTTAAAACTAAATTTTAAATTGGCATGGCCAGCAATATTTGCATCATAAAGAAATTTCAGTGACAAGGAATCATTTCAGTGACAGGTTTTTAGAGATAGAGGCAAGTGATATAATGCAGACTGGAATTCTGTAGAGTATAGAGGTAATCTAAATCTCTGTTCTTACAATATCAATAGAAACAAAAAAAGGCAAAGTATTACAGTCCAACAATATTGTCTGAACTTATATTATAGCTGATCATTACTTAGAACATAACAAATCTTATTGAGAAAATTGTAAAATCTATTTTCATTATTCATTTCCAGAGGGAAATTGTTGAAGCTAATAGCAGTAAACCATATATACAGATATGGTATAATTTATCAAAAACAGGGGACTACTTTTGCCAAACATTCAGATTAAAGAAAGTTGAAAGGGACAGTTTTAAGGGTTCCATGCCTTCTACAATGTAACAATACAGAACTGAGTATGATGAATTATCACAGATTAGGTTTTATCACTCCACATTAATGAACCCACATGCTGCATGCATACAGATACATTTACAGGAATAACATGCCCATTTAAGTTTATCGTCCTATTACCATGCTTTATCCTAGCATTATCTCACCTGGTAGAAATCTGCATACTTACCACATATAAATATATACATTTCTTTAGATTTAAAATGTCATATCTGAATCTTATCATTACCTCACTGATTCAAAATCTGTACTCAAAATCTGACCTTTTCTAAATCAAAAATTTTATTTCATTAAAAATTTATTTACTTTACAACAGTTGAGATACAAGCTTTTACAACTTAATCCCTGTTGTTTGCCTGGATGGAAGTGCTAAATTGGTCTTGCTGTGGGAGGAAACCAGAGTACCCAGGGAAAACCCATGAGGTCTGGTAAGTAACCCTATACCTTTTCATGCCCGTTGTGAGAATCGAACCATGGGCGTCTATATGAAAAGCAAGTGCACTACCACTGCCCCATCTGACCATCCATACTTATTAAATGTTGTCAGTCCCTTACAAACTCTAAATCCTTAATTACTTTTGATAGACTCTTACAAACTCAAAATCCAAATTTACAGGTGACAAGCTTTTACAAACTCAAAGTCCTAATTCACTGGCAACAGGCTCTTACAAACTCAAAGTCCTAATTCACTGGCAACAGGCTCTTACAAACTGAAAATCTTTGTTCACTAGCGATAGGCTCTTTAACCAAACTCAAAATCTCAATTAGGTGGCAACTGGTTCTTACTAAATCAAAGTTCTTCTGTACTGGCCACAAGGTGAAGCCATTACAACCTCCAAAGCTCCTCTAAAAACTACTCAAACATATCCTCAACTTCATACTTACCACAACATTTCTCAAATATTTAGACAATATTTACATATACACGGATTTACATGTATCTGACAGTAAGATTCACAAAGTTCTAATTGTACTAGATTTTAACTGTGTTGAATGCTGAACTGCAAGTTTAAACAATTTCAAGTCTTCAAAGTAACTTGATAAATAGAAAATGTCTAAGATCAGGCACATATATGATAATATGATACACTGAAACATAGCTGCTGCAACATAACTGTACTGGATAAAAGTTATAGCCTTGTGAAATTATACAAACATCAGAACTTAGGAGTTGTTGTAACAACTAACAACATGATAACTCATATTACAGAAAATGTGGGTGTGTGAGTGTTACTACAATGATTCTATGTTCTATGGTAGGGCCAGTAGGAAAGCTAGGAATGGGACCATTTCTAAAAAAAATATTCCTATATAAAATGTGTACACTTAGTATTTTTAGTAACAAACTGTTAACATTTTTTTTAGCATTAAGATTCTAAACAAAAGAATAGTTTTGTGACCTCTATATCATAAGCTGAAAAAATACTACAATGTGTTGTCAGATAAGAAAAATAATGGTGATAAAAGTTGTCAAGAAGTAGCAAACATACAAATCTGGAGGTAAAAAGTCACAGAAACTGAAAGATATTGTGAAGTCTTGATTGTCGCAGAAACTGCAAGATACTGTTAAGTCTTAATTGTCGCAGAAACTGGAAGTTACTGTAAAGTCTTAATTGTCGCAGAAACTGCAAGATACTGTTAAGTCTTAATTGTCGCAGAAACTGGAAGCTGCTGTTAAGTCTTAATTATCGCAGAAACTGCAAGATACTGTTAAGTTTTAATTGTCACAGAAACTGCAAGATTCTGTTAAGTCTTAATTGTCGCAGAAACTGGAAGCTGCTGTTAAGTCTTAATTGTCGCAGAAACTGCAAGATACTGTTAAGTCTTAATTGTCGCAGAAACTGCAAGATACTGTTAAGTCTTAATTGTCGCAGAAACTGCAAGATACAGTAAAATCTTAATTATCACAGGACTGGAAGCTGTTATAAAATCTAAATTATCACAGGACTGGAAGCTGTTATAAAATCTTAATTATCACAGGATTGGAAGCTGTTATAAAATCTTAATTATCACAGGACTGGAAGCTGTTATAAAATCTTAATTATCACAGGACTGGAAGCTGTTATGAAATCTTAATTATCACAGATATTGGATGCCGCTGTAAAGTCTTAACAGAGGACTGGAATATACTGTTAAGTCTTAATTCTGAAATGAGTATTTTCTACAGATAAAGACTGAAGGAAGGGAGAAGTGTCAATGTTATTAAAATTGGCTGAATAATTGGATTGGTTTTTCACACATGTATGTAACACTTTCCAACACAGGTTTAACATATGACAAAATGCCTTCCTTCATATAAGTTACAATGAAAGCATCCTGGTTAGGAGCTTACACAAAAAAAACTGTTACCTTATCACTCAGATCCAAACATTAATACATAGTTTCATAGTTTACAATGTATCTGACCACTTAAGACCCTCAAAATATCACAATCAGTTGATTTAAGGTTAAAATTGAGGATCTGATCAGTGAAGCCAGACAAAAATGGACAGCTGATTCAGGGATGGAAGTCAGGAAAGTATTTAAAACATGATATTTCAAACTTAAATGGTGAAAAATCTGTTAAATTGGTACAGGTTTTAAGGTTATTTGTGGGAAAGGAAATAAGAATCAAGCACAAGGGGTTCATCATTCATTTTTTTTCTGTTTTGGTTTACACTGAACTTATCGCTACTTATCAATATCAGGAAAGTCACTAGGACTTTACTAGCTAGTCTATAACTATTAAATTTATACTACAAAGACAGCATCTGTAGTGGTTATACACACAAAAAAACATGTCATGTCACAAGGGGGAGATAAACCTACCTCTTTTTCCTGAGAAAACAAAAAGCAGAATACATTCAGTATTTAGAGTTAAAAGTACATTGTCGTATGATAATTGATTGTACTTAAAATAATATGGCATGCAAAATATCTAAACATGTAAAACCACTGAAAATTTGTGACACAAAACAAGTGATATGTGACTAGAATAATGAAAGGACAGTAACGGTCCTACTGTGTGTTTCAGTATTTACATATCCCAGTTACTTTTTTTACTTTTTCAGAAACACTAACTTTGGTATTGAGAAGATCTCCCTGAATCACTTTATAAAGTTTCAGGACTTTTGAATTCAGAGATCTCTGGGAAAACAAGGGTGGACAAATAGGTGGACAGTGCTAAAAATACAGTCATTACGATCTATCGTTAACATCTATATCTGTAGTATGGAGTTCAACTTGATGACCAAATTCAAAATATTAAAAATAGTTTATCAAAAACAAAAAATAATAGTTTAACATTTTTTTTCGTTCTTTTTTTTTTGTTTTGTTTTTAGTTCTTTATTTATCTCTTTCTTTTTGTCAAATCACAAAACCATCTGGAAGATGAATACCTCTTTTTCAGTGAGATAGATGTAAAAACAATTGTGTGACAGAAATGGTATGTCTTGGTGACTTTGACCTTAAATATAACTAAGCACTTATCATTCTTCAACTATAGAAGTATCGACAGAGTTGACAACACTAGAGCCCTACTGAGTTTTGTGGTTTGTACACTAAGGTGGTGCTTCCCCTAATGTGGAACGTGTAACAGGAGATTTGTGGACATGATTGTAAACATATAGTCAACATGAATGGAGCCCCTTACAACACAGCAAATATCTGACCTTACCTAGCATCTGACCAGTTGGTGCTCTTCTTCATATCTGCATATGTCCTACTTCCTATTTCCTGAAACATCACGTGATTGCAACACCTTTATATAAACTATCAATTTCACATCAAACATGAAATATGAATCTCATGCTGGAGTGATGGAATTCATTTGTCAAATCCAAAATCTTTTTTGCAGTACAACTTGGCTTTTGTAATCATTTGTATTCAATATATAAAGCATTTAGTGGTTAAACCTCCAACTAACATTGTAAATATTACAAGGTCAATAAAAAGACTGGTAGACAAAATCACTGAAAGCTATTTTTGTCATACCTTCATCTATTTTGATGGTAAAGTTACTTATTATCACTTACCTTCTGTGTTGCGAACATAGAGCGCATGGCAGGTTCTACAACATCAGGTGGTGTGATGCCTTTCAGGGTCACGTAAAGAGTGGAAGGGTAAGGACGTCTTCCCTGGGTCTTCCACCACTGCCAAAGCTAATAAAAAACAAGAGTATCAGTAAAACTGATCAATGCTTCCAAACACGACTCTATTGGACAAAAAATTTTCACAAAGGGCAATAACTTTGTAATAAAAGGGTTTCAAGGCTCTGAATTTGGTACACTGTACAAACTCTAAGTAAGGCCAAAGTATACACCAAGTTTCATTATTATTGCTAAAATAAAAGCAAATTCATGCTCTGAATATTAAAGTTTTCACAAAGGGCAATAACTCTGTAATTATGTGGTTGTGGGCTTTGATTCACTGAACATTGTCTTAGTAATACCAATGTATATATTATCCTATTAAAATAGAAGCAACTTAAAGGTATGAAAATGAAATTTTAACAAAGGGCAATAACTCTGTAATCAAGATGTTGCAGCCCCTAATTTTGGTACACTAGCAGTGTAGTATGACTAATGTATATGAGAAGTTTCATGATTCTTGCTTCAAAATGCTCCAGACAAAAATGATGAATGGAAAGACAGACCAACAAAGCAGCAAATACATGCTCCCCAAAACATTTTTATCAAGCAGTAATTATTTATAACAAATATATGAGATCTGAAGAGTTGGAACATCAAACCTGAGGCACTCAGTCAGTTTAGAAGTGATTACTGGAAGCTACCAATGCTGAAATAACATAGCCAATGGCCTAGAAGTTTAAATAACTGCAAAGCAAAATTCTAAAAAAAAAAACACAAAGAAAATACTGACATCACAACAAAACCTTTATTCAAACTCAAATTCTATGAAACTATGGCAAAATATGAACGAAAATAATTACACAGCAACCCCTTCAAATTCTAACATAGAAACTTACCTCCACTTGGCCTGGCTTGGCACGGAATTTGTAAACAGGTTCAAACAGCTGAAGGCGCACTTTGGAGCCAGCATTCATTTTGTTGTTTACACCTTTCACCTTAAGGGATAAGGACAAATCTCATCAGAATAGCTGTACCAGGTATCGGTGAAGGTGAAGGTATTATTAGTGGAAAAGTCAGCAGTCTAAGACAACATGCCTTAAATGTTGTCATTGGAAACAGGATTTAGGTTTGCTTTAATTTAATGATAGGCAGTTGATAAGAAATTGTGAATATGTGACATATCTTGTTTCTTTCTTGCAGAAAATCTCATCTAAATGAATTTTTTCTATTCATAAATGTTCGTTTAATTCACTTAATTTAGAACTGTGACTTACCTTTGTTAATATGAAAATTTTATTAATGATTTCTTTTTCCTTTAAATAACAATTTTTTACCTTTAAATAACTATCAACATGTACCTGGTTATTTTAATTATTTTTTTGTCAAGGATTTGAAACATTTTTTAAATACCTTGAGGAAGGCCCAGGCAATTCTGTGCCAACCACCTTCACTTCTGCTTTGTTCATACTGTCGACTTGCTGTCGTCATGCTGACAAAGTCCAATAACTGAGGAAATAAAAAATTACCATAAACAACAATGTACCTTCCATTTAACTATGACAAACAAAACAACAATCATCGCTTGATTGTGGACACCTAACCAGCTTTTTTAAAGAAATGTAAATAATTGTTGACTGAGATTTTCCCCCTTAAGTCTGAGTATCATCAAGTTGTCAAACATTCAATTTCCACCTCAAAGTGGAATTACTTTGTAGAATTTAATATCCACTTTACTACTTTCTAATTTACAGCAGCTGTACAGTACAACATATATCAATTGTACTATAGTGACTTTGTATCAACACAGTCTTATTTTATACTATAAAGTATACATGATATCACAGTACAAATTTTACCAATGTCGAAAGCATCATATTATTACTGTAATATCGAAGAACATGTAAATTGGTGTTAATAATAATTACCTCAAAAAATATGATGACTTTGGGATAGTCCTTGATAAAATAATTGAAGTTTTCATTGAAGACCAGCAATTCTTCCCAAACTGGAAGCACGGACCTGTAAACAATTTAAACACAAATTTTTCATTTTGATAGCTGCACTGCCATGATAAGCAAAAAGGGCACCCAAAATTCAGTTACAAATGGGACACTTGTAAGGAAAACAAAACGTAAGTTCTGGAAAAAAGAAATTACTTTTCTTAAAGACAGCAGGAAGAGAAGTTCTATTTCCTTATGGGCAAATTATTACAACACTCTCCCAAGCTTCAAGTTCTCTCCCTTACACACGACCACAAAGTAATATGGCTGAATTATACATTCCTTAATTTCCGATTCACAACATACTTCCTTTTTCCAAAGATTCATATCATTGTAATATCAATGTTGTCTTATTTCTTTCAATTTAAGAGAGATCTTTAACTTTCTTTTTGTATGACACAACTAGCAAAATAGGTGAAAATATTGCCCCCTAACAAAAAATGCAAAAAATTCCCAAATAATCGGTAAAAATCAGAGACAGTCATACTCTTGTTTATGTGGTGCCATATTTGCTCATGCTGATAGATGTAATGCACTAATATTTAGAAAACAAAAAGATCTGCAGGATTTTCTGTCAATAGTGTATTAAGAGTCAAATGTAATAAAGTGGAAGTTAAAAGTTATCTCACAACTAGCAGAGCACTTATATGATTACAATAACTCCACCTAATTATAGTTAATATAGTTGATTATGTTGAATTTAACATATGAATGTCAAACTGATATGTAGCTTATCACAGTTTTCTGTTTGCTGGGTTAACCACCCTGTGAACAGCCAGGGCCAGGATCTCTTGGTAGTATTTGGTGATTACCGTACTGAACATCATGCTAGAGATCTGTCACATGCTATCAACTGAAATTAGGGTGAAATCTCTTGTCCCAGGACAAAACAATAACATTTCATAGTAATCTGTGATCTCAGCTTCCTGAGACAATAAACTGTTCCTAATAGGGATTACCACCTCATGAAGTCTATCAAAGAGGTTTAAAATGATATGAACCAATATGGAGTTTTCAAAGAAATTTTAACAGAAGCAAAGGTCATCAGACACAGACATTCAACAGATTTCATCACAGGATCAAATTGTCTTACTTTTTCTGTTTGAAGTCAAATGGCTGGGTCATTATTGGCATAATTTGGGTGATGTTGTCATTCTGTGTTTCAAAATAGGCAGACACTGCTCGATCCCTGTCAACATACAAACAGATGACGTCAAAACATTTTCAAAAAGGGCGTAGTATATTTAATTACTATCATATTGCTAAATAAATACATTTTCAAAAGTATGTAGTATCTTAAGACAATGATAAATAAGTTCTGTAGAAACATCAGCACTTACTTCCTTTGTTTGGTGAGATTCTGCCCAGTTTCTTCATTGACAATGTGCACACGCACCATAGGGTGCAGGATGTGAAAATCATTCTTTAGTTTATCTGTGCGGTGAACTGTTACGGCCATGATCTGTCCTTCATCCTCTATCGCCTCCCTTTCCAAACGCTGTTCCTCAGTCTCCTCTATCACAACTGTAAAAAGCACAAAGGGTCAGATAAGATACTTAATCTGTGTTTCATTGAATTATAGTTATTATATCACTTTTCAGTCTCAAATCCCTTGATGCCGCCATGAGAAATTCTATATCTGGAGAAAATAATTATCTAATTGATGATTAACTAAAGAAGATATTCAAAGAATGCATATCCAATGAAAAACAAAACATTCTGTGCAATAAACATGCATTGTAGGAATTTCAATTTGATATTACGTTACAAGAGTGAAAGTAAAAGAGGAACTACTTCAAAATAATAAAATTTCATCAAAATCCATTTTGAAATAAAGTTGCTAGAGTATCAGAAAATAAAGAGAATTATGTTTGACCTTATTATAGTGAAAGGAAAAGAGTTACAGTATTTAATCATCAAAATTTAAACACAGTTTTTCCCTAAATCAGACACTGATTTCATGTATCAGTATAACATTTTAGGAACCTACATATTTAATACTTACTTGGGGCTTTCTTCTTTACTCTCTTCACTTCCTTTACTTCTGCCTCCTCATCATCAGCCTCCTCTCCTTCAGCATCCTGTAATATTCAGTGAGATATTTCAAATGAATAAATCACCAAGTGAACCCTATTTTTAAATACTTATTTCCATTTGTATTCTGAAACACTATACAGAATTATGATCATATATCAAAATACAGAATTTCTATTAATGTTAAACAACATTTTTTTGCATATGATATACCTTCATATATTTTTGTCGAATCAAAATACAAATGATATTAAAACAAATAATGAGAATAAAAGACAGATTTTCATAGTTAACATTTTTTGCTTTATAAAATGACTATTTACCTTATGTGCTGTATATCCTGAATCTGTACAGTACATAGACATATAACACATCTTTATTTAATTCATTGTTCAGGACAATCTATTCCCTTCAGTGTTTGATTCTGAGGGGTTTGTGTTTGGTAAATGGAACACTTCAGTGAAGATCTGTAGTATGTTTGATTTCTATGAATGTGTCACCTTTATACAAAGCTATACAAGCTTTTTGACAACTGTGATCGACCTTCACATTGCTATCTAAACAAACGCATAAAACACCTACTGAATATGAGCATGAAACACCCACTAGATATGAATATGAAACGACTACTGAATATGAACATGAAAAACCTACTGAATATGAACATGAAACACCTACAGAATATGAAAATTAATTTGACTGGTTAATTCCTCTGGGTATTTTATACTATATAATGTTAATAAGGTGTTAAAAGTCCTTCTAGTCAAAGAACAGATCAGTACTGAATATTGTCCTTCAAACATTCTGCTGTAAGCTCACATGAAGACTGTGCATTCACAATTAGCGAAAGTAAATCGCTACAAACTTATTTCATTACTGAAACAAGGAAAGTCAGTTTAGAGTATTACAATGTATATCTATATGTATATAAAAGTTTAGTCTGATGTGATACAGGCTGTGTTGACTGCTTCATTTGCATTTAACAATTAATTTTCTTCTCACCTGAACTTCTTCCCCTTCTTCTTTCTTCTTCTTTTTCTTTTTCTTCTTGTCTTTACCACTTGTAGCTTGTTCCTCATCACTCATTGGAGGTGGGATCATTGCTTCATCCTCCTCAGTTCCCTTCTTGGCCTTTTTCTTCTTTTTCTTTTCTGGTTTAGCTGTCTCACCTGTCTCATCTGGAGACATGGCTCCTTCTTCATCCTCTGTTTCCTGTCCTTTCTTCTTTTTCTTTTTCTTGCCAGCTTTGGGAGAGGTAGGTTCAGATTCAGGTGGAGTAAGAGGCTGTTCTTCATCCTGTTCACCATCTGTCTTCTTCTTTTTCTTTCGTTTAGCAGGCTTTGGAGAAGCTGGCTCTGATTCTGGTGACATAGGTCGATCTTCATCTGATGCCTTATTCTTCTTTTTCTTTGTCTTTGTGGATGTAGGAGGCTCCTCTTCAGTAGCTACAACTTCCTCTTCAGTGTCTGCTGCCTTCTTCTTCTTTTTCTTTGTCTTTGTGGGTGTAGGAGGCTCCTCTTCAGTAGCTACAACTTCCTCTTCAGTGTCAGGTGGCTTCTTCTTCTTTTTCTTTTTCTCTGCAGGTGCTGTGGGATCCAGTTCTAAGATAGTCACTGACTTCTCTTTAGGTGAGGCCAAATCTGAGTCATCACTACAGGTACAAAACCATCAGTAAAACTTGAGTATGTTTATACAAAATTCAGTTTACCTTCTGGCAGGAATGGACAACATACTGATTTCAGGTAACATACCCAATTAAGAAAACTGATGATAAGGAATGTTAAAAATTACATTATTCAACAAGTTAACTAATATCAGTACATTCACCTTTAAATAGAACTCTTCAAAGTTAACACTTGTATAAACTTTCAGCGTATTTTTTTTGTTTCTCCAAAACTTGAAATTCTTATAGACAAACTGAAAACCCAGAAGAATAACCGATGATGCAATGGGATAAAATTCTAATCTTTCAAATTTTATAAAATATGAAATTATTTTACTTCAGGTCTTAAACAATACAGAAATAAGTTCAAAATATATGCCATACCTTTTCTTCTTCTTCTTTTTAGTTTTCTTTGTTTCATCAAGAATTTCAAAGCCTTCATTGTCCTTTCCCTCTGAAAACCGCAAAACAATAAGTAAGAATATAAACTTGAATTACAATCAAATTATATATTCTGCTAATCAGACATGTATAGTTGTAATTAAGCTACCTGGAAAAGATGTTTCCCTCTATTAAAATACAATTGAAATATGATTTATATCAATATAATGAAAAACAGTGACAGAATATTTATTCAATAATTGCACATTACATCATACACAGCTATTCAATATTCTTTTATATGAGATGTACTTACCCATCTCTTTCAGTTTCTGTTTCTGTTTGTTACTTTTCTCATTCTTAGGGCTATTTCCAGGGTCATATGTGTTAGCTTTGATGGCTTCATCCTCATCTTTTTGAAGACCTTCCCCTTTCCTTAAGGACTCCAGCTGCAAGAAAGAAAATATCCATCAAACAAGTAAATGTTTGTTTAAGACCAACGTTCATTGCTCACCTTTAATACATTCTTAACATCTTTAATCTTATCCTAATTGAGCATGCTATAAATATCAAATATTAACTAAAATAGAGTTTCACCATCACACTATAAAGATTCATTAATTTTTGTCAACTTTCATATCAGCCACTGTACCAGAGTAATCAAACTGACTACCTGATACTTATGTAAATTAAACATACCAGGTATATGTTACAAACATACAGTGCTCTTTATTATTACGTATGCTTTGTACTAACCACTGATTCATCACTTTGCTTGGTCTTCTTTTTCTTTTTTGTTTTTGCTCCCCTGAAAAATGAAAACAGAAATAATCAAAACCAGTCCAAGGAGTCTAGGTTCATGTAGGCAGGAAGAGATTAACATAGCATAGGTTGTAAAGGTTGATGGAGATGTGAGAAGCAGACAATGTTATTTGAGATAGATATTTGTTATATCATGTGAAATGTTATGGTAAATATGATTTATGTTGACTACTTACTCTGTTGCTTGTCCAACAGCTTGTTGGAGGAGCTGGTCAAACTTGGATTTGGTGTCCATATCAGCTGAAGATACAAAAATTAAATATCAGAACTTATTACTCATAATCATGTGTAATTACCTTAGTCAAACTAAAATTTACTTACAATGATACAAAACTATTAATATCAGATAAACAAAGAAAAGATATTATGGTGACCATGCAAACAATTCAACAATTTGAAAGATTAACAAACTTTGTGGAAATTTATGCATAATGAACCAAACCAACAAATTAATTAACAATTATTTCAACATGAACCATCTGTTTTATTTTCTGATAAGGGTGCTTTGCTACCAATTGGCTATGTTTATAAATGGTTATGGCCTTGAAAAAAGTGCATTGAAATTCAAAACAAAATGTTTAAACTTTGTTCACTTTAAGGAGATCTCATCCATGATTTCATATTGATGTAATGCCTGTAAGAATGGAATCATCTCATAATACTGACAATGGAACCATGGTACATATAGATATGATAATGTGCAAGAGTAATAATAAAGGTTGTTGCATGAAACCTTACCAAGAGGAATCTCTTCCTCATCTCTGACTGGTTTCGATGACTTTGGTCTGGTCTTTTTTGTCTTTTTAGCCTTTGTTGGTGTGATGACTTCTGAAAATAAGAGCGCTTCAAGAATAATAGACTGCAGTACCCGTAGCAGAGACATGCAATGCTACTTCATCAAGTGTTTCTATAAGGGTGAATTGGTAGAAATTATGTGGTCGCCACATTGCAAACAAGGCTGACTGTCTAACTTCTAGGTTTATATTATTACAACAATGTCAGAAGTTTATACGACGAGAAACCTGTGACAGGCGACGTTGCAGTCGGCAAAATAACGTCATATAATAAATCGGCTGACCAGGAGTCTCTTGATTTCTTATCATATAGTAATTTTTATGCTAGTTGTAGTGCCAATCGATTAAAAACATAATATTAAAGTTCATGAATATCAACGTGCATTAATTATTAACAATTAGTTTTTAATAACACATTTAAGTTAGTCAGATTTCATTTTGGTACACTGTATTTTAAAGTTTTACAGATGGGATGTCAGGTCTATTCTTGTCGTCTCGAATTTCAGATATTAATTTCAACACCTCTGCGTGTTTAAAAAGCCTTAAACCACTACCGAGTTTAAAGAAACTCATAATTGCATAAAATGCTTGTATCAAATATTGTAGAGACGTCGTTTTAAACTCATGAACATGGAAAATTCAAATGAAAAATATCAGAGTACACACCTGTATCCGCCATTTTTGTTTATATCTAGCAACACTGCCAAAGTAAACCGACATATGATTGGTCAATCACTTTACAATTTATAAAACTTATGAAGGGAGGTAACTCTTGGACTTTGGAGTTTTCTTTTAATGATTTTTCTTCTTTTTAAACAACATGCCTCTTTTCACTGATAATATAATATGATCCAATGATCCAGGGTAGAACTTGTTTGACATCGGCTTGGAAAATGACATTGAAAAAATTACACGAACAGTTTAATAACTGTTTAAACCAATTTTGACACATTCTACTAGTCTAATAAGTGTCTGTCAATTAGTAAAAAATCATCGGTTTCACAAATGTTATCTACGTCCCTGGTTTCACTATATTCTTCACATTTTTTTCGTCAAGTTATGAAAAACAAAATTAGCAAATTGTACAACTTAAGTTATATTGACACATACGAACATTATTCATCACAGAATCCATAAGTACGTATACCAACAATAATGACAGATGATAAAATCATTTCATTTTATACCTGATGAATATCAGAGACGTATATATCACATATATGTCTCTGTTAATATGTAGCCCTTAAATTTTCTCTCATATACTGGAAGTTAGCATTTCCGAAACATAATGACTAGCGGTAAGCGAAATTTTGATATTCTGATATATAGCTACGACGAGTCAAAAAAGTATGTGTTTCATGGATAGTTTTTCAATTATATTTTTTCTAGTCATGGGACATTTTTTATAAATTCAAGAAACGTTTCAGAAGTTAGTATACAAAAAAAGAATGATAGATATTCCTCTGACCTTCCCTAAATGAATAACTCCGAGATGAATAAGACGTTTGAATGTGGGAGAAAGTTTAACAATTCAACGTTTTTCAAGCACGTTGTTGTTTTCCAGATAAAAATTATAATATAATAGAATACACGCACATGTGACAAAATTTGTTTTGTGCTATTTACAATAGTCATAAGGAATGCCGAAGTTGTAAAATTAATCAAAAAGCTACAACTTTATATTTTTCCTAGCTAAAGGGAAGTAACTCTAAACCTAAAACTGCTCGCTCCTAATACTATTTCTATCCCACAATCCATTCTCACATATTTGGACGAGCAACACTTATATTGTGCAGAAGCCGTATCTCTTCGAAAGGAATATGTAAGCATCTTTGTCACTTCGTTTGAAAATAATCACATTCATTATATGTGTGTACGTTTCTGATGTTCTTCATGCTTCAGGCTTGGAACCTTGATCAATTGATTTTGGAAAATGTAAACGAAAAGGTGGATCGTGAAATGGCGTTTACCTTAGCGACAAAATTTGGTATCTTTATCACTTAAAGTGTTCTGACAGTTTTACTTTACTTAATGGACGTTTAAGTTACATACGCATTGTTTATAAATAAAGAGTATCATACGAATTATGAAAAAAAAAATTTGAGTTGGTAGAAATATGTTATATTTTCGTATATCAGTTAGAAATATTGTGTGGGACGTTTCGGCCTTTATAAATTTATATACATACAATGTCCTCATCACACTTATTCCGAGAAGCTATTGTACGCTAAGGTGTGAAAACTGTTCTCTATGTCCATCCGTTTTCAAGGAAGACAACTGGGCTATATCCGATGTATCTTGAACTTGTTTTTTTTTTAAACATTTCAACCAGTATTATACATGTATATCCTTGGTACATTAGTTTCGGACACCTTAAGAATTCTTTCATGCTAGCTACGTTGTGTTGGTAAATTACCACCAAACAAATACATAAATGAGTTGAAATGTGTCCATGCTATAAGATTTATTTTAAGAAAACTGACTGTTGAAACACTAGTTTCTTTTTTAAATAAATTCACAGATACAATATCAAATTCACTCACCTGAAATGACCGACATGTGTATCTGACAGGTGACTGCACTTCCATTTATTATGACATAACTAAATCACAGAGATGCTTGAGGTAGCTTACAGTGACTCCGAAGTACACAAATATTACATAAAATCATTATTTGAACAGGAATGACATTTTGAGTGGGGAAAAAAATCAAAACAAAATAATGGTGTGAAAATGGTGGATATGTATGTTTATGTCTGCATCTTTCTTAAGGGTTAGGTTCAAGTTTTTATTACATGGTCTTTTTTTTCTCAAATTCACCATATTTCTTGGTAAACTTCTTTTTCATAACACAAACTATTTAGATAATGTTAATTTTTCCTCCTTCGGCATACAACTCACAAGTTAATAAAAATGGTGAATGAGTCATCAAAACTGATATTTCAGAAATCTTCATTTTTCAAATATCAGATGTGCATGTTTGGAATTCGGAAGCCAATAAGTTGGAGGGAGTCATGGCCTATTATTCATGGTCAATTTTTATTCACATGACAGACAAAAACAAAACATTGGCATCAGAGGATGTATTGATGGGTTATTTCATCATATCTTGGAAGATGTATGACATGTAAAAATGTATATTAAAGAAAAGTACATAAATTTGCCAAAAAAATATATACCTACTCCAAAATTTTATAGAGAATAGATTTAATAACAAATTTTCATTCTTTCTGGAAGCGTAATATGTTACAGCAACCAAAATTATCTGGGTGCAAGGTCAAGCAGGTCAATAGTTCAAGTAATTCTGTGCGACAAAATGGCTGTTCCAAAATTAATATTGACCTCTGTTACATTTACAATCAAGTTTACGGTAAAACGTCTGATTACAACAAGATAACCTCACATACTTTTAATCAACTTGATATTAGAATAATAACACTATTCAAGTAAAACTCATTGATTTTATTTTCAAAAATTGTCAGTTTGGAACCAAAATTTTACACTGCAGATTTTGAAAGTTGTTCGCAGAAAGTTCATTGAAATAAAGTGGAGTTTTCAGTCCACAAATGGAAGCTTCACAGATATTTGGGAAATAAGTTGTAAGAAAGAAGATTAAGTCTAAGCATATATCATACAACACTTTATATACCTGGCACAAATAGTTGCACAATATATTTTATCCATTTCTTTTCCAGGAGTAGAGTACCAACTGCAAGTGGGGGTCGCCCCAAAACAGGGGCAAGGGGAGCAATGGGAACAGGTATTGAATTTCATCTGTATATTATTTGTTAATGAAAGAAAAATTCTTGTCTGTACATTTATGATAAGAGTTATAGATAAATTAGACAACATAATATTGAATTGTGAATAAATACTACTTTCTATTTGCAACTAATTATTCTGATATCAACCAATTAATATTTTGCCTTTGTAAGAGGTTTGATATCATTATTGCTGATTGATTTAAATGCTATCTTCATCCCACAGTAAGAGTTGTAGTATGACAAGTTATATACAATCTAGATTATATGTTGTTCATGTGGTTTTCTGATATTTATTATAGCTGCTGGAATACAGCCTGGAACAGCTTCAAGACTGACCACAGCAATGGTAAACATGTTAACTTGTTATGCATAAATATTTCATGAATTGCAGTAGTACAGAACAGTAATGATCGATAAACTTTAAACTGTGTTTATTTCAATGTGGATGGAGTCAAATAATTGTACATGTAGTAAGAGTCTACATGTTTTGGGGTTTACATTCAAGAAATATATTACAACTCAGTTGACAGCACATGCCCGTTATCCTGATATGAATTAGAAATACATTATTTCTTGATTTTTTAAAGAAATTGCAAGAAGGATAGAATAAAAAAGTCAGTGAAATATTGTTTCATCTCGGAAAAGAGTAGATAAAAAAAAACAAATATATTTCTGTTCTCTGGAAATGTGTGAATGTTTTGATTCAGTAAAGCACATGTTGATTGAAATGTCTCTCTTTGTATTTTTATCGTCGATGAATATTTCACAATGCAAGACATTTCTTTTTTATAGAATCCAGGAACTGCTCGCCCAGGTACCAGAGGTGGCTCTTTAGGAGGGGGAGTTGGTGAGTACAGGCATTCATTGGATTTAATCGTTTTCTGGTTGTGCATTATGAAAAAACTATTAGTAGGAAAGTTGAATTTCACAGAATATTGTCACTGATGTTGAGAACTAATAGTTTGGGTAAATGAAATGTGTGTAAAAATAATCAAATTCCTGAATAAAAATGCAGAAGGATGTTAATTACATAAGCAAGATTCCTCTGTTAAAGTTGGAATATTTTTTTTCTGTTTGTATTCAGCACTGAATGCACAGGTAAAGGTTGTGGACCGACCTATGACACAGCAAGGTCTCGGAGGCATGAAGACTGGTATCAAAGGTAACATACAATCCTACCTTCAAGTCATGTCAAGTTTGAGTGATTTTTCAGTAGAAAATCATGACTTAAGTAAAAATGGAACAATTTCCTAAAACTTTTGTTATCATAAGTATTTGATCATAATGCACTGGTTTGTGTTGTTGGTAGAGTGTCGGTCTGTGTAGCCAAGAAACGCACTGGTCAGTGTCGACTTTGTTGCGTGGCCTTGGACAAGACACATTTGTTAAGGACAAAAATTTATAAAAAAAAAAAATGTTCCAAGTACATTATTCAGTCTGTCCTATTCGGAATGAAGAAACATTTTAAAAGTGATTATGTTGTAAAGATACTGTACTGTCAGAACAGTATTTCAGTTGTTTTAACTGATTCTGTATCTCAAAAAAAAACTACTTTTATACAACATCATAGCTTGTCATTGAATGATTGAATGAATGAATGAAAGATTCAGTTAATCTGAAATTTTACTTCACTTTATAAAATGTAATATTTATGTATGTGATGATATTATTTGAATGTATTTGTTGTAATTTTATAGGCTCAGGTCCGCAGAGACAGGTCCAGGATAGAACCTACTTCCTTGGACTTATCAGGTACTTAGAGGCAATGTCTATGTTATAATTAGATTGAAAAGCAAAAAAAAAAAACATCTGATGGTGTTCTCTTAAAAGCTACCAAAGTCGCATTACAATTCCACCATCAGACTATGTACATGTAGATATTCCAGTTGGGTATACTGTCACACCACTGAATGCATCAAACCGACACCACACACAGTTGGGAGTAGTTAGGGAAAACATCAACACAGAGTAATGTTAGTTACACCAGCAATCATCATTTATACATTGTATAAACATTTGGCTAGTTATGTCATCTGACCGAAGTTTCTGATGACCTATTGCGATCGCCTTTTGTCAGGCGGCGTCCGTTGTTTGTCATCCATCGTAAATATTTTTCAGCTTCTTAAGTTCTACATGTCTCATTGAGCTGAAACTTACCTGAAATGATCATGACAAGATTCTGACCAAAGTTTTTAATTTCGGGTTGGTCCGAAATTCAACATGGCCGCTATCTTGAAAACACATTTTTGACTTCTTCTCAAGTTCAAAATTTGAAATCTTGTATTTTATGTCAGATGACCATTAAGGCCCATGGGCCTCTTTTTTAAGAACGTAAATTTCAACATAAAAGCTGTAGATTTCTCTTTTTTTTCCACATTATAACATAAAACATTTTAAGTGTCAAAAAGTGGGTCTTGATATACTGGTAATCATTGATACTTAAGTAGAATTGTATTTGATCCAATTTGTGGTTAAAGTATGCATAATACTTAATATTTTAGTTTAAATAATTCACATGATATTTTATAAAACAGGAACATGAAGATATGTAAAATCAGAACTCATTTAACCAAACAATTTTGTTTCTTGAGTAGAAATTGATATTTGGTAGGAAATACTTGTAATCTGGTAGCATGATCAATGGCTTATTAATAATTTAAGTCCTGTCATTTAGTCATGTGTCTAGTGTCTGCATATTTTGACCATGTATATGTTTCTGAATAAACCAAATAGATATATTTCTGGCTATTAAACTACCTCTCAGAATTATAATTTTTTTTGATTATCTGTATTTATGGCTAAAATGGAATGTATATTTTAAAATCTTTAACTTCATCTGTTTTTTCAGGAGCAAGATCAACGAATTAAATGCAGAGAATGCTAGATTGAACAAGGAGATTGATAGTACACAAGATGAGAATTCCACATATCTTACATATGAAAAAAGGTGAGTAGATGTCTTTCAGTGTTAACAAACCAGTATTACAAATATGTTTTGAATGAATACATTTCAGCTGATGATACCTATTATATCATGACCCTGTGGTTTCCCAGAGTCTGGAGAATCGTCCAGCTAAAACATGTGAGCAGAACAGTTGTTCTAATTTTGACCTTGATTCAAATTCCACGAAAGAAGGTCCACCTATTGGTAGTCAGATCTCTGTATGACTGTATCAGGAGAAAGTTTTGCATATCAAAGTTTTATAAATCAGAATAAAATGAATGCTTTTGCACATTTGATATAGAATCATGCATCTGTATGATAGAAAATCAAATGGAGTCAGTATTTGTGTTTTGAAAGTTTCATTAAACCTTGTTGTTTTCTTTCAGAGCTGAACAGCTTGCAACAGAGATCAGAGACTTACAAGGAGAACTTGGTGACTACAACACAGTAAGTATACAAACCACATACTCTGTGGAATACATGTCTCACAAAGTTTAATAGAAATTGGTTTTTTCATTTCTCATCAAAGATAACCTTTTGATAAGGGAATGCTTAGTGGATATTTTTCCTTTATCGGCAAATAAGCACGTAACATGTACTTGGAAAGGAAAAGGCTTACAATATAGTAATTTTTTTTACCAAGCACATGCTACGGGTGATTTTTGAGATTTATGTGTGCTAGAGTGTCCCAGGAAAGCAGATATTAATATAGTACTGAAACAGAGAGTCTTACCTTATTTTACATATATCTTGATTGTTAGCATACCTAAGAGTGATAGATGTGGAAAGATTGAAATTTCAGTTAATATCCTGCAATGTTGCCAATGTGAGAACTTACTCTTTAAGCTGATTAGTGTTAGACGAGAGTAAAATTGTAGACATGAGGAACATCGATAATTGCATCGTATGTTTTCTTTATGAGTAAGGCATACAATATAATAATTGTTTTACCAAGCACATGCTATGGGTAACTTTTAAGTTTTATGTGTGTTGGAGTGTCCCTGGAAAGCAAATTTTAATATAGTTATTATACATAGATCTTACTTGATATTTATTTCTTAATACATACTTACTTAATATATACTTATGGTGATAGTATATATATATGTTAGTGTAATGTCAGCATATCTATAAACTCTAATTGACCTCATACATCTTTATGTCATCAATGTATACATGTTTTTAATATTTTTTTCTTTACAGTTAGTTGACAAGTTAACAACAGATGAAGATATCCAGGATGTTGAATTTGATCTTAATGATGTAAGTTTGTACAGATTCATTGTAAAAGTGCTTATTTAACTTTGGTTCTCACATTTATTTCTGTTCATACTATGTCTTAAATTTCAATCCAACTCCATGCCTTTAGATCAGACTCTCTGTCTGTATTTGATTTATGGTACTGAAACACTGTGCTAATATCTAAACGTTTACCAGTCCAGTTGTTCATGACTTGAACTACTCTTTATTATATTCAGCTGAGGAATGGTAATGAGAGGGAGACGAAAAAGATTGAAGAATTATTTGAAGTGAAGAAAGCGTAAGTATTTATTTACATTATTAAGACCATAAGTCACCACAGCATTATATACACCATATAGATATGTATGTAATAGGGAAAACAGTCTGTATACTATACATGGATGAAGTACACTGTTTTTGGTATGTAATGTACAGAAAATCAGATGTTATTACCAGGAAAAAAGCTATGAAACATTTAAAATTTGTTAAATACCAACTACCATCAATTGTTTCAAAGAATAGTATTTCATGACAGATTACTCTACAGATCTAGAGACTAGTATTGAACAAGTAATACCAAATTAATGTTCATCTAAATGGATGCATTGAAAAATAATGACATCTGTTACATTACGTCAGCTAAAAAATAGCAAAGTTTAATCTAGAATCATTTTTATTTAATTAACATAATTTGATATTCTTTTTCTCAAACACTACTGCTGACAGTCCTGTGTTTTGTCTGTGTTATTGTATCAGATAGAAGGATATTCAATTTTACCTTTCATTACAGAAGTGTTGTCATTACATGTACTATATTTATCTGTCAGTCAGCTCATACCTCTCAATCATCTCATGTCAATTGAACACTCTATATAAATACAATATAAAATTTTGTATTTGAAATAAAATATAAATGTAGAAAAAGATGTTATATCATTGCTTAGTAATTAGTCTGTCGCCATTCTCTGAGTTAGATATTATGTGTTAACCTCTGAACTTATTTGTGGATATTTCAATATATACGTATGTGTATACATTGCAAAATGTCTGTAGCTTGTATTATGTCTGATTGTGGAACATTCTAATTGTGTAATTCATAGGAAAGAGGAGGCCATTCAGCAGCTGGAGCAGGAACTAGACCAGGAGAAAAGGATGGCTGACAACCTCGTCAATGATATGGTATGTGGACTGAGTCGTAATCCTCTGACCTACTTGTAGATGTATCAAAAACAAACATGTAAAGAGTTATAATTATCAATTTTTTTATATTTGAGTTTAAAGAGACAAATGCAGCTATCCATATAATAAAACAGCTTTCATTTAAAAATTGGTTCTTTCTAAAATGTCATAAAGCAATATTTTGTTCTTTAGAATCCTGAGATGAGAGAAAAGTATGTTAAGCTGAAGGATATGAATGAACACATGCTTCGACAGCTGGAGAAAGGTCAACAGGAACTGGATGTCCTCAACTCCAAGATTGACACACAGCAAGAGGTGCGAGTCATAACTAATCAGTCTTCTTATTCTGAACATTACTTTACAGCTTATAATATTCAAGGGGATTTAATTTCGTTAAGTTCAAGCAGTTAGTGAGAAATTAAGGTCCCCGTTAACATAGCTACAGTGAAAGAAAATTTTCTAAAACATCTGTTATGGCTGTATTCATAGACACCATTTTATAGACATGTACAAAATTTAACACTCATGAACTTTTCCCACTTTTTGAAAATAATAAGTAAAAAAAAAAAAATGATTTTAGATACTTCTTGTGAACAAGTGATTATAATGGTTTGTGAATATTATCTCGATTTGGAAATGACCTGCTAACATTATGTAGGTTTCTGTTTTCTCATCAGATCATGGGTAGCAACAATTCTATAAACTACATATTGACAAAGAGTTTGTTACATCTGAGTCTATTAAGATAAAGACTTCCATGGGCCTGATTCCTAAAATAGCTTTACATGATGTGTACCAATCTTATCATGTATATTACTAGATGAATTTTACACTTAGCTTGTGACAGTTTCACAGTGACTTGATATATTTGTGTTTTACAGGAGTTGTCCTTATCACAAGTCAAACAGGAAGCAGGTAGGTACAGATGAATTGTCTCCCTTTAAGAAATAACATTAAACAACATAAGTAAAATCATTACCGATAACTCCTAGTGATATTTTAAATTATACAAATGTTCAATATTATGTAAATATCAGTATCAAATACGTTGGGTTCCATCACATGGGCTGTATTAAAAAGCCATTCTCTTACTGTTGTGAAATAGATGGTAGATGCAGGTTTTACTTATCTGTTGATATTTAACCATCATGATTTTTTGGTGGAATCGCTGAGAAAAACCTGAAAGTCTCTTGGTGTATCTTGAAATTCTGTATTTCACCTTCAGTAAACAACACACTTTAATCATGTAAACAGATTTTGTGCTCATTATGGCAGAATATTTGGAGACAGAATCATTTTTCCCATAAGTATTTCATGAACGTTTTTGTCTCTAGTGCGACTCTATGAACAGCTGAATGAGTTGGAGTCCAAGCGAGACAGCCTAATCGAGGAGACAAAGACAACAGTATCACCAGCTGAGGAGCGTGAACGCCTACTGAAACAGGTCAAAGAGGACAACCAGGAGATAGCCAGTGTAGAAAGACAGTATGTATAAACAAAACATTGAATATCCAATATTTCAGGACAAAAAATATATTTTCTTTAGTAGTTCCTATCTTGTTAGTAGCTAGGTTATGTGGTATTAATTCTTAAGAGAAGAAATATAAAATAGAGCTGGTCAGTTGATGAAGAATTTTAACAGATGAGTACTTTGGATGTAAGGGGCAGCACTATTGATGTAACAAAATCATCATACTGGATACGGTATTGTTTTCAGAACAAAAGAGATCAGAGAGAAGATTGAGCAAATGCAAGAGGAGAGCAGACAGCTTGATATTGATATAGAGGAGAACCAAGGTAGGCTATTATAGCGGAGGATGAGGGGAAGGTCCGTGTAGAGGAGGACCAGGGTAGGTCAGTATAGAGGAGGACAAGGGGAGGTCAGTATAGAGAAGGACAAGGGTAGGTTAGTGTAGAGAAGGACAAGGGTAGGTCAATGTAGAGGAGGACAAGGGGAGATCAGTGTAGAGGAGGTCAGTATAGAGAAGGACGAGGGGAGATCCTAGGTCAGTAAAGGCGAGGACTAGGGTAGGTCAGTATAGAGAAGGACAAGGGTAGGTCAGTATAGATGAGGACCAGGATAGGTCATTAAGAGAAGGACAAGGGTAGGTCAGTTTAGAGGAAGAAAAAGGGAGGTCAGTATATAGGAAGAAAGGGTAGGTCAGTATAGAGGAGGAAAAGGGGAGGTCAGTATTGAGAAGGACAAGGGTAGGTCAGATTAGAGAAGGACAAGGGGAAGTCAGTATAGAGAAGTACCAAGGTAGGTTAGTATAGAGGAGGACAAAGGGAGGTCAGTATATAGGAGGACAAGGGTAGGTCAGTATATAGGAGGACGAGGGGAGGTCAGTATAGAGGGTGACCTGGGTAGGTCAGTATAGGGGGTGATCAGAGAGGTCAGTACAATATATGGCATATCAAAGTCATTAAGTGATTAACAGATGACTCCCAATTTTTAACAATGATGATAATATTAGAAACCTATTTGCAGGAGAAAGAAATCAGAAGTACAAAGAACTGAAGAAAAGAGAGGAAACAATGGATGGTAAATATGATTGTCAAAACAATTGATGTATAAACAACTTCACATTCAGTTCATTTCTCAATATTGCAATTATCAAATGGATTGTTTAGTTAACATGTGTTAAAACTGATTAATCTCAGCCAATGGCTGAAACTGAACTGAAATCTCATTTGAGGTTAAGCTGAGAGTAATGTCTCTGTGGCAATGGATCTTAGCAGTTCTCCAAACATTAAACGTGGTAAATATATGGAACTACTCTCAGTATTAAGTGAAGTCTCTGTAACCACAAGTAATGATAATATTTTGATTCGGTTAATTTATCTTTACCACCTTTGCCGTTTTATGCAGGGCATATAGCATTGTCTGTTGTGTTGTGTCTGGTTCTGAATCAATATCAACAGATTAGTTTATATTTACCCACAAAGTATCATAACATCTAAGTGTAATTGTATTAATGTGGCCATCCGTTAAAGCTAAAGGGTCAAAGGTCACAACAAACAGTTTCTGCAATTCATCAATTATGCTTACATGCATGGGAGCAGTGGATTCATGTCTTCCAATTTTTTTGCCCACTATCGTATCATGAGATGGTAGGCTGCTCAAATTGCCCTTTGTCTTTGTACAATTAAGGGTCCCTATTTCGTAAAATTTCCGATATAAATCAAACTCCTCTTTGTCCCAAGCTATTCATTTTTTTTTTTTAATTTTTGACTGATTAGAAAAAATAGAAGTTGACATTTGTTCCTTCTATTTCTTTTGCTACTATTGAACTGATCATTCTAAAACTTTCAATGTAGACTTCCAATGTGGCCATCAGACAACCATGTTGGCCTTTTATACATTGTCCTATTTTTTTGACTGATTGGAGAAGCAACATGGCCAACAGGTGCCCAACTTTGATTACAACAACTGAAAAAGAACCATAAAGAATCAATGAAATTCATACAGTGTCGGGGATTGCTTGTCAAATCTTCAGGTTGTTTGGCAAGTATGAAAGAAAATATTTATGATTAAGTTTTCAAATGTAAAACTGAGAGAATCGGCCAATAATGAATAGACAATCCTAAATTAATTTTTCTTTTATTTACAGAATTCCTCAATACTTTTGAAGAATCTAAATCTCAAGAAGCAGTAAGTTTATATTTAAATTTGAAAATATGATTGTGATCATTTTTCTGTATTATTCAGAATTGACTCATATTTCAGACATATAATTGTAAACGTAATTAAAAGTAGATTTTTAATTCGGAGTTTAAAACTACTAAAAAATGTATGTAAAGTTCTGTTATTTACCTAGTATACTATAAATTGACTTTAATAAAAACTTTCATTTTCCTGATTATAATTATTTTCAAGGCTATAAACTTTAGGCATGATAGTGTTACCATTCTGAATTAGACTATGTCAAATTTATTTTCCCGTTCTGTAATTACAGCAAAGAATTAATCAGCTGGAACAAAATGTCGTCAGCATCTTGGAACATATAAGTAGGGTAAGTAGAAGACTGTTTAGATAGGTGAAAACATGTTCATTTTGGTATCACAGATTTATAACAAGGTTAAGCTGTATCACTTTTAGAAAGATAATGATACGTACAATCAGATGTTATCAACAACATTGTTTTTGAGTGGATAAATTATAATATTGATTGTCTAGTGTTAAAACATCTAGGAATTATTAGTGAACGTTCAAAGTATTTCTTGCTAGGATTGGTATGTAGTATTTTAGCTTAAATTGTAATGTTTTGCAATTGAATACAAACAGAGGGAATACTACTAGGGTTTTATGTCCTTCTAACAATTTACCCATACACTGCAGTATAAATTTTGATGATGACTGTTCTCCTTTTTCTTTTAATTTTTTTTTTCTCTCGCTAGAACATGACTCGATTTTCACATTTACCAAGTCAACAAGAACTTGCTACAATGAAACAAGATTTGGACTTCAAGACTGGAGAGATGAAGAAATCAGAAACAACCACTTTAGGACTAGCAGCAGGTTAGTACAGATATCTACAGGTCAGGAGAGTTATCTACCTTGTAAAGAGATATGAGGTTGATTTGAATTACATTAGGACTTGGAGCAGGTCAGTTCAGTTATTCTCCTTGTTCTGAGATATGTTGGGGGTGGGGCTTTTATCCATATAGGACTATGAGCAGGTCAGTAGAGTTATCTACCTTGTATTGAGATATGTGGGTGACTTTTTTATCACTTCAGGACTAGGATCAGGTCAGTAGCGTTGCCTACCTTGTACTGAGATAAGTGGGTGATCTTTACATTCTGAGAACTTCCAAACTGTATACAATTTAGATTGTAGAGAATGACAAGCTACTACAGGGGATTGAGATATTGGTTATTGGGTAGGCCCTAGTTTCACTGCTATATATATACACTATTGATTGTAGAGAGTGACAAGCTACAACAGGACCTTCAAAAGGTGGAGCAGTTGGAAGATAAGATCAACTCTGAATTGGTTGTGTTGGGAGATAAAATCGCCACTATGGAGAAGGAGTTAGAGGTGTATTCTGACCTTGACACTCTCCGAAGAAATTCAGAGCAGAAAAAGAAGGTACACCTACCCAGGTTCATTATATATTTGTCTCACTACATGTGAGAGCATTTTAAGTACCTCAACTGATTTGTAATTCCTGTGAAGTCGAAATTGAAACCCCATGCATAATGTAGATTTCATTAAAGAACTTGAAAACATATTTTTTTATTTCAAAAGTTGATAATCAACTATTACAATGAAGAATTCAAAATTTTCACTTAATTTTTAATACATATATCACATAATGTGTAATTCCACTGAATAGGGGTAGAGTTTTCACTAGTGTGTTTTGGTGTAATTTAAATAAGGTATGCTGAGTTTTCATCAGCGTATATTGTGTAACATGGGCAGGTAAGGCTTGCCTTATTCATTCTACAGTCTGTTGAAAGTGATGACTGTAGGTAAGGCTAACAGACCTGATGGTCTTTTGAATCTTTATATTTACAGAAATTGATGGAGGATAGGATTGTACTACAGAAACGTAGAGACACCTTTAAGAAAACAATGCAGCACTTGACAGCGAAGTACGAGGGACTGAAATCCCACCTGAAGGACAATGAAACCTTCAATCAGGTAAATAATTCGATTCTGAGAAAATGAATACAATTTTTTATAAAGAAATACCAATTATTTGTCTTTTACTGATGCAGAAATCAATTTCTTTGCTATGTAAGTCATTGACATGTTCAGTTATGATTTCATCACAGTTTTTAATTTTCAGTGGTTTCAGAATTAAGACCACTTGTACTTGTATTTTTATATTATTATTGTATAAATGTATTTTGTTTTGAAACCATAAAACGAATTTGAATTCAATGATAATGAAATTTTTTTTTTTTTTAATTTAAGCTGGAAAATCTGGAACGTAAATGGCAACATCATGAACAGAACAACTTTGTCATGAAAGACTGTATCCTTATAAAGTATACAACTTATTACAACAAATTAAGAATGTTTGAGATAAATATTCCTTATGTTCAATAGATATATTATACTTGAATTATATATACTTTGACTATTATGACAGGTAGTTTAACCCATAGCCAATATCTTAACTATATGATCAGTCATTGAACAATAATCGTTCTGTTTAGTAATAAACCCATCCCCACATCCCTTCTTGCCCTGAAGCCAAACCCGAGGAATGTTTGTATCTGAAGTGAAATACTTTATACATAAATACTGGCACAAATTTTACAATATAACTAGTACATGTACCTAATTTTTCAGTTGGTGAGAATTAAGTCCTCCTAGCTTCTTATGCTTGAAATAGAATGACATCACTGTTAAGTTATTTCACAAGTCGCTCAGTGGAACAGCTAATGAATAAGTAAGGATTTGTATATTCCAATATTCATATTTACATGTGTAGAATAATTCATTACTGGTAATATATAAGTGTGCCAGTTCTCCTGAAATTCTTTCGACATTTTGCCATACAAGAGAATTTTAATCAATAAAAAATATTGATTCCTTAACTTTGCCAAAAGTCATTGCAGCCAAAACTATGGAGTGTGACTTCCGTCCTGTCAGTCGCAAAGTAAGCACAGCCATCGAGGATTACAATACTTTATTACAAAATCAGATGGCTGGCAAACCAAGTATGTGATTCAACGGTTTTTAGATGGTTAAGAGACCTTCACCAGACTTTACATAGGACCCAGTAAAGGAATAGCCACTCAACTTTAAACAGGATTACGGATATATGTTGAACACTGAACAATACAACGTAACTGATCAACAACTGTGATATCAATGACTGAGTGTTAGACAATACTATCACACAAATAACTGGTACGGTACCACAGCAATACAATGCCAGTTCATCAGAGAGTGGTTCGGGGTTGATGTTAGGTTTGAGAAGTGGTTAAGCAGTTATATTAGATCTCAATCTTGTTGTAGCAGGAAAGATGACCACATGACCACATGTCAACAAGGCAGCGTTGATATGGAGAACTTTTGTTTTCATTTGACTTATCAATGAATTCATCCATTTATTTATATTTGTATAATATGCATTCCGTCCTTGTTTCTGTGATAATAAAAACTCTCCTAAAGAAATGATACTTTGTCTTGTCTCTAAATATTAGAACTCATTATAGACAGAGAAAGTGGCAGATGGTGTAGTATCAACCTTCAAACTGCAAAATATATCACCAATGTAAGAGAAATTTTGTTTTCACAGAGGTAAACTAAAAAGATACAGGAATAATTATAGTGCTGTATATTTGATCGTACAAATATAAGTTCTGTAGAGCTATGATAACAACAAATGAAGGTATTATGAAAACATGCAGAAAACAACAAGGTTATACCAAAAAACAAAGATGGAATCACAACAATTACAGGATGTATTATATATGAATTCATCAAAGTATATATTAAAAGCACGGTTAAGATTGATAGTGTACAAAATTTCACGCGACATGCACACAAGAAAACATGTATCTGAACATATCATCTAGTACATTTACATGAACTTTTTTGTATGATTGGCTGCCCATATAAACTACAGACATAACACTATGTATGTAAGATGATTTTAAACAAATTTCCATTTCCTTCAAGTTATTTTTTGCATGTTCAACGTATGTTTGGAATTCATTCATTGAATAACATCAATAATTTGAATCCACAAAGTTCATGTTATGCACAGTTTAAACACATCCACATTATGTACACAGTTTAGTTCAAGCCATCTTACTTTATTAACAAGATTATTTCTATGACATATGTTATGAGAACAGTGACAGCAACGTAACTGAGATGACTGTTTAGGACCTTGGGCCTCTTGGTTTCCATAGATCCTAGTTTGTATGACCCAAATCAGAGGTTTTATCTACTATGATCCATTTTTGAAGTGATAATATGAAAATATGGTGGATTTTCAGCATTAGTTTAGCCTCTTTCCAAAATAAATTCACACCAACTTGACACATCCCCAATACACACTTATTTTGACACCAAAAATGAGTTTTTATTTCATTCAACCTGATTTTTTTTTTTTTTTTTTTTTTTTTTTTTATAAATATTTGTAGTTACTTCAGAGAGGCTAAGGATCACTGTAAGGGATAAATAATAATGGAGACAGGAAGACTTATTATTCTGAGAATTTTTATGACATCTTGATTGATGTATTTTTGTTGATACAATTGATTTGCGGTATACTAACAAAGTAAATATCTCGAATCTGGATTTGAAATGATTTTCCGGACCAAATATTGTAATCCGAAAACCCGTTTTCGGTATTAGAATGATTTGTTTACAACCGGTCTGAAACACGCTTTTAATCCCAATAAGTTCCTGGTGTTTAATGCAGTTTTCGTGCTTTGATTTTCATGAATAATTTTCATGTAAGACAAGTCTGTTATCGTCAACATGGAAAGACTGTGTGCGTGCGTGCAGGTCCAGCAACTGGCAGTAACTGGGACTTGACAAATTCCGAACACCACTGGCTACAATAGGCTTACATAGATAGGTCTTATATAGGTAGTGCATTACATCTGTGAACGGACGTTTTACACATAAAATAACAGCATTTGATAAAAATAGTATGCATACACAGAATTTCTGTTTGAAAATACTTTTATCTAGTAAATCATGGCATACAATCTTTGAAGGAACAGCAAAAGCATTATTAAAAACAGAATATACTGTTTTGAAGTATTGTTTCAAACATAATAAGTGTGCTCTTTGGAACCTCTGATGTAAAAAGATAGCATCCGATTAAAACTTTCATATATGATATGAAAATAACAAATGTGTTTTGTTTTATGCTTAGGCTGACTTTACGGAGAGAAAATCAGATATGGCTGTTATCTGCAAATCCGATCTAGGTTGGGTTGTCGACCACAAGCAGTTCTTAGATCAGACTTACAATTTTCAGAGTAACCAGTCATCTGATAGTGTCCAGACATCATTACAGTTCCAGGCTGACCTTTTTGATATAAAGAGTCCTTTTATGATGGACAGCCAGTTTGCAGCCAAACAAGACAGTAACATAAGAACAACATGCGAAATGGAGTCAACCATGAAGAGAAAACGAAAAGTATTCAAAATTTTTTTGTTCATTCTGTTAATTCAATAGATTTTCAAGAATACAATAAATCTGCGATATAATCACCAATATTTTTCTAAACAAATGAAACGAAATAGAGAAATAGTATTGGATATACACTAGGCACAATTTCATTCAAGTCAAAGTCTTCTAAGATAGAGTGTTCCACCACCTTAGTTTCAAGAAGACTACCGATACAAAAACTTTTTAAACGAGTTAGCAACCTTACGTATCCTGTTTGTATAAGCACAAAGGGATGTTTTGGTAGCAGGTGTTTTTAAGAGGAATGATTACATGTAATTTGACAAATATAAATTGTTCAATAATGCCATCTTTATGCAAATAAATATAAAAAGAGAAATATCACATTCTTGAAAAAGATGAAAGATAACATGAAACTTGGTTGGTTAGTTTTTTGACTGGTTTAATTAAGTATATTGATATCCGGCAAGTGCAAAGGGGGTAGCCTTTATCCCTGCCGCTAGTTAGTCTCCTCCCTCTCCATTCAGCACCTTGCCAGCATCAGGCCAGGTCACTTGAATGGACTACTGCTCATTGTCATGAAACGCTAAGCATCCATCAAAGTCTTCCTGTTGACATAGTCTGTTTTTCTACAATTCAAATAACATTACTGATATTCATATTTTTGTGAGACAATGAAATAAATTCTGCATTCAGTCACTTTCTCTTTTGAGTCTTAATTAAGTTTAAAGTATCAAATAACGAATCAATATGAAAAAGTGCCACAGAAACTACACATATCTCAGCATAAACGATAAAAATCTTTCTTCAAAAGATGTGCAACACTAGGTTATAAAACACTCTATCTTAATGATAACTTTCAAAAAATTATATGGTATATAGTACACGCTTGAATATTTTGGCAGAAGAAAAAGCTGAATTAAGGGAAAATAGATCTTTACAACTGTAGTTGTATATTTTGTAGAGGAAAAGGAAAGTTGAGCTGAATTGTGGTGAACTGAAAGCAGCAGAGTACCATGATCAGATCAAAGATCAATTACGCTTAGCCATTAATACATTACTGGAAATGGGGAAGGAAATTGGCTATTTTCCCACTAAACAAAATGTGCAGGATTTAGACAACAATGTGAGAGCTCGGTCAGCAGTGAAGTCGCTTGGACAGACTAATGATAGCCTGGAGGAATCCTGTTACCAGTATCATTTTCCAACCGCCCGTAACCACCAGGGAATAACCTTACAAAACAATGGTAAGAACATGACTGAGACCTTGTCCTATTAGTAAATATGTAATAAGGGGGAAACATTGTCATAGTGGTATTAATATAACAATATAGCCCAGGCATTTTTATGCCCCTGTCATTTCATGGTTGGATGAATATTATGGTGTTACCTTATATATACTGCCAGGCTGTCAATTTTTTTAATTTTCTGCTTGTTTACTCATAAACAAATAAAGATACAGAACTGTAATTCAGTATTAAGTTGTGCATTGATAATTTTCAGGTCAAGTTCTGATTTGTATTTCCCAGAATTATGGCCATTCAACTTTTAAGAATTTCAATCAAGATTTTCACAAATACAATAAGACCATTATTGGAGAGCCTTGCTTAATTCCATCGGGAACTTGTAAAAGATATACAGGCAGAATTTTAGTTTTATTTTACATTGGATTCTGCAGGCAGTTTTTCAGTTTTATTTTATGTGCCAAGGGTTCTCCTTGGTTGCAAGTGGGAGTATATGTGTCGTTTCCTCACATCTAGTTCAGATACAAGATACATTCTCACCTGGCCCTTCAAGTTCATGGCATCACTTGTGAAGATATAACATACTTATACTTTTTTCACTTGGTTTAAAATTTTCTTCATAGCCCTAGCGATCACAGAAAACGCTATTAGTCTGGTAATTTATCTTGTTTTAATGGTAAATAATCACAGATTCCATGACAATGAGCAGCATTGTGAACAGACCTGTTCATTACCATGGTGATGACACTGCTTTTGTCAGTCTGGACAATGAACGGTATCTACTGCCACCAAGATGTTCATTTCTCTTGTCGGATATCAGCCATCTCAGCTTACTGGAGACAAGCATAGGTAACTACTGAGGACAGAGCTATAGAAGATGAAACCCTGATATGTTGCCAATGTTTTTCCAGGAAAATGTTATCAGTAAGTTAAGCAATAGCTTAGCCACAGAGTACATGTATTTACATCACTCAATTTTGTGACATTTCCACAACTGCATCCAGGTTTACCAAAGATATAAGAAAGTTTTGATGGGTAAATATTTTAAAGGTAGAATTTGGAGTTTAAGTTTTTGATATTCTTATCAAAAAGATATAAATGTGAAATATCTGTTTCAGATTTTCCTCAATTTGATATGATTGTGATGGATCCTCCATGGCAAAATAAATCTGTAAAAAGACTGAAAAAGTAAGTGAAACGAAACATGTTAAAACTTAGGGTAGATAGGGTCAGAATGTTGAAAATCTAATGCACTTCTAAAGGCGCGACATTGTGGTCCTTTTGAAAGAAAGTTCTTCTAATGAAAAAACTAGTGTTAACCATTTTGGGACAAATTTTACTCATAGTGTTTAATATACAGAAAATTAGCATCACCACATTTATGAAGATGTTTACTTCATGTTTCTTTCACTTTTATGCCTTGGACATCTGAGAGTCTCTGATTGCTAATTGCTGGACTTCGAACTATATTTCATTGTCCTTTTGTTCACCAAGTGTAATTTGTCCTGGGCATCTCTCCGTGAGATACAATTATTGACCTGCTTTCAGGTAAATACAAGCATTTATTAACTTTTGAAAGTGATAATTGCTTCAGCTGGATTGTTTTATTATATGATCACAATCCGTGTTTCTGGTTGGCCGAAAATTGCTTCATAAGTTACTGGGTTGTTATATGAAATGTATTCATGTGTGAGACACCAAACAGGGTGGTGAGCTGTTATGTTCACACCTTGTGTACATGAGTTCAGAGTGTTTTTGTGTAACATCACAATAAATTCAGATTTGTTAGAGATGTTTTGACCAATAAGTGTGTAGGAAAAATGACAATTATATGTCAAAAAGAGTTATGACTTTGTTAACCATGTGAAATTTGTTCAGGATATCTCACTGTATAAAGAGTTATGGCCCTTTGTTCATCCTGTGTATCTTTGTCTTGGATATCTCACTATATAAAGAGTTATGGCCCTTTGTTTATCCTGTGTATCTTTGTCTTGGATATCTCACAATATAAAGAGTTATGGCCCTTTGTTCACCCTGTGTAACTTTGTCCTGAATATCTCATATGATGATACAAAATTAGAACTTGTTCATGCAAAGATTGTACTTGACACTAATTTAAGCAGCACAGTCCAATACAAATTCATAAATGGATAGATTATGAGCAAACTAATACTCACAACTGTTTCATCATTCTAGCAATGGTCAGGAGGGGACTGAGGGAAATTAAAATTGGTGGAAATCAAATCAAGAATCCAATGGGGAGATGAATCAACCTCATTAAATTACAAAAAATTCAGTATTCGATGTTTCCGAGTAAGACCATTTGTTCAACGTGTGTAACATGCTCTCACAGGCACTGCCATCACTTCTGGAAAACTCAGGCTCTGTTTTCTGCAGGAGAAATAATGTGTAATCCATGTAAAATTACAGTTTACTTTCATTACTTCCACCAAGTTTCAGCTAGGGAAAATTTCTCTTTAACAGAATTTATCTTATCAGCCTATGGTTTTAGGTTCAGCCTACAGTGAATAATAATAATGCTATTAAGCTTACATAAAAAAAATTGTTAAAAAGATACAAAATAATTTTTACATACATGTATATTCAAATTTACTTCTATATCTAATAAATCATTATTGTAAGATTATTAACAAATATAAGTAACCATTGCTATTTTCTATAGGGTTCCTTATGACTGTTTTAAATTCAGAATGACAAACTTAATTTGAATTGTGAACTTGATTTAATTTGCTAGATAAGGTTTCAAAGCTTTACCTCCTTGATAGAGTTTTGACCAGTGGACTGGCATTAGAAACAGGAAGTGTTGTGTGCTTTTTGTTAAAAGTACATAATTCATTTTCATTAAATTCTTCTTTTGCATGAATTGGGTTTTTTCTTTACTTCAGTGGAAACATTGAAAAATAATTACCTCTGTTTCATATTAGTAGTAGATGATATGAAGTTGCCATTACACACACAATTTATTGTACAGTCTTTACAGGAGAAAAATATTTATATCTTACAGGTACTACAGTATGAGTAATGAAGACTTAATAGACATTCCAGTTCAAAGGCTTGGGGCAGATAACTCTGTAGTGGTGGTATGGGTCACCAACAGATGGCAGCACATTCAGTTCATTAAAGATTCACTGTTCCCAAGATGGTCAGTTGAATTTCTGACTGAATGGCATTGGGTCAAGGTATAACATTTCTGTGACTAATCATTTGGTAAAGTAGTTGACCTACATTTATAACTTTGTCTGAAAGTTGATATGAGCTCTGTATGCAATAAAGATGTTCATTCATTTATACCATTTGACGGATGTGTCACTTTAACATTGTAAACAGCTATACTGATATTATATTTCCTATACCATCAGAGTGGAATTTATGGAATTTAATGGTCATTTTTGGCACTATCACTTAAAAAACTTAATCATGTTTTATTTTTGTGAGTTCTAACACCGTTTCACCGTTTAAGTAGCCTTCAAAGATTTGGTTTAATATGGCTCATTACAAATCACTGAGCATCACTTTCAGTTTTAATTACTTACAGTTAATAAATTTTCAAACTCTTTATATCAGGTCACCAAAGCAGGTGAGATGGTGTATGAATTTGACTCCCCACACAGAAAACCTTATGAAGTACTGATCATCGGCAGATGCAGGAAACTAACAGTTGAGACCGATACTGAAAGCACTGAAGAACAGTCCATTATACAAGAAAAAGAAACTTCGAAGATCCCTCTTAATAGGACCATCTTAAGTGTTCCATGCTGCATTCATTCTGTCAAACCTCCTCTACAAGGTAAGTCTGGCTTCTTGGAAGAACCATTATCTGTGTACCTTGCTGTCTCAATTCTATCACACCTTCTCTACAAGGCAAGTCTGACTGAGAAAGGTGAGTGAGACCTCTCAGTAGGACCATAGTCATTGTATCCTACTGCTTCTATAGTCACACCTGTTTTACAGTGTAAGTCAAACCTTTCAATAGGACCATCATCTTCGTGTACCCTTTTCCTGAAACAGTTATATCTCCTACACAAGGTAAGTCAGATCTCTCAGTAGGACCATCATCATTGTACCCTGATGTCCTCATTCTGTCACACCTTTTCAAAATAAGTTGGACCTCTCAGCCTGAAACATTGCTACTTTTATACAAGAAATGCTAGCATAGAATTTGTTATTAAGTCTGAAGGTCAAGGTCACTGTTACAGTAGAAAATTGAACCCTATACACTGACTCCAATTCATTACATGAATTTTTTCAATCCTGAGCTACACATACTACTTCATTACTTGTACCTGCAGTCGGGAAGGCCAGCATCACTGTTATCTTAATAATATCACAAGTTTAATCAGTTCGCAATGCATTAAAATGAATTGTACCTCTTAAATAATGATTTGACATTTATACCTGTTTGTATCAAAATTATTGTCTGTGAAAATTTGTTGGGTATTATGAACATTTTATATCAGTATGTACAATATTGTAGGAAAGGATCGTAGTTTTTTAGAGATAACAATTGTTGTTGTATATTTACAGAGGTAATGAAGGAGTATCTCCCATCAAACCCTCACTGTCTGGAACTCTTTGCTAGAAACCTCTGTCCTGACTGGACCAGCTGGGGTAATCAGGTACTGTAGCTCTGTCCTTGGTAGCTTGTTGATGACCTGGCTGAAATAATTCAGTTGGCTGGGCATTAACAGTAATTAGTGTTTAACGAACACACCTGTACCCTATGTTGGAAATGATATATGACCATATAAAGCTCAAAATGCAGTTTTTGAATTTCCTGTTTGTATAAAAACAATGAACCAAAAATAAAATATCATCCATTTTCACCCGTACTTAATAGCATAACATTTTTAGAAATATATGTGTGCAGCAATCCTGCTTTATGCAGAAATTCTGAAAACACATGATATTTAGCCGATAAGTTTCGGACAGGTACAGATAGACCCCTCAAACTGTACATATTGTAAATCTAGCCTTGGTCCTGATCTGTTCTTGTCATTTCTGTTGCAAGTTCCAGTCCAACCATTTCAACCGCTTACACAACCCTTGCGTCTGTAACGTTTCCTATGTTGTCTGACGAAAAAGAAAAATCAAAACAAGAAAACAAACAAGCCTGTGAATAAACAGATGTTGTTATTAACAAGATGCTGTCATAGATGTCCCTTGTTCAAATTTCACGAAATGATACCATCCACCATGAAACTAGGGTGATACCAAAACCAGAGTGATGCCACTTGGGAAGGGCATATTTTAATGAGGTTGGACCAATTCTTAGGGATAGAAAGTAGGGCCCTAAATTTTCTAGTAATTATTGTAGGTTTACATTTAATGTTAAGCATCACTTTGGCAAGTGAACATATTCTGTATGTATGATGTTGCTGTGACCCCTGAAACCAAAGGGGCAGGGTCACTAAGCAAAATTGAGACCAGACATTCTGCTTTGAGTTTTACTCATCCTGATTAATGATGGCATGGATTCTAAGTTTAACTGGTCTGAAACATCTTTACTGAGAACTGAAAGGTTCTGTATGAAAGAAATTGATGTACATATTATCCCCTTTTGCCAGAGGGGCAGGACCCAATAAGGGTCAAGACAATTTGCTTTGAATCTCCACTGAATAAGTTACTAAGTAATTCATGACCACTATATTTTGACTACTAATCACAACTGCTGTCTTGAAAAACAGCTTTTTCGTGAAACTTCACTAAAAGTGGTGTGAATTTCAAAATGATTTTATTTTCCCTGCCATATAAGTTTTTGTAATCAGATTGCTGTCTAGATGTGTGATACAAAATCTGATACTTAAAAGGTGTGACTGTATTACACACTGGTTAATATTACTATTGAGCTGTTCGTTTTCTGTTTCAGGTTCTGAAGCACCAGCAGCTGAAGTACTTTGATGCAGTAACGTGAGATCATCCTTGTGAATTTTGTCACAAAAATTGAATCACCAACTGCAAGGGTGAAAGACTTTGATGTCACCATTTGTACTTCCCATTAGCTACAAACATGTCAACAGGTATATTAACTCTCAGATGGAGAGAAGTGTTATGTGCCGCAACATCTGATGTACCTTTCTGATGGAAAAAGATTTTAAAAGTGCTAAATAAACCAAAATTCCAGTCTATAGACAATGCGGTTGGGCTGCTTACCCCAGGTTTTTTTATGGCCAAGGTTGACCTCAAGTCAGCCTATAGATCTGTAGCTATAAGTGAACATGTTCAAATGGTAACAGGACTCCAATGGATATTTGATGATGAACCTCACTATTCCTTTGAATCTAAGCTGCCATTTAGAGCAAAGGCAAGTCCCGGGATTTTTCATAGAATTACACATGTCATCTGTAGGATTTTGTCTTGTGCTGGACACCACAATCTGATGGCATACTTGGATGACTTTCATTCGTGCAGATTCTCAGGAGAAGTGTTCCTCTGTGTTAACATATCTTATAAGCCTGTTGAGAAAGATGGGATTTCTCATTAACTGGTCTAAGGTACATGGCCTAGCCCACGTTATGATATTTCATGGCATTGAGATTGACTCAGTCAATATGATGTTACAATTACCTTTAGAGAAGCTGGAAGTTCTTAGATCTGATATCTGTGATTTCCTTTATCGCAAATGTGCTTACTTGCGAGACACATTAAAGGTGTAAACAATGGCATGGCAGACACTGGGTCTCAGCTTCATGAGCCTGTTCATTTGCAAAAGTTTTGTATCAGCTTTGGTTGACCAGTACCAACTCTTTACTTTCTTGATCACACGTCAGCACTTTCCTTTTTCTATGTCTCTGAACAGGTGGCAAGGGCCCTTCGTTGAGATCCACCACAATCAAGAATCTTGATACTACCATAGACATATTACAGGCGGACAATTTTTCTAAGTCTACTCAGAAGATCTACAGTACATACCTTATGTATGCTTGTAGAGATACTGTAAGTCCCTTTATCACCAGTTTATCTGGGACGCTATGTCCCTTATTTGTCTGATCGACTTTCCTTTCCTTCATGAAGGCAATATTTGTTTGTTATTAAAGTTTTGCACCAGGAATTGGATTACCCCAATCCTCTTGACTCCTTTTATGTCAGAACTACATGGAAAGGAGCATGTAGAACAATGGTTGTTGTTTGCAATCCAAAGCTCCCCATCCCTGGTCATTTTCACCAAGATTTGTCAGGCCACATCCAAACATATTACTTTTTGGGCAGCATGCCTGGTAGCCTTTGTCACTACACCTCAAAGTCGCCTGCACTTTAGGGAAGGCAGTATAACATAACACAGGTCATGGAGACAGATAGACTGCATCCTTGTTTGCGAGTACAGTAGCTTTCACTGAAAAACTGTATTTGTTATATTTACTCTCAGTTATAGCATCCAAGACTTGGACAGTATGTGTTTTGGACTGCCTACATTGACTTCATCTTACATGTATGTGTGGTTAACCTTAACTTGACAGTGAGGGTCCTACCAGACCATTCCATCATATGTGTGCGGTTGTGATCTGTTGATACATCTCATATGTAACCTCCTGGATAATGGATGCTATTAATTCACCACATCCACACAGTGACATTTTTTTCATGTTTGCTTTGTTCCTCAAGGAATGTCATACCCAGTTAGCCTTTCGACGTCAGCCGTCTGTAAACTTTTCAGTAAAAGCACTACTCCTGTTTAACACATTTGTGGATTTCAACCAAATTTGGTCTGAAACATCATAGAGGAGGGGGATATTTCTTAAATTCAGGAATTTGATTCGTTCCCGAGGTACCAAGGGTAATGATATCAAACATGCTTTAAGTGATCCCGAGAATGCCCTGACCAAATTATTTTTTTTCCGATTCGGTCCAAACTTCAACAGAGCTCATCTATAACAGATAGTCTGAACTTCTCAAGTTTCATTCACACCATTGACTGAAATATTTGGATTTGGATTTTTTAAGGAAAAGAAAAGAAAATTTGTCGTTATTTTTCTGTCTGATCAAAACTAATCATGGTAACCACGATAGTTATTTTGTAACATAATTATGCAACTGTTTTTCATGCAAAGAACTTACCATTTATGAGTTTCTGATACTTCCAAGGAATATTCAGAATTTGAATTCATCAGATTTGTTAGACCACCATCAGTGGTTTGTCCATCCATTTCTTGATAGTCAGATGACCGTTACAGGCCATGGCCCTCTTGTTAAGTTCTTGAATGCAGAAATCCCCATCCCACCCATACTTTATAGATTTCATGTTGTAGTTATTAGTTTGTCGCTGTCTCTTAGTGGCAGACCAGTATTTCATTATTTGTGGACTGTGTTGTGTACTGTTGCATTATATTACGTAATCGCTAAATATTGGTTACTTTTGGACCAGAACCTGTGTTTGAGTTTTTTTTTACCTACCCATGTGTACAGTTACATCTGATTAATGGAATAAACAGATAAAATTTAATATGGATTGTAATACTAGCAAATTTGGTTGGTTAGATTAAACCACAAACTGAAGTGCCACTGAAAATGTTTATTTGGAAAATTATGAAATTTGAGTCCCATGAAAATATGAATTTATAGTAAAGGGTACTAGAAAAATTCTTCATTTGTCAAACTCTAAAATATCTAAATTGGCAGCATGCCAGCCATTTCAGTGTTCTGTTTGCACTAGGGGCAACAGGGAACTTGAATTTAAAAGCTGACAGAGAAATATTGACTTTTCAGAATCCGACATGGGACAAACGGCTGCCTTTGCTTGTAATCAAACTCCAGAACATAATTTGTGAAACTGGGGACCTTATATAACTTAGATAATTACAAAAGATCCATCTAGTTCTTTTTCAGTAGATACATGTATTTTATCCCTCAAAGAAGAAGGTATTGAACAAAACTGCTTGCCACTATCACATATCCTATGCTTAATATATGGCATGGCATTCATGTAATTAAATTGCTGTCAGCTGACTGTTATCATCATAATCAGCTGAAGTGATGACTGTCTTGCATTTTGCATAAAAATTGAAGACGATTTAGTTTGACTACAACCATGTTTGTTCCATTATGTCAAAACTGACCTTGACCTTTGATCTGAACATTTGACCCAATAGGTTATTTGACTCTGTATTTGCATCTTATCAGCTTGGCTTCATATCATGTAACTGATCTTAGCCATTCTTAACTAGATAGATGCAGATGCTTACACTCGAGTTGTAGCACAAGCTGCCCTTCATTTTGGTGAGATAAAATTGTCTGACGTTCAATAAAATCTAACACTGGTTGGCTTGAAAACCTTTATCAACGACCGAAATAAATACAAGCCATGATATTTACAATGTAAATATTTTATTCATATATTTTCTTACAATAATTCAAAACGTAACAAACTTTGCTAAAAAGTCCTTGATTACATGAACAGAGGACTATTTTGATACAGACATCATTATCAGGTCTTGATGCATAGGTTCTTCAATATGTCCTTCACTATCTGTTCTTCTCTGGTAAAATACAGCAGAGAAGCACTCGAAATTGATAGTAAAAGACATGAGCACTTTAGCTCAATTCACAAGTCAGAAATTTCACAAGGTCTTTTGTCATCAAATCCTCTAGTTATCACTTAAGTATAAAATTACTACAAGAAATATGTCCTGTTATATAGCTATATGCTTAAATTTCTGTTATAAAAGTAATATCAATATTCAAATGTCACAATTAGATAATGCTGATTTGATATATATGGTCATGAATACATTTTATACAACAACAAATTTATTAAAACAACAACATCTTGTTAATTCTGTAACATAAAAAGTGGATACATAAGAAATCACTGGTGAAAATGATAACAAAATTAAAACTGTTTAAAAATAAGAAAGTTTTCTGGAAATTAATTGGATGATGCATTGATACTGGCATTAGCTTGAGCTGCTGGAGCACCTCAGTGGAATCGCAGATGATAAGAGGTGAAAGACATGATTGATGACAGGACTCTCTAACGAGAAAACACACTCATTCCATCTCCTAGGTAGTCCTACAAACAGAAAACAAAGTCATATTCACTATTCAATGATTAAAATTTTCAATTTTATTTTATTATATTTGGCATAAATTAGGAGTTGAAATGTAGCCCTGAAATATTTACATTGGATTAGAAAGTGAAGTTTAAAATAACAATTGTAAGTGTAGATAGTCTTGATCCACAACCTGGTAAATACTCAATCCATACTACTGATAATTCCACACCCTTGATAAAGCCACTTCTAAAAAATTTCCAACATTCCTCATGTTCATTTTGTGAAAAGCAGTTGAAATGGCTGGACCAGTTGAGACTGTACGGATTGGAACCAAGGCTGGTCTGTTGAATATTTGGCACTTGCAGATTGTGGGTTCTAGCCACACATGTCCGAAACTAACTTTCTGAATATCATTAGTTTTCTGAATATCACTGTAAAGTAGGTTCGGTGCACTCACATATTTCTATGTGTTTAAATGTTGCTCCACATCTGTGGCAGATACTGTGAAAAAGCCAAATGAATATTATATTAAGTTTTATGTTCCAGTAGTAAACTATCAATATATCGGTAGGAACAATTTTCAACATGAGACCTGCCAACATTTGAACTCTATACAATAAATTTATGGAATGGAAGGATATAGCCAGTTTCTGATTCCTGGAATCAATATACAAAACTTAAACAAAACTAAGAGAATTTGAGGCAAAAGTGTGGAACCATACTTTACCACAATTAAACCTCTTCCCCTAGTGAAAAAATTTTTACCTGTAATCAAAAGTAAGGAGGGAGCTAATTTGCAAGTACCTTCCTGTACATCAGTGGCTTTGTAATTTTCCAGATTTATATCGAAATTGAAAAGGGCATCACAAGGGATCAAGGATTTGAGAAAAGACCCATCATATAGGAAAGATGAAAGGTTAGACTTACATCATAAAATCCATTGGAGCATTTCCTGCACACAGACATAGCAGCTCCAGTGTGGTCTGACACACAATGGCAGACTTGGCATTCATGAGGCACAGCTGAGGCAGCAACACTGTCTACAATGATCCCTGAAAACCTCCTCCTGTCCTTCAGTCTGCGGCTGGCGAATCCGGTGGAATCAAAGATGGTGCCATTGGTTTCCAGAGATAAGGTGGAACAGCTGTCTGAGGGAAGGGCCATATTGTCGTACAAGTTAGCATGGCTCTGGTCCAGCATGTACTTATTTGAGCTGTCCACTCCTACAAGTGTAATTTAATATCTTTTGTAACTTTTATTCAGTTTGAGTGTGCTGAGCCAATATTAACAGTTTAGCATATCTAGAGTGACTAATACAATCCTTGACTAATACATACAAATGATATGCATCAAGTAACATTCACTCTACAACAAGAAACAGAGGTTTTCCTTATGTTTATCTCTCTAATGATTAACCCAAAGTCTAGAACTACATTCATTAGAACAAACTATGTGTCCCTTCATCTATTCAGAATAACCATTCATTAATGCCAGCAAAGTCTCAATTAAAATGTCGATAGGTCTTTTGGGTTGTTGAGATATTTTGACCTGTGTGTTACTAAAAGATGATAAAGGCTGAGTTTTTTTTAACAATCAAACAAAGTATTGAATATTCAAGTATTAGGGTACCATACTCACTTCTCCCAATATATACACACGATGTTACCGATAAGTTCACATCTGACTTGTGACTCCAAAAAGAACATATCACCAAGAATGATACATAATGCAGATCCCATCTGCAGTATCCAACTCTTAAAAAATATCAGTGTAATTTTAGTGACTATTTCTTTAAAGTACTAATATCCCCATGAAGCAAAATTCTAGTATCATCAAAGGTAATACACGTTTCTACAGAAAACATAAATAGCTTTGCAATGTTATACATTTGCAGTTTCCGGTAAAACTGGTGTCAAATACGAAGCAGTTTAGCTTTGACTCTTACCGAGGATTTTATGCTTTGGAATACGGTTGTTTTCTAATCTGAATTGCTGGTCACGCAAGATGTGCAGAGTTATGTCCCTTGTACGGAGGATGTGTTTCAGATGGTCCTGTATGGAGGGGCTGACTTCTGGACATTCATCACACTGTACGAGGACAATGGTCTTGGATACACCTGTTCTGAATGGGTAGTTGGTCGCAGTTAGGATAGCATCATGAGAATCAGCTGTTTCATCATTGTATGTCAATGTCTCCACACCCTTAGTGAATTTGGTGGCATCATTGAGGAACAAACCTTCAATTGTGTGGCTGCTGGCTCCCCTCTTGCCATAGCTGATCAAACCGTACCTATTACCAGCCATTCCTGTGACAAACAGACAGAATAGCGATCATATGTTTTGATCCTAATTACTGCATCACAAACGAGTAACTAGATCAATGCTGATGTATAAACTCAAGTACAACTTTCTTAGTTTAACTTTCAAAAATATCAAAACTGAATCTTGGATGTTCTGAATGATAAGTTATTTTGCTCTTTTTATGATGGCACAAATTTTTCACAATAGAGAAACAGAAAAGGTTGGTGCACATAATTTCTTCATCACATGCAAATTCATGTGTGTAGGTCAGTTAGCATCTCAAACAAACACAATTTAGGCATTATGTGTAGACTGTATGGTAATGTCAGTATTTTGATCGACCTATTATAAATGCTGTATTACATTTATCAGAAGACAGAATGATTTGAGATACCTGACTGGGTGAGGCCTTGATCTATTTTGTACACAAGACTGCCAAGGTTTTGTGTGGCTTCACTGTTACATTGGCGACTTTCCACAACAAACACAATATCTGCAGACTGAGGAACTTGGTAGTCGTCACTTGCTGGGTACATTTTGATTGTCTCCCCTGCATTGTATCTCTCTGATGTTGGAGTCTCACACTGGACTGTAACAATTATTATTACCTTTAATTTCTAACAAATATGATTTAATTCACTTTAATTTATTTATTACCAGGTGGTAGCAGGTAAGTAGACTGCTTGCAATGAACCGACTAAGACAGCAATGCTTTCTTTTTACAAATCAATCATTCCAATAACTGTTCTAACTATGCATTCAGGTTCATATGTATTTCAACTGAAATCTTGTGCATTTTGTTTTTGTCACATTTCTTAAAGAAAAGGGTGATTTTTGTAGGTTTTAAGCTTAAGAGTTACATACTGCACTGCTGAGGTAGCCACATTCTAACACCACGGGCTTGGCAGGATTTTACATACACAGAGGCGACATCGCACACAAGTTCGCCTCTCTGGACGCCAGATAGACACATGTGCATGAAATACTCTGTGTCAACCTGAAAAATATATATATATATAATAAAACAACTGACAAACTATTTCTGTATTTGACCGTATAATTTGAATGAAACCATATCTCCAGAATAAAGGTGTACTAGTACACACGGTGATAAGATATTAGTCACTCCACTATATCTAAGCCACTGAATTTCACAAATATTCATTTTGTATCTGTATTTGCAATAAGTTACACTAAATTTTTCCTTTTTTATATAATGATAAACTAGATACACTGTTCGTGATATGATGAGAATATCGAGAATGCTCATTAGATATCAAAACAATTCAATGAAATCTTTTCTAAATAGGAACTACACACACTATATATATATACATGTATGTATCAAACTCAGGTAAAGTTACGACAGGTAAATCAAAGCTTGAGCCTTCGAATAACAGTATTACTGTATATGATGTATTGTGTTAATTTAATGACATTTGACATTTTGGACACTGTAACACATTTGAAGATGGAATACAGTTTTTGATTCGTGCCCTCCAGGACTCGAACCCACGATCTATGGTACCAAATCGCCTAGACAAGAAATTTCAAACTGCCCAACTTTTACACTACAACATCTTTTTACATACATACAAATATAGATACATTGTAAACTCAAAAGATATTCAAACTAAATGCTGTCAACTTTCCTCATCAGAAAAACCGAACACTGGCTCTGATTACACTTTCATTTTCTGCTACTTTTATCTATATACTTCTAAAAATTCCCGTAATAAATCATAATGGTTGACTTTGAAATCTAATGATAATTATCAGTGGTTCTAGGCAATGACTTTTCTCTTGCTACAACTCAAAACTATTTTTTACCTGTTTGAAGCAAGGTCTGAGAGGAGAAGTGGATTCCTTGAAGAGAGCTGCGCATTTACTATATCCAGTGGAATCCTCATCAAATGTTTCCTGACTGATGATGTTACCTTGCACTCGGCAACGTTTGTTGACTTGCCAGGACTGACTGAAAGCGTCAACATCGTCTGTAAGTGTACCATCAATTTTCATCATGTCATCAAAGTGTTCGTTGTCGTAGGTGCCTAGCAAACCAGCTACCTTACCAAAGTACCATCCACTAATACCGACAATGAAGTGTTCATGTTCCACATCACCTGAAAAAAAACAATGCCGTACATTTATTAAGGTGGACATAACAACAACAAATTATTTATGTATGACAGCAATGTCTCATGTTCTACAATTTGTATCATTAAAAATTGCAGAACTAGCTTAGTAGTCAACATGCCAGTGTTCTAGATGAACGACTTGCTTTTATATACTGTAAATGAATTAGATTTCATGGATACTTTATTTTGGAGAACTTACCTCTTTAGATATGTTTGCAGATAATTAATTTCCTTTTAAAAATCATATATGATTGGCTATAAGAGAACTGGACACTACAAGACACTGATAACAGTAACAAAACCAAAATGGATGCCATCCAGAGTTCATGTTGTACAAATAATTGCAAGGGATTTGAAATTTACAATCGACTCTCCCTGTCTATTAACGCAAAAAAAAAAAAATCTCTGGCAAAAAGTGTAAATGATTTACAGTAAGTTTTACAATGAAAGCATGACACAGTAAAAACTACCTTTGCCATACTACCTGCTTGTCTGTACATGTGAAGATAAACATTTTAACAATACCTGATTCTAATGGTAAATGAAATCTTTTGACTGAGAAGACGGTAATGAAGAGAATACACTTACCAATGATTTCTAGACCTCTGCCAGTATTCAGTTTCACGTGGTTTCCATCACGCTCAACGCTTAGTTCTTCATGAAGGAATGGGAGCTCTGAAGGTCGTCCGTCAACACGAATCTAAAAATTATCACTCAAGTGTGATCAAATTTATTGATTCCAAACAATTAAAATGAAAATTTGACAAAAAAAATGAAACATTTTTGAAAAATTTATAGAATAGACTTTATACCTCATTTCCAGAAAATTAACAGATAGTAAATATTACCTTCTGGATTATCGTTATAAATAACTTGATAATGTAAAACACAACACAGAAAATGTAAAATTTCAAAAGTAAGTTTCGGTAGCTATGGCAATACTTACACCAGTGCTAGATATTTCGACATTCTTTCCTCCAGCCATCACTAACAATGAACGGATTGCAGGCATCCGTCTGTTGCGGTTGAAATTGACTACCACAGTGAAGTTCTTGTCATGAAAATCATGTGCAAGTACATAACTGCACATTCCCGCAAAGTCATATTTCTTGTTGTCATACGTTATGTAATGACGATTTCCAGCAACCACAGCATAAGCTGAAATAGGAAACACAAAATATCACCCCTGTGTTGCTCGGGTTCCAACTATTCTCAATTGACTTATACCTTATATCTTATTCCTTATTAATGGAGATATTAATGATGTCGGTTTGCAACTTCAATCTTGATTATATAACTATTCATGTAATATCTACTGAAACAGCTGCATTTATGTATACATGTTTACCTTTAAATGGTGGTATCCAGTCCCTGGGATTACAGGATGGCACATATTTGTAATAGATATCCCAGAATGACAAGTCACGCAGCTGAACTATATGCTTTTCCCAAGCTCTCTTGAATCCAGCAACATATTTCTTGAAATTGAATTTTGGAATTCTGTCCAGAGCTGTTCTTGGTGACGGTAGGAAAACTTCAAACTCGATGTGTCCATTCTCGGGATCAAAGACAATGATGCGGTTTTTATGCCAGTCAAGGATCTTCAGTTTTCCAATATCTTCAGTGATAAATTCCCGACCATATTCATAAAGGTCTGAGGAAATTTCCCGCATGTTTAATGCCAATGGCCAGTTTTTAGCAACAGATGTGAGCTGTAAAAAGGAAGCAGAGTCCACCTATATTTGGCTATATATTTCATTTCAATACAACCACAAGGTAAACTACAATATTAACACCCAATAAATAACTGCAAGAATCCTGTGCTGTATACTCAGAAAACTACCATTATGTCATGTTATACTCAGAAATCTACCATCGTAATGTCATGTTATACCCAGAAAACTACCATCATTATGTCATGTTATACTCAGAAAACTACCATTATGTCATGTTATACTCAGAAATCTACCATTGTTATGTCATGTTATACCCAGAAAACTACCATTATGTCATGTTATACCCAGAAAACTACCATTATGTCATGTTATACTCAGAAAACTACCATTGTTATGTCATGTTATACTCAGAAATCTACCATTATGTCATGTTATACCCAGAAAACTACCATTATGTCATGTTATACTCAGAAAACTACCATTATGTCATGTTATACCCAGAAAACTTCCATTATGTCATGTTATACCCAGAAAACTACCATTATGTCATGTTATACCCAGAAAACTTCCATTATGTCATGTTATACCCAGAAAACTACCATCATTATGTCATGTTATACTCAGAAAACTACCATTATGTCATGTTATACTCAGAAAACTACCATTATGTCATGTTATACTCAGAAATCTACCATTATGTCATGTTATACCCAGAAAACTACCATTATGTCATGTTATACTCAGAAATCTACCATTGTTATGTCATGTTATACTCAGAAAACTACCATTATGTCATGTTATACTCAGAAAACTACCATTATGTCATGTTATACTTAGAAAACTACCATTATGTCATGTTATACCCAGAAAACTACCATTATGTCATGTTATACCCAGAAAACTACCATTATGTCATGTTATACCCAGAAAACTACCATTATGTCATGTTATACTCAGAAATCTACCATTGTTATGTCATGTTATACCCAGAAAACTACCATCATTATGTCATGTTATACCCAGAAAACTACCATTATGTCATGTTATACCCAGAAAACTACCATAGTTATGTTACTTACCTGGGTATAAAATTCTCCTATCAGGATTTTGAGACTTGATATATCCTCGTCCTGTAGGAGTTCATCAATCTGGTCACTGAAGGCTTTCTGAGTTCTCTGCACCAGATGGTCGTAATGCTTTGCCAGTTTCATGCTGCCAAGAACTGCCTTCATTGTATTGTGTATTTTGGCAAGATATGCCTGATAGTTAATATCTGGTAGGTCAGGTGAATCAGGAATGTATGTCAAAACTTCTTCTAAATGATGTTTTGCTTTCTGCACATTCGGATATTGAACCAAATCATCCAATGTTTGTGATAGCATCAGACTCAACTCATCTGACAAACTGGCCAGATATTCCCTCAACTGTTCAAGAACTTCTGTCACCTTGGCTACCATTACTTCCTTTTCACTGTTTAGAGTGTTTTCAAGTTGTATTCTGTACTCCTGTAACATTGAGTATTTGCAAGGCATTTTAACATAACTACCAAGAGGGCATAAATGTGCAATAGTTATAACGAAAAAAGTTTTATACAGTGAGAGTGATTCTGTGTATGGAAGTCCCATGAAATGAAAAGTTAATTCCATGAAATGAAAATGAATTTTACATATGGAGAATCATAATTGTGGTCAAAGTAGAATTCCTTAGAAAGCATCTCAATCCTGCCAAACTCTCAAATCTTTTCATGATGATGTGGGAAAAAATGTTATAAAAATCACAAAATGCTTAGAAAAAATATCTGAACTAACTGAAAAAACAGCCATTTAAAATGCCATAATCTTAATAGGTTGAACTCAAACAAAAAGTAATCTATCACAAATTAACAAGACTTTAAAGTGAAAATGAGAAACTTTGAGGAATAATCCCTATGCAAGGACATGCATGTATTTCTTAGAATGTAAATATATCAATTGATGCTGGAAAACAAAATTGAAATTGTTACATGTTGATCACTGTATTTCTTAGAATGTAAATATATCAATTGATGCTGGAAAACAAAATTGAAATTGTTAGTTAATTCTGATATATAGACACTTGTGGTCAAAGTGTTTTTGATCTTTTATTGGGAACCAATGTTATACATCCTGTTTGTTTAAGGCTCAACTTGGTTCAACTAACCTCCAACTAGAACATTCCTGTACTCCTGTAACATTGAGTATTTGCAAGGCATTTTAACACAACTACCAAGAGGGCATAATGTGCAATAGCTATAATGAAAAAAGTTTTATACTCAGAACGGTGTCCACCACTTTCTTTTCTCAATACGTTGAACTCAAACAAAAAAGTAATCTATCACAAATTAGCAAGACTTGAAAGTGAAAATGAGAAACTTTGAGGAATAATCCCTATGCAAGGACATGCATGTATTTCTTATAATGTAAATATATCAACAGAAATTGTTAGAGATATATAGACACTGTTGATCCTTTTACTAAATACACAACAAAATACACAACAGTTACTGAACAAAAATACATAATTATGGTTCAACTAACCTCCAAGCTAGCAATCACCTCATTGACATTTTCATTGTATTTTTCCTCGAAGGGGAACGTCTGGATTTTGTTGGTAATTTCTGCCGTTCTCTGCCTCATGGTTCTAACTGACTGACCAAATGCAGAAACAACCTGGCCATACCGGACACTGCACAATAAATAAGAAATATCAACTCCTGAATCAGCAGACATTTAAGAATATGTTTTTATTCTTGACCTTTCTACAAGAGATGAAGGAGATCCAGTTTTGACTTTCAATTCAACCTTATTCAAGCTAGAATGAATTTGTAAATGTCTTTCCTAAATCAGAGACCATGTCATACATCTTAGATAGCAACTTAAAATACATTTCCTTGTGGCCATGATATCAACTCTGTATTACGTTTTGTAAGTTGTTTATGAATAAGTTTGGGTTTGTTTTCTTTTATCTGGGCCCAACCCTGAAGATCTACTGTCCAGGATGACCAAACAATAGGTAATTATGTCTTGAGTGTCTCCGCTTATCTCCGCTTAAATATGTATATAAAGTATGTTCCAGGTTTTGTTCTGACGGCCCAAATACTTTGATAGAAACAGTGGTTAACGCTAAGATAAATGGAAAACTTTGACTAATTAATTAACAAAGTCCAACCAATGCTAAACTGAAGGTGAAAATTTGAGATCTGAAATGTGTGTTGGGCTGATCACAAAAAGATGTTAGTATATTCCCAAGTTTGGTTAGTTATGACAGCTTAATACTCCGTGAGAAAGAAAGCTCAACATCGAAATAAACAGAAAAAAATTTAACATAGCTCCATTTTTAACCAAGAATGATTTTTAAGGTAAAATTCAGAATCTGAAATGTCTGTTTGGATTTAGATTTAAGTGTATTCCATGTTTCGCTATGACAGTTTAGGGTACTTAAAAAATTCAGCTCAATGTAAAGCATGGCACAATTCTAATTCCATGTCAACTACTCTCCCCCCACCAATTTCACTTCTCGTCTTAATTTTACTGTAAAATCCAATAAAATATAATTATGTATTCCTATTACGCTTTTAAAGTGAGTTCTTATTAACTGTCTGTATTTTAATTCCAAATAATTCACCAGTTACGCCATCACGCTTGATTTAGTTTAGATATTCAAAGGAAAAGGATTTATATAAGTTATTTAACTTGTTTCCAATTCCAATTCCTATGTATACTTTGCTATGTATTATTCGCATGTTGTTTTGGAATAAAATAAAGTTTATATTAACTATAGGTATGTCAAACCCTTCATCAAGAATATGTACCAAGATTCTCTTGCTTATACAACCATTAAGTAGGCTTAAGTAGGCTTGGTGATGATAGTACTTGTAATTTACTGAACATGCTGCTGGCACCACATGGAAAACTAACGCCAATGTATCACTTCTCGATTCCATTGTATGCAAGACAAAATTTAATCTCATTGGTTGAAAAATAAAATTAAAGTGAGCAGGGGCTCACACAGAATAGATATAGCACACAATCCCCACACTCCTACCCCCTCCTATCTTTTTTATCTAAATGTACTAAGCATGACTTATAACGTTTAATGTGTTCAATGGCTACCAAAGTGTGACCATGTATTGACCTTGATGTAATGATGCTCTGTGAAAATATGAATTAAATCTGTCCATTGGTTCATGAGACATCTTGTACACTAAAAGACATCAAAGACACACTGATGCACACACAGATGCACAAAGTGATTATCATATACCTTGTATGTAAGTAGGGAGTATAATTATTTATTCTATATCAAGGGTTATATTGAATTAAGCAGAAACAAGGATGATTTGTCTACTTTCATGTGTATATAAGCTTTTTGCACAGGGATGGACTATACCTAGATTTCAAAACTAAACTCTGAATTCTACATGTGACCAATGGAAAGCAAGGCTTGCTTGGTGGATCATATGTGTGATGTTGGTTAACAAAATTAGTCAAATCAACAAATAATGAAAAAAAATAATCATGAAAAACAGTTGACAAAAGTATACAACTCACATGAATTTACGAATGTTGCCTTCCATCTGTTGATTTGCATCACGGAGATAAAAATCGTTATTTCTATACATCTGATTAAGTCTTTGCTTGAACTTCCGCAATTGTGCATGCATTACTTCAATCTCTTCAGCATACTGTTGAGCAACAGGTTCCAGTTCCACTGTGATATCATTGCTGAGGAAGTTGTATCGGTCCTCCAGTTCATTTCCCACCAGTTGGGACATCTCAGCTAGCATTGTGTCCGCTTCACTTCCATACTTCTGAAGGGTGTCAGCAATGTAGCCCTACAAGGAAATCACTTTTAAAAACCAACTTACTACTAGGAGGGTTAACATTCATTTAATTTTTATATCATTTTGTCTTCAAAACAAATATGAAACATTGAAATACAAATTTTAATTATTTGCATGCTGGTAATATTAAAAGACTATCAGAGTGCAAGTTCTATTAGCAAAACACAAATGATCTTATATCTTAAAGATAAAATTCATATCTATACAAATAAATTGAATAAGTCGAATGGTCCTACCATGAGATCTGACAGCATTTCTGGCCTCCACTGCACTTTGGTGTGTAGTAGACGTGAGCTTTTCAGACGAAGCTTGATGAGGGATTCAGGTAGCCTAGGGAAGTCACCAGTACGGTACATTTCAGCAGTGAAGTCTATATTGTCTGTGTATTGGGTCCTCAGGTGTAACACATTATTTGGATGTTCTGAACAAACAAAAGATCACACCAAGTCAAGCACCAGGCTCCGTAGCAAAGTCAGACAGTTAAAGCCATATATCACAACATATCATAAAATCAATTTTTTCAAAGTTTAAACATTCCATCATTAACTTCAATCAACTCTCTAATTGTTAGAGGAATTAATGAAAAAAATATCAAAAGAATTTCATTTTTTAAACAATAAATGTCAATTTGTACTGTAATTATGAATACTGTGAATTAAGATTGACAAAATTATTTATTGCAAATTAACTGTAATTATGAATACTGTGAATTTAGACTGCCAAAATTATTTATTGCAAATTAACTGTAATTATGAATACTGTGAATTAAGATTGCAAATTAACAAAATTATTTATTTAGCAAATTAACAAATTAACTGTAATTATGAATACTGTGAATTTAGATCGCCAAAATTATTTATTGCAAATTAACTGTAATTATGAATACTGTGAATTTAGACTGTCAAAATTATTTATTGCAAATTAACTGTAATTATGAATACTGTGAATTTAGATCATCAAAATTATTTATTGCAAATAAAGTCTTTAATTATATCTTATAGTCTTGGTGTTCTATTAACAAAAGATACCAGGGAGCTGGTCATATCTTCTGGTGCTGATGAAGCTGTGATGATCAAGTTGATACTCCCATGTTGAGAATTGTCTTTTGCTGCAGACTTGCACTATTCCTAACATTATTTAGAACCATTATCTTATTCTTACCTGCATCATATTTTGTTTGCATATTAAGGGCCTTGTTCTGTTGATCAAAGGAGACTTCTACATCTATCAAATTTTCAGCATCATGTGTGCTACGGATAGTAAGTTTCTTTGGCGAATCGCTAACTTGTCCCATCAGTCCCACTGACTTTGATGGACCAATGGCCTGTTGGTATAAGGAAAAAACTTAATAGTACTAAAATATGTACATACTACTTCCTCTCCTATTTGAGTATGGTTTGGCATCATTTGCAATTAAAATGATAACATAGTGAATAACTTTTATTACAAAAATTATTATGTGTTATATATATAGATATGAGGGCTACAAAAAAAATTGGAAACCTTTGCTAATAATTAATGCTATTTTTTGACAGAGATAGAAAAATATCCAAAAAGAAAACTCCTGCATCAACAGGATGTTAACTTGTACATAAACATGTTGAATTCCATGTAGTTCTTGAACAATTCTGTTGTTACGCTCGGGAAACCATGAAATTTGTAAATTTGCCAATCAATCTGTGTTTTTATGGCAAAAAAATGAGAACTCCTCTATTGCAAAAGAAATAACTAGAGTGATAGGATATTAAGTAAACAAAGTTTCAGGTAGTTCTCTTGAATAGTTTTGGAGTCATGCTCTGCACCACTAAAATTTGTAATTTGGGCTATCTGTTTCCATGAGAACAGCTAAAGTACTTAAATAGAGGATTTCTCCATAGCGAATGGCACCACTTGACCCATTTCCATGGTACCAGAAAAAGTTAAAATAGAGACCTTCTCCAACTCAAAAGCCACTGCTAGAGTACTAGCTTGATAAGGGTACAAAGTTTTGAGTAGTTTTAAAAGGATTCAGAGCTCTGGTCCATTTTGATGATCATGCATGTACCAGCGCCACAACAGATGGATGCACAGACAGATCCCAATTTTATATCCTTGAAAATGCATTTTGTGGAGGATGTCAAATTAGATGAATTCTGGTTAATCATCAGTAATGGACAGAGATAAAGCAAATCCATACATGGCCCTCTATTATCAAAGTTGAAGTCATTAAAAGCATGAATCAGTGACAATGGTTAAATGACAAAATTCAATGCGTTGCAGCTTGGAATTACATGTCCCAGCTAGAAATAAAAACAATCTTACCATTACATTCATGTGCTTACGCAGCGTATCAATTTCCCCCATGAGGAAGAGGTTCTTTGTTTGGCTATTTGAAGTGGTGGTTGACACACTAATACCAGTTGATTGTTTTTGGGGACCCGATGCGATGTGACCAATAGCTGATACATCAACATTAGAGTGGGCATGACGTAGACCGAAGCTCAAACTGCAGTTTTCGTTCTCTCCTTGGGACAGGTCATCATAACTTGAAGTCAGCACTATGGTCTTTGAGGGGTCAGAGGAGTATGACAATTCTGTTCTACTGTCATAGTGACCACTCTCTTGTCTGGAAAATTCACTCACCACAGAAAACTCCTGAAAAATGATTTACTACAGATTTAAAAATGACTCCTAGCCTATTAGCTTGAAATGGTCAGTATACTTATAATAACTTCTCCAATGAGTGTTGTCTACTATCAACTTTAATCTTTAACATTGACCAAGGTCATCAACCTTGTGTACCGCTGACAACAAAATTCCAATCAGGTTTAGATCTAAATGTAGAATAATATAATGTGGATTTGAACTAAATCTACAGGGTATTTGTATGCTATAACAAGAGGCTCAATGAGCCTGTATTGCTGACTTGTTCTGCAGCTTACAATGAAGACTTCATTATTTTTTTAAAGTAAATTTCTGGTAATTTGAAAGTCCTTTACCAATGTAAACTAATACACAAATACTTAGTGCCTGTTGGTTATTGAAAAGAAGTTTAAAGTTCTTTACACACAGGGCTCCAAGTTGCGACTAAAATGGTCGCATTTGCGACCAAAAATTTCAAATGGCAACTAAAAATTTCAGTTGGTCGCCATTGGGCGACCTGTACTTCAGGTGTACTTGGAGCCCTGACACATTTGCACATTTAACCCCTGTGACCTTGAAAGTGAACAAAAGTCATTGAACCAAATTGGAAGCCCTCATTTCTGAATGCTGCAGAAACAATACTGGTACTTTGGACCTTTTTGTTACTGAGAAGAAGTTGCTTAAAGATTTCAATACATTTTATCCTTATGACCTTGAATGTAGGTCATGGTCATTTGTTAAACAAACTTGGAAGTCCTTCATTCCAGCATGCTACAAGCCTAACTGCTTAGGGTCACTTGCCTTCAGACAGCAGAGCTAACAAAATTCCGACCAAACATAACAAAAGCTTACCTCACATAACCTCTCCAGAAAGTAATATTTAACCACTGCCACAAGCAACTCTCAAACCAAATATTAGTAGACTAACACACTTTCAACGAGACAACTGATGTCTTTCAAAACTAGCACCAAAAAATTGACATAAGATTTGACACAAAAAGATGAAGCCGAATATGTTTAAGACAAACAAGACTTTCTTCTAAAAATTCATTTATAAAGGTTCATATTAGTAATACATCACACCCAAAGCATCCATTAATTCAAAATTCTGTACCCTAGTACATTTACAAAGGAGTTAGATTTTACATACAAAGTCTAAGTCCAAAACATTAAAAACAAAACAGACTTTTTTCCTGAAAAAAAATTATTCATTCTGACTCCAGGATGTAATAGTTAATAGTAACCTATCTACCAAACATAAGTACACTAGTTTAATAATAGAGGAGTTTACTGATGCCCTCCGACACTTGAACCCAAAACCTTAACATTTAGAAACCAACACTGATGCAGATGCCAGGGTGGTAACATATGGTAAGTTCCCTCCTCTCTTCAAGAGGAAAGCTAAATATGATTAATATATATCCTACCCCTCCTTAGGTGGTGGGCAAGCAGGCAAAGGGGCAAAATAATCTCAATACCTGTTAACAAACACGAAGACAAAATACTATTTCCACAACCATCTAACAACATTCACTCATCAAATATTTCAAAAACCACTCATTATTAATTATTTCAATTCAATTTCAGAAAATCATCCATAATAAAGCTATATGCTGCTTTATTGTGGAATATTCTAGGAAATGAATGGAATTTTAAACAAATCTTTTTTTTCTAAAGAAAGAATTTTAACCTACCTTAACTCCATTAGTTGTAGGGATGTTGAGCCCCAATCTAACAGTTCTCCTTTGGTCTGGTGCAGTTTCTAATCTTAAACCAACTTTTTGGGTCCTATCTTTGTCTGCATCCCAGAAAAACTCGTATTCCCGTACCTTAGTTGGTTGCTTGTCTGCATGTCTGCCTCTCATCTCCAACGACCTCACAGGAGACATGACCTTAACCAGCTGGTTGACTTTTCCCCATTTGATATTATACCCAGCTTTTTGTCCTTTGTTTTCATCCCAACTGACCTCCATATGGTTTGGTAACATCGGGAATTTCTTGGTCCAGCCTCCTCTCACTAAAACTGTACGTGATACATGAACACCCTGCAGGTGGGCCTCCACTGACTCAATAGTGTCTCCAGTTTTCTGTACCGAAGCATTACCCATTATCTGATAGCTACTCTCCGGTAATGTCAAATCCCAACTTCCTGTTGCTTCTACATTAACAGTTGTCGATGGAAGATCTAGAAGGAATTTGTAAGAATATCCGCAAGCATAAACATCACTTGACTCAGAGAAAGAACCATTAATCACACCATTCTTAACATTGTATAATGATTTTCTCTGATAGTAAATCAAATCGTTGTGTTTCATCAAAATATTCTCTATTATATGGTTTCTTGGCCTTGAATTAAGTGAAACATACTGCAATTCTGCATTTCGGATGGATTCAAAAGGAGTTAACAATTTTGCTTTAAACTGAATACTAGAATCTTCATCATTTGTGTTTATCGCCGGAAATTGAATGTTTCCACTCGCTTCAAAATTTATGGTCTTTGCTCGAGACTGAGCGTTAACACGAGTGGCAAACTGCATATCCTGGTGCTGAAACATAAATTCTGCCTGTCTGTTCATGTCCCCGTAACTGAACTTGGTCGAGGCTTCAATGTTGGTAAATGTATTGTAATTAAACATTACTTCACCACGCACAGGTGTAGTCAAACCTGACACAGTAAGAACAGCAATGGTTTGGAAGTCAGTCACACTTCCTCCACGATGTGTTACTTCTAAACTTCCAGATTCTGCACCTTCATATGGAGAAGTAAACTGGATATTAATTGTTTTCTGAGGAGACTCAATGTCAACTGCAGATGTTGCTGCTATGGTATTACTGCCGTAGGTTATGTCCAGGTTGCTTCTGTGGGTTGACCCACTCTTGGTGTTTCCAAATGTTAATAACATATTCCTGTAGCCATCATAAGGAGTTATTGCAATAAGTTTCAAAACTGCACTGTCCACAGAAGGAGCCTGCACCGTTAAAGTGGCATCAAATTTCTTACCATTATAAACATAAACAGCCTTTGTTCTGAAATCTGTGGGTTCTCCATTATGGTTAAGCCTATATGTCTCTGTCAAAACATTTTCTCCTTTCACTGTCAGAGCAGTGTTTCCAGTAAATGTCAACACATTGCCTTTACGAGTGAACTCTGTTGTAGATAGCAGACTATTGTCATCTCCCATGCTTCCTGTTATAGTAGAAGTGAATCCATATCTACGGGAATTGTAATCAATGTTGAAAGTGATGTCTTCTGTATGTGGATTGGTTACAACACCTGTTACAACAACATCATCTCCTTTCGTTTTCTTATCGAACTTTCCAGTATAAGAATGTGTCCCATATGCAATTTCTCCAGAAATAGAGTCAACTCTGCGACTAGCTGTCCTAGTGAAGGAAACTTTCAAATCTTTCACTTGCTCCAATGTACATGTGGTATTCAACAATCCTGTTGTGGTAATACTGTCATGAGAAAGTCCAAATGTTGCAGCAAAGTTAACATCATCACATTCAATTCGCCCACCAGCTTTCAAATTTTCCAAGCCACCAGTTTTGTAGAAAACAACTTTCATTGATTTTCTCTCCAGGAAGTTGTTAGTTGTGCTGAATGATCCTCTTGTTTCAGTGTCTCCATGGTTGAAAAGCAAGTCCGACTGCAGACTGTGTGGACCATACACTGCCATAACTTGAGTTTGTAAATCCATTAAACCTCCAGTTCTTGAAAAGGACAACATTACTGGTACAAATCCTTCCCATTCAAATTTTCCTGTAGTGCTTAATTCAGAATGTGAGTATTCCAATTTGGATCCAATCCTGTCATCTCCAATAACAAAACTCAACTCAGACTTAAGGCCATCAGCAAGTGTACCTTGATTTGTTAGTATGAATGTAATATCCTTGATTCCTGGAGCATTGCTAGTTATTGAAAATTTGCTGGTCAAAGATTTAGCATTCAAAGAAAGTAAAGCTTCAAACTCGATGGTTTCCTGATCGTACATCCAGAGACCATGTGTTCTGAAGTCATAGGGAATGGAACCTTCCTTGGACAAAGTCATCCTCATGGGTTTTACATCAGGGAAGCTACTTTCTAAGTTGAATCTGAAGTTGACATTTTCCTGTGCATGAGAAAAGCCTGACCGTAATTCCACCTCCTTCTGTTCATATTCAACTTTTCCATTAACTGTTATGTCATTAAGCTGACCTTCTCTACTTACAGTCACTGTTGCTAACTGAATATTGTCGCCAACTGGGATGGGAATAATCCATTTACATGTTGTTTCTTCTTGGTTGTGAGCTAACTCGACTGTACTTTCATATGTTTTTTGGCCAATTCTCACCGTTCCCTTATTTTGGAAATTGAACCATGAACCTCTCCTTGAAAAGGAAACAGAGAAATCCTCATCTTCAGCGGTTACAAACAAACCAAGAAGACCTTGATTTACCAGCCTACCTGTTGTCATTTGATCATTGTGGGAAAATCCCAGCAAGGATTCAACCTTATCTTCTCCATACCTAACAGAGTTTTCAACAGTGAAGTCAGTGAGATCACCTCCTCGGCTGAATGTTACAGTTACATCTTCAACATTGTCTAAATTTGTTCTGCCAGACATGGTACCGGAAGTGGTCCTATCATTGTGCTCAAAGTTGACATCAACTTCTACTTTGTCTGAATTTCTGAATGCCTCTCCGTGAACCATGAATTTATTAGGATTGCCATCTTTGCTGAAGGCGAATCTGAGCTCTTCTGCATGAGGTATGGGTGACCTGAAAATAAACGACCCTATGGTAACAGTAGAATCATGACGAAGAGTTGTGTCCCCTTCTATTACATATTCATTGAAGATCACATCTCCATGGGTGGTAAGTGTTGCACCCTCCAAATCATGATTCAAGGAAATTTGTGCAATCTGCAGTGCTGGGAATGGACTCTTGATTGCAACCTTTCCCATGATGGCATCCACCACATTTAAACCAGCTTCTATAACAATCTTCTTGCCATTAGTACCATAAACAGCTTCAGTCTTGAACTTCTGCCATTCCGTACCATCATGAACAAATCCTACCTCAACATCTTCTGTTCCTCTGTATGGAGTATTCAAGGTCAACTTTCCAAAAATATTAGGATTGTCACCAAATTCCAAGTTTGAAACTATCTGTTGATTCCCATTGTACCTAATTGTAGACCTTTGGTTGAAATTATGAAAGTTTCCTGTTTGTGTGTATTGGATATTTATAGGCCTGGTGTATGGACAAACAAACTTGATTGTTCCATCTATGACATCATCATGAACTGTGTAGTCAGACACTAGATTCATCCTCTGAGGTCGCATCTTCTTTTGATCCATAAACTCTAATGCCAACTTACTGGTCCTGGAGGTACCCATCATATTACTGGAAACTTGAGCATTTGCATAGCTGAAAGCATTACTTCTGAAATTGAAGTCTCCGTTAAGTTGTATCTTGTTCATCAGCCAGTTGACAGAAAGCTCATGCCTTTGTACCCATGGAAAAGCTTCAAGATTTCCAACTGCAGCAAAGTCCATTGGATGTCCGCTAAACTGTACTCCGGCATCTAATCTTAATTTGTTTGCAATTGGTTCAGTCAAAGTAAACCTACCCATCTTGACAAGTTCATCCATACGGTATCTAAACTCTGATGTTAATTTTATCCGAGGTGAAAATTCAACATCAGTAGCAGCTACCCACTCTAAGCCTTCCAATTTATGAGAGGCTGTGATTACAACATTTCTGGCATATTTGAAAGGACAGGTTAAAGTCAAAGTGCCATCAAATTTCTTCATATCAGGAATTAAATTCATGTTTCCAGCCATGTTTATTCTCTGTTCTGGGGCCCATTCAATTTCTAACTGTCCCGTGTATGGCATTACAGCATGTCTGGTATTTAAAGTGGTGGTAAAATCATGTGACATGTACATGCTTGTCGCCTGCATGTCATAATCAACACTGCCAAGTTGGCGACCATAGTTTGCTTCCACAGTTATGATGTTCTCTCCATCAGCATGAATGTGACCACTTGTGTTAATCTTCCCAGGACGATCAGCGTGTTCAAACCTAGCTCTTATACGACTGATTTTTGTTGAAGGTATTTCAGCATCAAAACGCCCTGTAATCCTCATGGTAGGGGAGTACTGTATATCTCCATACAATGATGTGGCAAACCTTTGGCCATTGTTCCAGGAAATGGTAGCACTACTGTCAATATTCCGATCTGTGTTTTCATGGGACCAGACCAAATGCAGACTATCTTTAGGAGATGTAATGTTGAAAGTTCCAGAGTTTTGGACCTGACTGCCACTTATTGTAAAATCGTGAATCATGTGATAATGATAGATTTCCTTGTTCCTGTTGTAGACAGCCTTGGAGTCAAATTGCCTAAAGTCATCTAAATGGGTGATATTAAGTGTAACTAGTTCCCATGTAGGAATGTTTGAAACAAATCCAATATCACGCCTGAAGGATCTTGTTTTCCTCCTCAATGAGTAGTCAGATGCTGTTTCCAAGTATGCCCTGCTTCCAGATCCCCACTCCAATGTACTCTCTGCTGTGTGGTGGGTGTAGTCATTGGACAGTAAGTGAGAAATGGTCATAGTTGCCTCGCCAATTCTTGGATGAGTCGTTCCAAGGATAAATTTGAGGTTAACAGAGTTGATGGTGACTGGCTTCTTTGCAGTGACAGATAATGACAGAGTTTTATCTCTTGCATATTTAAAAGCAATTGAAGATGAAACCTGTCTCTTGTTGGTGTTGTAAGTGACAGTGGTCTTCATCTCTTCAAACTTCTCAAATGGAGTTGAAAATCCAGCCATAGCTTTGACATCTGTGCGATATTTACGAACACTGTTCTCAAATTCAAATTCTGCTCCAATCTTTTTAGTTGGAGCCCATGCAAATTCTATAGCAGTGTTGTATTTAGTGGTACTCAAATGGCGAATGAATGCAGAATACAGATGATTTGGTACCTGAACAAGAACGCCAGTCTCAAAGTTCTTAGCTCCTTCATTTCTGTAAGTGCCTTCAACCTTGACTCTACTATCAGCATGGTTATCTGCATCCCATTGAACATCTCCCAGAACCATGTATTTGTTTTGTTTCATACCAGCTCCCAACTCCACAACAATATGCCTGCTTGGGTACTGGACATCGCTGGCTACACGTCGGTATCCAGGTTTGTTCTCACCACTCAAAGACAAGGCATAACTGTTTGACCCAAATGCAAAAGCTAGACTAGCCAGTGGGCTTCCACTGTCTACATTGAGTGCCCCCTGACTTGTGAAGGATGTTCCGTCATACCACTGGACAGCTGTGTTTAGTCTGTGAGATGTGTCAGAGGGGTTGGTGTAAATAGCAGTCACCTCAGTTCGCTTTCCATCATACAGTTCCAATGTAGATGTCACTTCATATGAATTCTCCCTGTCACTTTGTGCTTTGTAAATTGTGGAGACAGTTGTTATCTTTTTCCTTTCATGCTGAACACTGATTGTTCCCTCATATTCCTGAGCTCTAATTTCAGATACTCTGGCATTGATTCCTATTGGTCGACCATCAACATTCATTGCTATCTCCCCTGCGTAGCTTGGCATACCTTTCTGGCTGTTGTCATTGTAGCTTATTGCTGCATCAAACAGCTGTTTAGTGTTATGTGTTATGGCAATACTGGAGTTAACTTCCTGTTGGTTGTGGAAATGGTTACCATCTAAAGTGACAATTAGAGCCTGCAACAGAGAAAAAATAAGAGTTTTGTTAAATAGCTGTCAATATACTGCAACTCTTCAGCAGTGCAAAAAAGGACTTTTGGTGGGTTTTTTTCAGGAGTGTACTGGGTACATATTTAGTCCAATGTGTATCAATGAGTGGTTTATAAACAACTATGTAAATTAAATGAATTTTACAATTTCCATATTTGATATTTAAATCATGGTTTCAAAGCTGTCCACTATTCTAAAAATTATTTTAGTCCTTAAACCAATAAAATGCCATGCCAGAAAATAGGTTTTCATGCAGGTAAACATGTGTTAGATAAATCGGCTTCAAATGTTCCAGCTAATCATATTGTTAGACATAGACTTTAAAATTCCATTTACCTGCCAAGGATATCGACAGCTGAAGGAGTAAGCCACTGCTATATTTGGACTCTTGACCTTATAGCTTGTTTGTGCATTAAAGGACACTCTTCTCTTATTGTCTTTGTTGAGGTAATTTCTGCCATGGTCAAACACAAGGACAGCTTCCGCAAGTTTTCCAGGTCGGTACGATCCTTTCACGTTCATCTTGTTGTTGTAAACACCAAATCTACTTGATTTGAAATTTCTAGAAAAAAAGTACCACAAAGACATAATGACACTGATAGTCAAATCAAGATGAACCATTCAAATGAAAATACTGTTTTGCCTGAATTCAGAATTCTGTTTTAGAAATAAACCTGCTGACTACGTGTCAAAATAATGTCTTCTCAAAAACATTTTATAGCAGTAGAAGGAATGAAATGTATGCAGTGTATCTAAAATGTACTACCAATCATTCCTACAATGACTGCTATACTTGTTATCTAAAGCTCATCCTAGAAATATAAATATGGTATATATATATAATATTCAAACTCAGAATAAACCATGAAAAATTCAACACTTACGTAGCTAACTCGTATGACTGTACTGCCTTTAACGAGCGAACTATTTTTCCATTGAAGTCCAACTGGTCCTTTGCTCCTTGTATAAGTTTCAGTAGATTATAGGAAAATTTGATGTTCATGAAAACAGCATTTTGGCGCTTGTCAACATCAAATTTAACCCGGACATCACTTTTCTTTGGACCAGTGTAGCGTACTGTTACTCTGTAAAACGTTCGTAATTGTTTCTTCGTCATTTTTGTAACCAAGCCTACAAAAAGATAAAATGAAAGTTAAGATTAAGAGTAATACCCATAACCTACACTTGAGTCCATACTAATGTTAAAGTTATGATACCAGTACAAAACAATTTATCAGTGTTCAAAAGATTCCATACTTATGTAAAAGTATTATCAGTGTCCACTATATTCCATATTTATTTAAAAGTTTTTTATCAGTGTCAATTAAATTCCATATTTATGTAAGTATTTCTGATCATATTATAAATAGATTTACCAGTGTCAATTAGATTCCATATCTATGTAAGTATAAATAGATTTACCAGTGTCAATTAAATTCCATATCTATGTAAGTATAAATACATTTACCAGTGTCAATTAGATTCCATATCTATGTAAGTATAAATAGATTTACCAGTGTCAATTAGATTCCATATCTATGTAAGTATAAATAGATTTACCAGTGTCAATTAAATTCCATATCTATGTAAGTATTTCTGATCATATTATAAATAGATTTACCAGTGTCAATTAAATTCCATATCTATGTAAGTATTTCTGATCATATTATAAATAGATTATCAGTGTCAATTAGATTCCATATCTATGTAAGTATTTCTGATCATATCATAAATAGATTTATAGATTAGATTTCATATCTATGTAAGTATTTCTGATTATTATAAATAGATTTATCAGTGTCATTTAGATTCCATATCTATGTAAGTATTTCTGATCATATTATAAATAGATTTATCAGTGTCAATTAGATTCCATATCTATGTAAGTATAAATAGATTTATCAGTGTCAATTAGATTCCATATTTATGTAAAAGTTTTTTATCGGTGTCAATTAGATTTCATATCTATGTAAGTATTTCTGATCATATTATAAATAGATTTATCAGTGTCAGTTAGATTCCATATCTATGTAAGTATTTCTGATCATATCATAAATAGATTTATCAGTGTCAATTAGATTCCATATTTATGTAAGTATTTCTGGTCATATCATTACAAATTGATTTATCAATGCCCACTGAGTTTTTTCTCCATTACATCTGCCTAAAACAACAGCTACTGCAAGTCAATATATTCTTCCACAGCTACTGAATTCCATGATAATTTAAGTTTACACAATAGGTTGTATTATACAACACTACAATTACTGATTATTAACACCATCTTTATGTGCTGTGATTATCTTTCAGTTATCTACTTTGACCAGACAATTTGTGAAACCAAACCACAGGTGATAGAAAGTTAGTTTACACTAAGTCGCTCTAATGTTTAATCAAGCATATAAAAATTAGCGATGGAAAAGAAAATCTCATATTACCTTTGATTTTGATGGGAACCTTAAGAACTTTATCAACAACAAGATCAAATTTAGCTGATGCATCAACTTTGTGGACAAGGCGGGACTTGATCTGTGCCAGGAACTTGGTTGGGGTTTTCAATATAACATGTCCCAGGTACTGTGTTGATTTAGATTTCATTTGTTTGATCATAATCTTCGCCTCTCCCTCGTAGTTCTTGTTCTTTTCATAGCTGAATTTTACCTTCACACCCTTTTCAGCAGATGTGAATTTTACAATTGCTGAAAAATATTAAAATTTGCAAACAATTCATCACAAATGCAAACTGAATACACAGGATATCTTCCAACATATATTTTCTCGCCAAAAATATTTGCAGTTTTGTATGTAAATGTTTTAACAGTTTTTCATCTTTGTTTCAGCGATTACAAAAATTGTGAGAATGTCTCACTGAATATCTTATGATCAGTCACACCAGAATTTCATTAAGTCTGCAATACAGTTTTACATACTACAGCCAGGGACGTATAATACAGTATTGTATTATACGTCCCTGCTACAGCTAACCTCATCAAGGAAGAGATATCCTGATTTCGACTTATTTAGAACTAGCAGCCACAAGAGGACAGGATAAGTGGTATCATAGGTTAACAAAGAATATGCATTAAAGTGAATTTGTTCTTACAGTGGAATGTCATTGGATCCTCTGTGAAACCATTCACGGTAATGTCTGCCTTCATCATCTTCTTTTTACGATATTCCAGGACTCCTGTGCTGTTGTACTCTTGGTGACCTGGTATTGTGGCCGAAATCACTGGACTCAGCTTAACTATGTTTCCAGATGTTGTGAAGGGTACATCTACAAGTGCTGCAAATGTGATGGTATCTCCAATCAGGACATTCCATTCCACCTTCTTACGTCTTCCAGTACTGACGAGGACACCTGAAAAGGCAAGTTTTACTTGAAATAGAGTGCAATGTCAAATGAAAGATTCCAGTAGTTTTGTTGGTTCAAGCATGTACATTACTGTATTGACTAAATTACTGAATATAACATCATGTAATGAACACTTTCTTATCAGACAGCACTCTAAATAAAACTAGAAAATGTCTGTAAGACATGAATGCCCCCGCCCCCCATGTGAAATAATAGTGAAAGGTCCGAATGAAGTTGTTAGGTGGTATATACTGATTTGGGACGGGACGGGACGGGACGGACGGACATGGGAAACGCTATATGCCCCCGGCCATAAATGGCAGGGGCATAAAAATTAATAATAACACTGTACAATAGTATCATGATAGAGGAAAACATCTGATGTTAGACAGTGATAAAGCAAGGAAGTGAAATCAGAATGTATTAAGGAAGGAAATAGAAAGATCCTTCAGCCATACCTTATGAAATCCAATACATATAATACATTTTTACCAATAAAATGTTACATTGATAAAAACTTAATTCATCACTTTCAGTAATGATATAACTTTCATAGTTTTGACAAACCACAGCAGTGATTGCATTGAAATTTGTTGATTTCTTGTTCTGACACATATGAAGCAAAGGTTGAAGAAGTTGGTTTTCCTTCAAATAATTCTTGTGGACATTTCTGGTTTTTCTCAAATTTGGTTAATAAAAACTGTTTTGTATGCAACTCTTACAAGATAACAGCATAAAATGGCAGAATACAACGTAAAATTTGTTTTTCATTTGAAAAAGTTATAAAAAGAAAATCTGATGGTTTCCATTTAATGTCATAGATATTTCACTCATCTGACAAAATATGTGCATATTTTTCACTCATGCTTTGCACTTGTTGAAAATATAGATATTCTGTCATACTCCTGAAATATACATATTGAAAAGGAAACTGCTAAAAACATATACTAAGCGTATCTGACATTTAAGAAATACAAACATACACTCAGTGTATCTGACATTTATGAAATATGAAGAAACACTCAGTGTATCTGACATTTAAGAAATACAAACACACACTCAGTGTATGACATTTAAGAAATACAAACACACTCAGTGTATCTGACATTTAAGAAATACAAACATACACTCAGCGTATCTGACATTTAAGAAATACAAACACACACTCAGTGTATCTTACATTTAAGAAATACAAACATATACTCAGTGTATCTGACATTTAAAAAATACAAACAAACACTCAGTGTATCTGACATTTAAGAAATACAAACACACACTCAGTGTATCTGACATTTAAAAAATACAAACACACACAGTGTATCTGACATTTAAGAAATACAAACACACACTCAGTGTATCTTACATTTAAGAAATACAAACATATACTCAGTGTATCTGACATTTAAGAAATACAAACAAACACTCAGTGTATCTGACATTTAAGAAATACAAACACACACTCAGTGTATCTGACATTTAAGAAATACAAACACACACTCAGTGTATCTGACATTTAAGAAATACAAACACACACTCAGTGTATCTGACATTTAAGAAATACAAACACACACTCAGTGTATCTGACATTTAAAAAATACAAACACACACTCAGTGTATCTGACATTTAAGAAATACAAACACACACTCAGTGTATGACATTTAAGAAATACAAACACACTCAGTGTATCTGACATTTAAGAAATACAAACACACACTCAGTGTATCTGACATTTAAGAAATACAAACAAACACTCAGTGTATCTGACATTTAAGAAATACAAACACACTCAGTGTATCTGACATTTAAAAAATACAAACACACTCAGTGTATCTGACATTTAAGAAATACGAACACACACTCAGTGTATCTGACATTTAAGAAATACAAACATACACTCAGCGTATCTGACATTTAAGAATAAGTATATCAGAATTACCATTCATATGGATGGGTTCTTCATGAGTTCCAGTTAACATCAAATCTGCAGTCAAGGATGTCTGCTTCACATAGTCCACTCTTCCTGTTAAGCTGAAACCATCTTTGCCTGGTATTGTAATCTGGATACGTGGTATGTAGTTGACTTCTTTCCTCTTCTCTTGTCGCTTCAGTTCAAAGACAGCACCATATGTTCTAATGGAATCCATTACCAGATTACCTTCAATCTTCTTCAAGGATTCAGTGTACACCAGGTTACCTTTTTGAAAAGGTATTTATAACAGATAATTAAACAAAATGAAGGAAATGAATAGAAATCAAATGTTGACAGAATGAAAGCCAAGGGCAACACTACCGTAAAAACCCACGTAATGTCCGCATATGTGTAATGTCCGCACCCCTTTTTTGACACAAAAATCTGGGGGAAAAACCCACCTTCCATGTAATGTCCGCGGGTAAAAAATGCAAATTGAAGCTGCCGATTTCATTTCACGTACGCTAATGTCGTAATGGCCGAGAGCATGTCGCATTGTGTATAACTTACAGGTACCATTCAAGAATTCACTTAATTGTTTATAACAACAGTTATTCTCCATAATGGTACAGTAAGCTTACCAGTATGACAAGTCCTCATTTCGATAATTGGTGTTTTGATAAGGGTTAGCCCAGCAGTGTTATAAACAGCTTGGGTCGTCTCCTCACCTCGAGTGTGAGTGAGTGACAGTGTGTGATTAGCCAATTAACGATAACTATACAGTAACATGACCCGCCCATGACCCACGGCGCCACTGACCCTACTGACACACCATCAGACGACGAGAACGCCATTTATTACAACGACCAGACAGAGGAAGACAACTTCAACGCCGAGGAGTTCTTCCACAGTGACGACGACGACTTCTGGGGTTTCGAGAAACGCTATTAAACCGGCTTGCTATGTATTAAGACTTTCTGATAAACGATCCATAATCAATAAAACGTCTGATTATTTATTTTATGTAATATTCTTGTACATGTTATTTATTGTTATTTTGTAAATAAAATGTAGAATGAAAATGTTGTGTTATTTTGTATATGCTCATGGGTATGCTTTTTCAATGGGGAAAGGGGAATAACTCTAACTTTATTCATGTGACAAAGTCAAACAAAATGGCTTCCTATTACGAAGGACGACACAATACGAACCTGTAACGAGAAATTGGAAGGAATTAACCATGGAAACTATAATAAATAATCATAAATAATCATGTTTGGTTGAGGAAACATCATAGAAAAAACCATAGAACGATAATATCAGATATGCTTGGCTTTTAAGAACACAATTCAAGGAGATATGATATGAATTGTCGGAAGGAAAAAAGTGTCATTTCCTCTATATCTCTGTAATGTCCGCACCCCCTTTTTTGGATTGATTTTCGGTGAAAAAAAGTGCGGACATTACATGGGTTTTTACGGTATATGTTCCCATCTACTTTATGGTGAAGGCAAAACAATACCGAGTGCGCACTATACGCGAATATTTACGGTAACTTATTGCAACAATATTTAATTGATGCAAATTCAGAAATAGATTCTTAAAATATTGAAAATCTTGCATTTTCATGGAGAAACAGGGAAGTTGTTTTCGTTGACTTTTTCTGAATTCATTACCCATGACTTCAAATGTTCATGAAATGATAAACATGATAAACAGATGGTACAAGCTAACAAGGATTTTAGTATTAGTGGATTTCATGGGTAGGATTCATTCACAAAGCCAATTTTCAACGCATATACATTTTTCCTAAAACACTTAAATTTAACAGTAAGAAAATATATGATTTACAGCACACTTTAATATTTAGATATTAACTGCAGTATCATTTAAAGTTCCCTTAATCATGGGTAGGAAAGACTGAAAATAGCATGAGCATGGACATTTCTCATTTTAGAAGCTCTTGACAACACCAATTCTGATCTAAATTCTACATGATTTTAACAAAGTATGTCAATGTACACTTATAAAAACAAACCTCTGAAGACTCCTGTTCCATGAGGAACATCAGAGCGTCGGAAGTATTGAATTGATGAAGGTTTGGTGTAATAATTACCTGTAAATCTAGCTTTCTTCCATGGTGACAACAGGTTAAGTTCCATGGTTCTATCAACGTGTCTAATGTCAACATTAAAACTAACAGCTCGGTCCCTGACAGACCCTGGTGTATCGTAAGAGATCAGAAACAATGTCTGCTCATCAGTCTGTAAGAACAAATATTTGCTTAATGTCTTTCGTTTTAAATTTTGAAAAACAAGAGAATAAGTAGAACCGATGGATACTCCCTAAGTAAACACTAGTTCCAAAAGGGCTAATTCTGACAAAATTTAAGTGTGAAAAATTAATGAAGGGCAATAATTCCTTAATTATTGCAAATAGAGTTATGGTTCTTGTACACTGCAATTTTCCTTATCGAGATCTATTTACCCTACCTATGAAGTTTCATGTTGACACCTCTAAAAGTTTTTGTGATATGCTCTGGACAAAATTATGATGGACTAACAAACGGACAGATAGACAGGCATAGCACGAACTATATGCTCTCCTTTTAGGGAGAATAAAGGTTTTTAAACTGAACTTGAAGTCAAGAGTTATGGAAAAATTTTGAACCAAAATATTGACTTAATGTGCCATACAATTATCCAGACTTTGAGGTCACTATCTGTCAAGATGAAAATCAAGCTTACCAGAAAAAGATATCTAAGCATTATTTATTAAAGTTTACCTGAAGGGATAACCAAGTTACACACAAAACTTTATGGCACTTAAAGTAACATACAGAACGATTTACAAATACCAAAATGATGACTGTTAATAGTTTAATTAAGATGATTTTCAAACTGTACAAAAATACATAAATTTCACCAAATATCTTTTTACAATTACACAATTCTTCACCCAACACTAACATAGAAAAACTCTTTACATACAGCATTCATATTTAAGGTAAGTTCAGTGTTGGCACATACCGATGTTCTCCTCAGCTGAAACTGATATCCGTTGGGCAGGTCCTCATTTATGGTCTCAACATTAACAGAGACTGGTCCGGTGAAGGGAAACGATGGAGCATTGTCAGAGACGTTTGGGAAGCTAGCCCTGACACAGGTGTTGAGGCCAGTTATGCGGGCTAACGTGTTTCCTGTACAGAAGGAGGTTTTAACAACATTGCTGTCTAACATGTTCTGTGCCTTTACCTGATCTCCCTGCACCATGAAGAATGAAGACCTAAAATTGTAAAAGGAATTGTTGCAACTACTTCACCATCTCAAATGTACAAATTTAACTTTATCCCCAATAGCTAGAGACAAAGAATCATAATCACTCTTAGGTTATGAGAAAAAAATAGCTACACAAGTTAAGGTAAACATTTTCAGTTTGCAAAAAAGAAAAAAAAAAAACTAACTGTAGACCAATAGCCATAAGCTGGGAAAAATGTCAAGATAATGTCAATGAAAATACATCAACCATAATCATAAAGATTCTGAATTATGAGAAAAAGGCTATAACAAATTAGACTTATATTACAAAGACTTTTGTTTACTGCCGCGGGAACAGCCAGGGTTATTTTTAGGTGTGGTCTCTTTGTAGTAGCTGGTGTCCATCTCATTGAACAACATACAGGAGGCCTCTCGCATGCCTTTCAGAGCAAGTAAAGTGTCTTGCCCAAGAACACAATCATATCAGTAAAAGTCTGTTTCTCAGCTTTCTGAGAAAGATCAACTGTCATATGAAGGGAGTAAGTAGCAAACCACACACCTCAGATGTTCACTTGAGATTACAATAGGCCAACACCCTAACTGACCAATCTGTCTCAGATCCTCTAGACTTCTAGGAATGGACAATGTTTTTTCTGTAGAAAATGACAGTAACTATTGGTTAATATCTAATACATCGACTCACTCCATGTTGATGACCTCCGACTTCTTGCGAGGGAAATCTAGTTCCAAAGTGAAGTCTTTGTTGTTGGCTAGCTCCAGTTTTCCTCTAATAGCAGTACTTGTGTGTAAGGTGGACACCATTTTCATTCCACCCTTGGTGATGAATGCATCTACACTCATCATCGCAGAGATGGCAACAGCTCCACTAGGAAACACATGAATTTGATTCTTTGTGGTTTATCTGCATATTTAATACACTTTACGAAACTTAAATAAATCAATTTGTAGTTCTAATAAATCACTGTTTCAACATGAAGTTAAACCATCATAATTTTAAAAGAAAATGAAAACTATTTCATATATATTTCTTATGAAAGTGTACTTTAAGGCATTGACACATTGTCTCTCTAAGAAAATTTTAAGAAAATCCTCCTTATAACATATATATTATAAAAGGATGTGAAGGTCTGACTGATTTCCTCAATGTATTATCCTCAATCTTCACATATCTACCTTGGCTCTATGTTTCCATTGATCAACATCAGGGACTTTGGTTTGCGCAGGTCAATCTGTCCCGTGCCTGTCAGTCCAGTGGTCAGGGTGCCGTTGACTGTCAGGTTCAGAGGGAAACCTATCAGTGTAGGAATAATGAGAGAACTGTCCAGGAACATGTCACTGTAGGTGTAGGATACAGACCCATCACGGATCAGTTTGGTGAAGAAAGCATCAAAGTCAAAGTTGTTCAAGTTGTTATCAGAGTCCTGCATCTTCTTCAAGTTCAGATATTTCACTTCATTTCCAAACACACGCATGTACATTGAACCTTGAAGGTCTTCATCAGAGTCAAGCTGTCAATATAAGTAGTGAATAAACTTTTTTGTACTTTTTTCATCAAATGGAATATTTAATCATTGTACACCCAAATATTTAAGGATCTAACTCAACAGATAAGAAAAGACATGACTGCACTCAATTTATTCAATCTTTTCTTATAATAGACACATTTTATATTAGTTTTTGTTTTAGTTTTAGTAGTGAGTCTAAATTCTGATGAATAAGTAAGCTTATACAAATGTTTTCCATACAATTCATTAAAATCATAAGTTATTTTTATATCTTTTTGTCCTTCCCTTTCAGCTGCAACAATCGCCGGTGTAGACTCAAGACTACCCAGCAGCTTGTTCGGAAACTCAACAATCAATTCAGCTGCAAGTTTTTAGATAATCCAACAACATATATTTATAATTACAAACATAAAAGTACAATAAAAAAAATCTCAAACTTACAGTGTTTCCCATTCTATTCAGCTTGTTCATATTTAAAGCTTTATTAATTGGCATCTCTGGGGCTGGAGATGAAGCTTTGTTTTTACGAAGATGACCAGATGGACCAAAGTAGGCTTCCAGGAGATGTTCCAGACCTTCAGCTCTACCTCCAATCTCTAACAAATTGTAGGAGTGACCAAACAGATCCACTGTTAGATTCGCCATCAATGATCGAGGAACAAAAGACTTCGGTGACCAGACAAGATTGCTCTCCATCGATCCACCCAAGTTAAATTTCTCCGAGAAGTATGACATCTCGTAGTTACGTGAGAACTTCCTTCTGTCCATGTCAAACTCTCTTTGTAGGACTTCATCTTCAAGGATGGCACGGATATCTTGTTTGGTGGGGTCAGATGTTTCCATCAAGTTGGTCAGATGAGTCCAAACGAAGCTTCCCACCTGACACAATTACAGAAGTTAATAGAAATACGTTGAATTAGGTCAAACTACCACTAAACCTATGCTGAATTTTAAAAAATGTCTTTATTCACCTTTAATTAACAGATATCATGTGATTCCACACTACCATTATCTTGCTTATGAGAAATTAAAAATATTACCAACCTGGTTCACCTCCTCTGTGGCAAGAACCTCCTTGACCTCAGCAATGACCTCTGAGCTAGCACACTTCATGACCTCTAGATAAGCTGCAATCCTGATCTCTGAATCCTCACTGTTGTCTTTGTATAGCATCATAAGCTCACTCCTCTGCAATAAGTGAAAATAAAATGTCATTTAGTGGTGTTTTTCATTGTGAAACAACCCTTTACATACATTCAAAGATGCAATGAACTTCATTAATCTGAATATAGATTTCCATAAAAATTTTCACAAATCTTTCTTTCGATTAGAATGCATTGTAGTTCAAATACATCGTTGTTTGGATTTTGAAATCTACAAAAATTTAAACAACAGCTTTTTCTTCATATACAGGGAATAACATACAATTAATGCTAACGTCTAAAGTGAAAATACAAAACTAGTAAGTTTTATGACATGTATATCAGTCCTAACTTACATCAGCTGTGCATGGAAATCTCCTGAATGCCTCTACGGCTGCCAGCCTCATCTCCATGGTAACTTGGACGGACTTGAAACATTGACTGAGGTTCGGAATGGCTGATTGAGCAAGACCAATGTTACCGACAGCTCGCAGGGACAACAGTACCTGTAACAATTACAAACATTATATTTTGGTTATATTCTACTGTCAATATCTTTAACAATCAATATTCCGCATGAGTTCTATCACATAGCTAGCTTGTTCATCAGACAAAATCATAACCCTGTTGAGATGATATATAACAATTCCGTCCAGGGATTAATTTGCTTAAGTGAAAATTCTCCTGTGGCTGAAGGAAACTAAATTTCAAAGTCTTCGATTAAACATTATTTTTGAGTTTTCAAACTTTTTTTTTTTTAATTATATCTAATCTAACTTGAAATTCATGACTTATTAAATACTTTGACCTAGCACCTTAATGCTTGTTGTATTACATCATATTTTTTATCTTGATCAGTAAATTACATATTAAACTAACATTCAAATAAGACTGTTAATTGTACGGTAATTTTATTCCAGTTGGATTTCTTATTTTTAACTATTTCAACAAGATCTTAAATTCCAATCCAATAATTACTGTAAGATGGATTGTCTATGATGACAAAGGAATCAAAATTGACAAAAACACAAAATCCTGCATTATTGCAACACATGCCATGGACTCCTGCCCATATCATTTAGAAATAACAACAGATATTCAGCCATCCAAACATTAAAAAAAATGAGAAAATGAAAAAAAAAATTGTATAGTACAAGTATTTACAACATTACAGTAAAATATTAACACTCAACAATAATTCTACAAAATATTTGATGAAAAATTCTGAATGTATGAACTTTGTTTTGTTTTATTACAATTTATCAATTAAGTCGTATTAGGTTTAGCACTACCAAATTCTCATTCACAAAGCAGGAAAGCCCAGATTATGTTGGCAATAAATAATATGATTGCACTCATATTTCTATGAATTCATTACCTGCATGTATGTATCATCAGTGTATTGGCAGTTACGACCAATTTTGTTTTCCAGCCATGTCATGATATCATCTACCTCCATATCATCTCCACATTGTGGGTTTTCCCTGCAGTAGCTGTGAACCAGGGCAGACACTGGAAGGATCACCTTGTTACCATTGGGCATGTCCAGTAGTCTCTGTACACACATTCATTCACTAGTTAGTGTTTCAAACTTATTTTTAATTTTGAACATAGTATCTTTATAGTTTTACTGTACAAAGAAATATGCATCAGTATTTTAAGAAATCATAATTGTTTTTTGTAAATTCATGTTTAACAAACAGAATTATATAGCATTTACCTTCAAAAATTAACCAACAATTTTTCCGAAATTGAAACAAATAATGCACTAAAAATAGGGATCTAAATTTAATGCATGCATGATATATCCTCACATTTAGGCCATGGTGTTACATTTTAATATGTAATCCATTCAAATTATTGATGACAGATATCCGATATATAATTTCATTTACACCAAAGGTAGTTACAGTGTGTCAAATAAAGACTTACCAAAACTTCTGCAAGCATTTCCTTGGTTGGATGTTGAACAAATGAAAGGGATGCTAGCCACATTTCTGCAAATGTGGCAGATATGTCATTGTTCATAATTCTCTCTGTGATCTGACTAACTGCTGCTCCAGTGCCGACCATAGGAATGGCATCCAAGTAAAATTTTCTAAAATAACGAGAAACATTCCACTATAATACCATAAAACAAAGAAAAGCATTCGGAAACCTCTGCAATAAACTAATTTAATATCAAAAACTATGTGTAAAAAAACAAAACACTGAGTGTTTTGTTAAAATGTCTACATTTTGAAAGGAACATGAATGAAATGATGTCAACAAGAAAGCATTTACAGACATTTTAAGTTATTACAATATCATACTCACTTGACACGGTCTGAGTTGCCAGGACAAAAGCTTGGATCACTAACTTGTCTGAAGACGGAGTTAAGAGAAAGAGAGTCCAGTTTTTTCAGTTCATATACCAGCTCTGAAAATTCCCTAGGTGTTTCTGGACGAATGTCTGTCTGTGTGGATGTACACAGCTCACTGAGTTTGGATAAGGCAGACTGATAATCCACTGTCGTCCCTCGCTCACCACCTTCATGCTCAAATAAAATGGTCTCCCTTCTGTTGATGTCAGCTGCAAATAGTATTTATATTTAACAAGAGGCCCAAGGGGCCTTAACGGTCACCTGAGGAATATATGTCAATAATCTGGGGATTTTAAAATGTTGCAAAAATGTAACAACACTTGTGCAGGACCATGTGTAAAACATCTGTACCAAATTTGAACATGACCCACCCAATGGTTCTCGAGAGGAAGTCCATAATGTCTTAGCCAAACAGAGGCCAGGGTGGCCATCTTGGATTTTGAATCACCCCAAAAAGATAAAACACTTGCCAGGACCTTGTGTAGAACATTCGTATCAAGTTTCCCCTATTGGGGCCACGCCCTTTTTGTTCGCAAACTTGAAGCGGCTTCCCATGGGGATGCTTTGTGCCAAGCTTGGTCAAAATCCATCCACTGGTTCTTGAGAAGTAGTCATTTAAGGCAGGCTTTTACATTTATCACTTTTTTCAACATAATTTCATATGTCCTTCACTAAGGGATGCTGTCTACCGAATTTGGTTGAAATCGGTCAAAGTTGAATTTTTGACCCTTTTGAGTACCCCCTAGTGGGGCCGTTTTTGACCCAATTTTTTTTTCATTTGCAAACTTTGTAGACCTTGCCATAAGGACCCTAAATATCAAATATGAATTTAATCTGACTGTTGGTTCATGAGAAGAAGATTTCTAAAGATTTACCTAATATTACCCCCTTTTTTCCCCTCCTGGGGCCCCTATTGAAGCAGCTTCCCATGAGGATGCTTTGTGCCAAGTTTGGTCAAAATCCATTCAGTGGTTCTTGAGAAGAAGTCGAATATGTGAAAAGTTAACGACGCACGACGCATGACGCACAGCGCACGACGCACGACGACAGACAAATCGTGAGGGCAATAGGTCACCATGAGCCTTCAGCTCAGGTGACCTAAAAATCTAACCAAAATATAAACTTAAATTAAGTCATTTAAAATAACCTTTTTCCAATCAATTTTAGACCTCTCCTCCACTCAAATTATTTCTATTTCATTACATATCTTTTCCAATGTTTAATAGCTAGACTATAGACAAAAGCAACTTAGTCTCTGCAATATTTAACAGTCACAATACCTCTACATGTTTATTCCGTTCTTATTACAACAAGTGATTGCTGTCTTTTCAGCTTTGACCAAGAAAAATGGATACAAAATGGAAACAACCCTTGAATAAGAGCACTTAGCATAGAACATTTTTCCATAGTATACTTTAAGTATTTTACATAAATTTAAAGCATTTCTCAAATCACAACAAGCGTGTTAATTTTAATCAAATCAAATAAAGCTGTTGATCATTTCTTGGAAAGGTTCCTCACCTTGCATAACAGATCTGCTGATACTTGAAACAAATGTGAGCTTCTGTACTACTTCTGTGGTAGCGCCATTGTCTTCTTTAGAAAATGGACGGAACAAATGAATCTCATGACAGACGCTGCGTTTTAAAATTTTCTCTTGAACGTTAAAATCTTGACTACATTCATGGGTACTTTTCATCAGAGGTAAACTCTGTATGCTCTGAAATTAATCAGTACAAATATATATACAACGTGTCAGAGCCACGAAATCCCTGGCATGTGCCAGGTCAACCTGACACCGGATATCATGACCTGCTCATGTCTTGAAAAATTTTGAGACCATCTGATATTTCATTAATTCTGATCAACATGAGAAATATATAATTTCCCTTTTTATTTAAATAATCACAAAAAAAAATATTCAAACATAATCTAGAACATTACATCAAAGCACAAAAACTTGATAATCTTCAAATAAAATTGATCACATCTGTTTTACTTGGACCTATGAAACCCCTAGTCTTCCTGGAATTTGAAAGACTGAAATCGGACATTTGATCACTGAATTTTTTTTTAACGAACTTATGAAATTGTGTCTCTGAATAGTAAAACTACATCTTACTGACTTTTAAAATTGTGTTACTGAAGCATAACTTTGAAGTTACTTCTTTAATTCTTGACAAGAGATAAGAGTAAAGAAAGAATTCTACAGATATCTGATACGTCTCTAATAGATCATTTTATGTGGATCTCCTTACTGATGGTACTCTGTAAAGCATGGAGTGAGCTGAACTATCGAAGCCATGACGTTCTTGGCAGGCACTCATATCCTTTGTCTTCTTCACTGTTCTTGTTTTCCATCCGTCTTGGATCATTTTGTATGTGGTGGGGCATTTCCCTGTCACATCAGTCTACATAATATAAAATCATGTCAATGTGTCATTATCAAATTAAAACTTCAATGAAAACACTCCTGAAAAAATAATTACTTAAAGTAAGTGAACCATCTTCCTTTTTTTCAGTTCCTCAAAAAGCTTCACATTTTCAACATCGATGTTTTACAAAGATTCATAAACAAAATTATAAAAAAAAAATGGATTGTAGGAAGAGGGTGAAAAGACATCAACAATGATAAATGGGCTAACAATTATCTAAAATTCAAATATCTTTGAAACACTTCACAAAAATACACTTAAAACTCTTTATTGCAGCTACCATTTATTCCATAAACCTGAATATAACAGAAAGAGAGGAGAAAATGTTATTGCTGGGCAAAGAATCGAACCAAGAATGCTCCCAAGCTTAACAGACTCTTTAATCAACAGGACTACCAGGTAGTCAACTATTGAGCAAACTTAGTCCTCTACATTTCTCACAACTTCAACTGAAGGACTTAGATCTGAACATCTACACATGAAGTCTTGAGCGATTAAAATGACCACTCCATTTCTACAATAGCTCTATCAATGTTATGGGGAACAAATTTTCCCTAACTCTGTAATTCCCTAATTCAGAATACAGGATAGACAAGGCCTGATTGATCTTCCTGTTTCCTCTAACATTTCACCTCGGAGACTTCATGGTCACTGCCAAGAGATTCCATTCCATTTTGAAATGCGGACAAGATGCCTCGTTTGATGTTCAGCACCCATGTTGGTTCATCATCACTGGGACACAGTTGATCTATGACACCATCTTGGAAGGAGAACCTCAAATTGTTATTTTGTAAAGCTCTTTTAAATTCTCGTGTATCACTGTGTCTTCTTAGTCGAACTGATCGATCAGGATCCGCTCCATATAAAACTGTATCAGATAGCTGAATAAACATCAAAATTAAGACCATTTTAAAAAATTGATATTGGAAGTACTGAAATTCTTCGTACCAAATTTTAAAACATTAATACTATGTATAGGATTCTAACTTTCCAATTATAAATATGGAAAAGATTCATTTACAGAAAAAGTATCTAATTCCTAGCTACATAAAAAGGCATACTGAACACAGGACAGGATTATAACACTTTTGATGGTTATTTATTTAGTGGAAAATAGCTTAACACCAATTCTACATTGACTTTATATAGGATTTATCATTACACTTTTTCATTTTAATAAAGTTGGTATTGTGTTAATTCATACCTGTTTAAAAACTATGGATGTCTTGATAGAAAATGAAATTTCTTTTTAACAATATTGGAAATAGCACTAAATTGCTGCAAAATATGGACATTGAGAAGCTTTCAGATGGAGGAGTGTTTTAAATGTACTGAGGTATTTTCAAACACCTCCAAATTCACAAAACGTCCTACTTGCCTATTTTACCTTGTATTAGAATTTATATAAATGAACAGATAGCGACTAAATGGCTCACTTTTTTTATTCCTATATTATGAATCGGGAGAGATCAAAGAAAATATTCAAAACCAACTTACCTCCAACGTAAATTCACACTTGGAAATGACTCCTATTAAAACGTTAGAAGTTATCTTTAAACCTGCATTGTCCTCTGATGCCCCGTGTATACCAGTGAATGTCTTACCCTCATAAAGAAATTCATATACCGTCCCTGGCTGATACAGAAACTTGCTGTTATCTGGAAAAATGAATTTTTTACATAAACTTTTTAAAGAAAATTATGTTCGCATATTTTATTACAATATCTTAAATTTCATTTTGATATTTTAACAACATCTGAATTGCATATTATAAGTAAAAAAAAATATTTCTAACTTGCTGTTATAACTGCTTATAGTAACAAACATTGTTAAATATGTCAGTATTTGGAGTTTGAAGTCAGTATGTAAATACAGATGTACAATTCCATGTTTTTTTTCCTTAGCTCTGACTGATGTGAAATCTCTAAGACCTAGCTAAAGCCAAGATGTACTTTGTCATTCTTGATTTCTGGTAAATTTAATCACAACCACAATTCATGCTAGTTTTTTTTTTTAAATGTTTCAAAAAAAAAAAAAAAAAAAACACTGACATATTTATCTATGTTTGGAGGGGAAGTATTTTAATTTAAATAAAGTTTTAATACACAAACTTTACTATTCAATGCCTACTAGAAGTATTAGTTTCTAAACAGTTCATAATGAATATTCAATTTCGTGATTTCAATCATATCCTAAAATGTTATCATTGTTACACATCCTTTACTCCATCATCTTAAGATCAACGAGCACGTGATAATCACAAGAACACATTTGCACAGTAGCTAAAGATAATATCCTAGATAATTACACTGTTGTTACAAACATCCAGTATAATACCTTTCATCAGTTCATATAGCAGAGTACAACTAGTTATACTTTATCAATTATTATCTAGTTATCTTATCATGTCCATTATCAATTATACCAAACAATCGCGGTAAATAGAACCTTGATCACCAAGGTTACTCAGGTCATATACAACTACGAGAATGAAATAAATTCTGAATTGGTCAAGTATATATACATGTGCCATATTTCATCTATTGGTAGTCAATAAAGTTAATATTACAAAGCACATCACCAACCTGTCAAGCGCTAGTAGACAAAAATAACCTTTTGTACTCTAATAAACATACAATATTAGAAACTTTCATAAAAAGTGAAAAAAGCAGTAAAAACCGAGTAATCGATTCATAAACTATTTCCGCGAATTTTTCACTTCTTTTTCAAATTAATGTATTCCGAACAGGAATATTGTCGTGCGAGTAATGTGGCCGGTTCAAACTTTGAACAAGTAAATAACTTTTAATAATAGGCGCGAACATTTTCAATGAGTTAAGCATATTTCAGTATTAAAAGTTGCAATTGACGACATACAGTATAAAACTTATGTGTAAAGCAGACTATATATATATGTTGCCGTTTTAAAATAGAGTTTCATGTGTCCCATCTGTAAAGTGACTACAGTAAATTAGGTCGTGAAAACAAATAATTTACAAATACTAACTTTTCCAGCTTGAACCCTTAGACTTATTCATTCTGGGATTCCTCTTCGGGACTCATTTATATGGGACGTTTGACAATGTCCCTCATCGATATAAGTTAGTCCCAATGAGGAATCACAAAAGGGATTACCACTGTAGACAGTTCCTATCCGTCCCTGGTACGTTTATGCAAAATTGCGTAAATGTTACTCATTAGCAATGCACTTCAACATAAAAACAAAATCAAATTCGGGGCAACAAAAGGGAGCTTTTGAATAGCTAGACTATCTTGTATAATGATTTCTATCCACCTAGGTAACATATATGTTTCTCATCTGTCGCCACTTCCTTCGCGGGCTGTATCCAAGGGCAGATAACTCAAAAGAGAGCATGTTACTAAATGTTGTCAGAAAATAGTGACAGAACGGACTCCAATCACTGAATGGATGGAGATTTCTCAGTACACTGTGGTTGTGACAATAAATCTTAACATTGGTATAAAAATAGTTTGCCCAAATTTTCATTTCAGTCCGTTTCTGCAGGTGATTAAAAGGACACGGGCGTTTGAATATTTCTTACAGAAAATATGCATTTTCGTTTCCAGAATTTTTTTTTCTTTCAATAAAAAGCAACAGATAATCGCTAATTTTCAAATTAATTTGACAGCCACAAATCTCCATAACAATTGAAAAATGTAAATTTGAGTGAAAAAATACTTAAACTTAATATTTGACAATGATCTAAAGTTTAACTTTTTTGAGGACTTAATGCTTTGAACGAAAATGTTCGGTGTTCTTTCCATCTAAAAGAAATGGTCATTGTCTCGCTTGATTTTTTTTAAAATAATATTCATCCAAATTCCCGATTTATTTTTAAAAAGTCAAAAGACAAACTGAAATGTTTAATACGGAGCCCTAAAATCCAAGAAAAATAATCCATGAAGTCAGCATTCATGTATTTCAAATCCATTATTTTTGGTGTTAATTCAAGCAAAATTTTTATGAGATCTGTCCAAAACTTCGCTAGTTATATTAGAAAGAAATACACTACCAACGGAAAACAAATCTGAGTTTTATATACACTGTGTTCTCAAAAGTATTTCCACACGAAAAAATATTAAGCAGATATTAATAAGGAAAGTCCGTCAATATAGTTTTTAAAAAAGTGCGTGAAAGCATAGTGGAAAACACATTTCCGTGGAGCATACCGACAGTAATCGAACCCATGTCTGCAGCGTGAAAAAATAATGATTCTACAGACTGTTCAATTAAATTAACATGTCTCGCTGTGATTGTTTTAATGTGTTCGTTTATTAATTTCTTTTCAAAATTTACTGATGGACAAAAAAAATGTCAGGTTAAGCATTTCACAAACAAACAAATAAAAAGATCTAAAAGCATTTTGCATTCAGCATGGCGTACCGACCATTCATAATTTGAAAAGGGGCTACCAATTTGGGTCATTCAACGGCCACTCAATCAGTCATCAATAGTTACTTTTCGCAGGAACATACTTTCAGGTCAGTTGAATACCGTATGTTCCTTAGAGCCCATACAGGTTTTTAATTGATGAGGGGAGGAGACGGCAAATTGAGGGAATGTTAAGGGAAAATGTCACTGTTTTTCACTGATCTAAAAATTTCATACTCGAGCGAAATATGTAGTTTTGTGTTTTCAACAGGAAGCATATCTCAAGATTTTTTCTATGTTTTCATTAGATAGTTTTCAAAATAACATGAAAATATTCACAAATCCTACCATTATTGACAACAGATTAACACCACAATTTGAAGGCATGCTAATATATCCTTACAAAATTTCTAACATTACAAGATCCAGAAAAATCTGGCCATGGCATCCCAAACGTGTTACTTAATGCATTTTTTTAGTTTTAGTCAGCTTTTTCTAAGAGACTAGGTAATACACTTAGCAGTTCCTGCACAAAAAAAAACCAGTTTTTCACTTTAAAATGGACCATGTTTGAACCTCTCCTTTGAAGTCAAAACATTTTGTTGTCATGACGTACGGAAACAATCATTACGAGACCGTCAAGAAACTTGTCTGTTACAGTTTGGTTTTAAAAAGCCACCTCGTATGCGAAGACACATTTCGCCAGTAAGAATTTTGTACTATTGTATTTAACATCATAAACTTTATTTAAAAATGGAACTCTTTATTTCTAGAACAAATTTGTCATTTTTATGGTGTTATATATATGAATACCAAAGCCTAAATGCCTAGAACTTTCTATGGGACATTGATGCAACTAGTACAGATATTTGATTTGGTTATCAATGAGATCAAGGATGGACTGCAGGGAGATGACCTGATAATCTTATCCGCGTATATGTATTATTTACTTATATAGATAGGTAGTCATTGACATAAATAGGTCGATACATTAAGGTGGCGCCACACACCAAACTGGTCAATTCCTGGTCAGCACATCCAGTAATGAATGACATCCTACATCGTAACTCGTAATTACCATTGTGAGACCTGTGACACAGTCATTCTTTAAAAAGCTGGTAATTTCCTCTTGGTGTGTATTATGAACGCAACATGATAAAAACATGAATGCATCCCGTGAACGTCCTTGTTTCGACCTTGAAAGACGAAATTATCGTGTATGAACTGTGGCCTTTGTCACTCCACAGATAAGTTCAAGCAGACGCAATCCGATATTCGTAACACCACCAACCGGTACTTCAATATTGAATATTAAAGTTAGTTTTCAAGTATTGACAAATGTTCATTTGCTCGTTTGCTTCCTGGTGATACACGTTTTAAACTTTTATTTCCAGTGCAGTGTATCAATAACTTAATTACAAAAATATTTACACATACACACAACACATCTTGTAACACAATGTCAGTCTACATCTACAATATATACTTACCTGTACACTCTCTTGCACACGAGTTACTGGAAACAGGCGCCACAGGACCTACAACACGCAAACATTTTCAATATACAAGTAGTTTGATAAGTAGGACTTTTAAAATCATTTAAATATATTTCCCTCCCATATGAAATAAAGTTAGACATGGACCGATTCTCGTTCAGATCCCAAGCCCCTGGGAGCTGTTGAAGATGACGCAGAATTGAAGGAGATTGTTTCGTCCCTATATATAGCCAATGAAAAAAGAGTAACTTTTTTCTCTCTCCCATAATACCTAGCAATAGAATATCGTTTGAAGCACGTGACTTCCGTGTCATCAATTTACTGTAGAAAATAAGAATTATACTATAGCAAAAGACACTGTCCGCGCAAGACTTGTGTAGTAATGTGATCGGAGATATAGAGTTAAGCGCTATTTACAACACAGAGAATTATATTTCACCATAGCAAAATAACTGCTAGACCACACAAAAAACTTCATCAATATGTATTCTATTCACCAACACGAAGTATTACAAAACCCATTCCCTATCACTAGCTCCGTGCTACGGAGCGACAATACTTTACTCTGTTATAAATGTGTTTAACCGTATTACTACTAAGAACGCATGGCGATTAACATACATTGCACCCTTCCAATTAATAGTCAGCAATAGATAAAATTATTATCAATTAAAACTTAACTCCGTGCGGATGTAAACAAAAATTAGTAAGATGGTCTAAAGTTAACGTGACGTGCTTAATGTATCATGAATTTTAGCCCTCGGTGTTTTTTTTAAATACATTCCATCGCGGTTTCTATGTTTGATATCTATGTATATTTAATACTAGCCATGGTATCCATTCAGTTACGAAAATTGAGTATATTTCGTCAATTTCTAGAACTAATTATATTAATATGTATCTACTTGATTACCTCAGGCTAAAATGAAAGTTTCTTGTTTACTAAAATTTAATTCACACAAAACGGATTGTTTTTAAAGCCTCGTTTTGAGTTTATGGTACTGAAGCTGATATTAGACACCGCTCCTTTTCTGCCCGTAAACAACCCTGTCCTGCTGACATCATTTCTGTGGTTTTGAACTTGTTATAAACATTATGTCGGTTAGACTTGGAACTCGTGTTCTATACACATGCTCTTTTTCCTGTCATAAGTTGCGCGCACAGCAATATTTTTTATGATGTGCGCATTACATTTGTGGACTCTGAAATCGTGTAGTTAATGTTGGCTATTACGTTTAAGAAAACCTTACAAATGTTACGATTTCTACAGATTAATAATCAATAAACGAAAATTATTCGGTGTTTATTTTGACGACTAACGCTGTTATCTTTAAATTAATATATTGTCATGTGTTTCACTTTTAAAATTATTTTAACACAAGCATACAAAGGAAACAAGTTTGGAATATTACACTATTATTTATTTGTATCGAATAATCAATATCATTTTTTTAAACTCACGTATTATACAAAAAGACAAAACATTTTATGATATATTATTCAACAGTGATAGAAAAACAAAACAAAAAACATGCATTTGACAATTTTGTCGATTAAAAATTAAATCGTTATTTGTTTTTAGAATAGTTATTCAAAATACCTGCTAAACTTCCCGCCACAATGGCTAGAAAAACTGTCGCTGTGTTAATATCCATGTTAAGTCCAGTTCCCACTGTCGGGATGGACTGTGAATACATATGTGCAGTGCGCAGGCTGGTCTGAGCTTTATATTCCCTTTGACAAAATACAGTTCAAAGGTTGAACGGCAACACTAATCTGTGCTTAGAACGGACGTAGTACACCGTGTGCACAATTGAGTGATGATGTAGCTATCTCGAAATTCTGCGTCGGTACGAAAGGTTAAAATAACACAAACATGTGATATCAGTATTGTCCATTATTACACTTTGTGTGCTTGTTATTGTTTAAGCACGTAGGACTTTTATACGTCTATGCCATCTGCAATAAACCTTCGATTATACTTTATCGGTTGATGCGATCGAATTCCGACACAGATATATTTTATTTAAGTTTCACTATTCATAGCCGGGGATACAATGGACCTTAGAAATTAGATATTCTCTTGTGATCTTATTTTTTCTCCGTTTGATTCCTTTGTTTATAGTCAGGCGAAATTTGACTCGAAACGAACATTTTATTGTCTGAACAATCTAGTGACATCATATCCAATATGACGTCATGAGTAGAACAAACAAATGTATAAAAGAAGCATATAATATGCACTGGCGAAGTAAAAGGGACAAGATTCATGAAACTCACACGTAACGAAAACGAATTTTAGATGATTTTCTATCACAAGATCAGTTTTTTGCTCATAGACCTATAACAGAAAAGTTAATTTCCCATATAAAACTTGAAGTCAGCTGGTCTCCATTGTGACGTCACGAAGAAGTTACTTGTGAGTATATGACGTCATTTCATTTTCCAATCATCCCGACATCACAACACAGTCATATCATTGATAACATACAAGCTTTATTGAGGTTATTTGTATTGACCAGGCAATCACGAAAATAGCATACATTGTATTTTGGATTAAACGGTCAGTTTTATTTAAGGATGTACGGTATCTCTTGAAAACGATATTTAAATATGTGTCACTATCAATGTGTTATGTAAGAAAAATATATTGAATTCAATTCAGTTCTATTACGGATATTCAGTTTCTTTCCAACACGGTATCAACGAACGTATTTTTCATACATAGTTAATTGTTGAATTTCGTCCATTAGAGTAGTTAAAGCCCCAATATACGTAAAAATCACTATAAAAAACAAACTTTATCTTATTTTCCCCGTAATATATGTAACAAAACAGATACTTTCCTTTAATTAAAGAAAATAAAACTGACTGTTTTCAATTTAAGTAAAAATGGGAAAAAATCGGAAAATAAACAATGTGGGACCCACAATTGTTGAATTTCGTCCATTAGAGTAGTTAACAGATAACAGACCGCTGACTGAACATGCCGCCGAACGAATCAATTTAAAACAAATAAATTTGGAAGGGACTGTAACTTTAATAACGAAATTTGTTTTAAATATTAAATAAAGTATATGAGTAAACGAATTAATTACACTTCACATCACATTTTATGGTGCAATAATAAGTTGAGATAAGAGAAGTGGTTTACCCTGATCCAAGTTTACAATTGACATTGACCGGCAGTTCAGCGTGCTGAAGTAGGGCCCGTCCTTAGATTATGAAGGTAACCTGGAGATAACAGTTGAAATAACAAGACACAATTATGATGATTTTATTTACTTACGAATTGGAAACATTCGAGAAATGATTAGATAATATCACAGGGTTTTCAGTATGTCAGAGCGCAGTAACTGACAAACAGGTTGAAGTAATGAGGTCATCGCGACCTAATTATGTAAGTGCTGAAAAACGTATTCTTGTGTAATTCTTTTAACCAATAACTATTCTAGTTGTTTCATAGTTTAATATATTATTATTTTGATTTGATCTAGTTTTGATGATCTAGCTTAAAAAGTATTTCCTAACTAGTAAGCCACATTCGTACTTCACGTTAGGCTTTAATATACAACTTACGAGAAATTGGAGGAAAATGCATGTTCCTCCCCCTGGCCACTCTTTTATTATAACCTGGACGAAACGTCAAATCTCTTTGATAATGAAACAGTCGTAGGCTTCAATCTATTTCAAGATCAGGGATCAGGTATCCCCACTCCCCCATCCCAAACCCCAACCCCCATTTTTTAATATAAACTCATACATACAAAGAACAATCATAAGAAATGGATTCGGAAACAAGTTTTCCAACTTATATTAATCTATCTCCGTTTCTAACAGAAACTATAAATCTGACAAGGAAAGTTAGGATAAGGAATCATTTCCTAGATTGGAAATGAATACATGGAGATAGAAAGTTAAATTCTCTACTCATTAACAGTTTTTTTCCAATTATATTATGAACTCCAACCTAAAGCTAAAGAGATTTTTCTATCGTTTTAGTTTGTAGATTTATCGGTTACGAATTCTGAAGGTAGATATCACTTTTTTTAGCCCAAGTTATAAAAAAACAAATTATGAATAGATATAAATTTTCGTATCTTTAGACATGTGTATCATTGATCAAACCCTGTAAGAAATGTTAGATCTATTATTTTGCACCATACTGCATACTGATATTGCACAAGGCATTTAGTAATTCTGCGATAATTTGTATGGACAGTGCCTTATTCGCGACTGATTAAGTTATGAAATAGAGAATCATATTGAGTTTAATAGCATACCGCCGTTTTAGTCTTCAGAGTATGATATCAATAAATCGAACTATTGATATAAAAACATATTTATTGATAACATTAAATAGAATGATTGAAATCATAAATTCATTAAGTGATATTACTTACTCAAATTTCGATATCATTAAGTACACTTATTATTCATACCGGTAATTCAATTAAGTGATATCATAAATTCGAAATTTGAATTTAGAGCTTCTTTTGTTTGGTAGTATTGATCTTTCTGAAGACCTAAACTATTTTGTCTTTAGATATGTGCAAAATTTCATTTAATTCAGCAAAAGGTTTTAAAAGATTCTTATACATGTATTTATGTCTGCGTGTGAATGCTTAATATGTATAATCTACGTTTAAGCCTATATCTGTATAAGCATGTGTTTGAAAATGTATGATAGGAGAGGGCTCCAATAAGTTGTAATAACTTGTGCCCAATTCCCTTGTTCAAACTTATTTTGACAATAAAATATGTTTAACCTTTTTTTTTTTAATTCGAAATTATTTATATAATTTATTCGAATTACTTACATCAATCGATTAATTAATTATATCACTGATTGGAATCATTGATATAAATAATTTAGGACTGAGTTTTAGTGATGTCATAATTTCGAATTAGTGATATCAACAAGTCATTTAATCACGGTTTTCGATATATCTATATCTGTGATTGAATTATATCAATAATTCCGTAAATTTAATATTAAATAAATGTATTCCTTAATAATAAGTAATATAACATTTCATGATATCAAGTTGAATTTATGACATATCTAAATGAATTATCAATATTTCGAATTAATGATATCAATACTTCGAGTTAGTGATATCGTTAATTCGAGTTAGTTTTATCGTTAATTCGAATTATTGATGTTACATAAACCGGCGCCCAATAATACCACCCTTCAGCCTCGTTAAAAACAACACAGTCATTTGCCAGCACCTCGAGTCAAATAATCATGACTAATTATAAGACATTAAATGTTTTATAACATAAGTAAGTAAGCGTCTACACAAACTTGTCGCCAAAGGAGTTTTCCAACTAAAAAAGGCCCACATTTAGTCCGGAAACCCTACTTGGACATCATGATTGACTTTCCAGTGTTTTTATGCCGAAATATGACAAACTGATTGAAAACATTAATAAGAAATCTTACATTACACGCCCACATGACAAGGTACCGTGCTATACAACGCTATCTATATAATGAAACCAACAGAAAATAATTATTTCTAGTACAAAGACAACAAAGAAATATTTAACTCAAAGTTTCCGAGTATTTTTTTCGTGTTCGTAATTGCAATAGAATGGATAGTGCAATTTGGATCCAAGCCTGTGTTTTCAACTATAAACACCATTTCTGCATCACAGACCTTAATTAACGAAACACTGAGAAAATATTTTGTTGCTTTACAGACTACACAAAAGCGTTTGATTTGATTGAAAGAAGTTTTTTGTGGTCTAAACTTATATAACATGGAATAAAAGGGAAAATGTTGAAAATTAATGAGTAGTTATATAAAGATGTAACATCTTTCGGTAACTATCAGAGTACTGTCCAAACACGACCGGTTTGTTCCAGGGATATATTCTTTCATCGATTCTCTACAGCCTATATGTAAATGATTGTAAAATGAAAATTGTCTCTCTATCGCAATATGCCGCTTTAACTGATTTTTACATATGCGGATAACTTTGTATTGATTGCCGAGATACACGAAGCGTTGTAGAAACTTTTACATTCATTGTTTATATACAACTTAGAAAGGAAGTTAAAACATACTGTCTCCAAAACTAAGATTATTATTGTTCAAAATGGTGGTAATGTAAGAGCTGTAGAAAAACGGAACGTGTGATACAACTAAGAAATCAATATATCTAATGAATTCAATTCAATTGTTGATGAATTTCAATGGAAAATTCAATGTAACTCAGAAACATGTTGCTAACGAGGGAAAATCTTTATTCGTAATTAAAAGTAAATTTTTTAAAAATCTTATGTTACATAAAAATGTTCTGTGTTTGATACTTATGTCAGTAGTATAAGTGAAAGCGAGATATGGAGCTTTCACAAAGAACCAGCAATAGAGAAACTCCATTGTTAGTTTTGTTAAAGATTGTTTGGTGTCAAAAATGCACAGGTACTGATTTTGTATGTTTTTAACTGGATAGACGGTCACGGTATTCAAATAGAAAGTTAAAAATCATGAAATTCTGTTTAAAACTTATCGATGAAAGATGAGTGGATATACATTATAAAACAAGAAATAGATAAATTAGATCTATATTACGTTTGGGACAGAGATTGTATAAGTAAAGATATGTACAGGATAATAGAACGAAGATTTAAAGATTATCATATCCAGGAAATAGGAGCAAAAATTATTAATGCTACTCTAGGTGACCTAAACAAACATCTAATTGACCATTTTTTTGCATGCAATATTATTTACTGAAGTCTGTTGAGGATGTATATAAGAATGTATAGCTAGCATTTAGATTGTCTTCACATCAGTTAAATATCAAAAATGGTCGCTTTCACAACATTGAGAGGAGACGTAGAATATGTGAATGCTGTCCAAATAATTAAATTGAAGACGAGTTCCATTTTATCCTACAGAGTCCATCTTGTATTGAGATTAGACGAAAGTATATTAAAAACATATCACTATGAACACCCCGTGTGTTCAGACTTGTGCAATTATTAAATATAAATAATACGAAGGAAGGAAATTATCTTTGAAAATATACATATTTTGCATTTGAGAATAGAAAAGCATACCTTGGCCAGGGGCGTATATAACACTGTATTATACGTCCCTGCCTTGACCGAATGAATGAATAGATGTTTAGCTGTTTCTTATATACGTGTATTAAAACCTCTTGCATTGCATGTTTAGCTGTTTCTTATATACGAATATTACTCGATTACTGTATTATGAGCTGTTGTTTTGAGAGATCATAATGTCCTCAGAAATGGAATTTAATAGTATTGAAACGTCACTTAAATCTTCTAAAATTCACCCGAGGCGTTCAACGGAGATACAGAGGGGACTTCCCGCAGGGTATTTTTTCTGTTTTGCGCGCACGTAATTAAATTCGTAGAGTACATATCGGTTTTTGGGTGTTTTTTTTGTGTGTGTTAGCGTGTGTGTATGTTTCGGCTAAGTAACTGTGTTAGTGTGTATGTATGTTTCGGCTAATTTTAGTAACAAACAACAGTAACAAAACAGTTGAACCTTTTTCCCGCTGTGTCGAAATGTCATTTGTTCCTATCATATCTAATGTTTATTTTTCGAACATGCAATATCCAAATAGATCTTAGCAATGGAGCTTCGAAGTAACGAAACGGTATTTCATTCCTGAAGGTGAAACTCCTTGGTTAAAGAAGCGGGAGGATACTTTTACGTTTTGAACCAATGACAGTTCGGATAACAACCAGTCATCATGTGCATTGAAAGATTTACACCGATTGGTCATGTTTTCCAGATCATTCAAACGTTTGTAGCTAACGACGCATATAACAGTCATAGCATGATAGCGACTGACGATATAATAAACAGTGTGTACATGATGTTTGCCTCGTGTTTGCCCTTGGATTGAAGAATGACTGCAGCCAAATTACATTTCCTTTACTTATGATGCGTTTCAAACAATCGTTCACAAGAAGACCAAGTTGTGGACTTTATACAGGTAATTTTAAATGAAGAATATCATGAAACATGTCCAAGTGAACAAACAGGAAACACGTTGTCGGTATCACGCCTATCACACATGTGAATGACACATAGCTCGTTTATCATAAGAGATAGAACGAATTCTATAGATAACCAACATGAAGATGGGTCAACTAGATATCGAATCATAAATTACATGATTTGACAATGTTAGTTGTGACGCAAAGTGTTCTTAACACACTAATATTTTCATAAAAAATATTAGTATGTAGCCTAAATTATGACCCGAATGTTCTCATTATCTCTGGTTGACCTAACATAGATTTCGAGTACTCATTTTGCATTGTAAGTACCCGTCAAATATTAGCTGCGTATATACGGCGATAATACAGATCATAATACTCTCTAGATATAATTACATCTAGTTCTACCACCATATTGTATCCCCCTTTGGGGATTCCTCATTGGGACTCATTTATACCACACGTTTGACAATGTCCCTCGTTGGACATTGTCAAACATCTGATATAAATTAGTTTTAAGGAGGAATCCCAAAAGGGATTACATTGGGCCCTGTGTGCTTGCTGCATGTGCTAGGCACCAATACAAATCCTACCAAATTAGCCCAAAACTTACTTGACCAGTGCTCATATGAATACTTGTCAGTTATTTCAATCATCATTGTGTAAACTTAAAAAGAGACATGTCATAAACATTCTCAGCTACATTAAAATCATATGTACCTGCTGTTCAGTTAATGGCAGTCGGTCAAACGACACCGATGTGATGTCAGTTATCAAAGCAAGTCTGAACCAATGCTCAAACACCCCATTGAAATACCAAATATTCACAATGTTGTTTTGGTGTTTTATATAATGATATTCAAACCTCTTCTACACAAAATTCACCAAAAACTGTTTCTAAGTCATTAGTGGGTTAGAAATATATGAAAAAAAATGACGTCTGTTTTGCATTAATCGATGCCTGAAATCATGGAGTAGCATGTATTTCTATTAGGTCAAAATGTAGACCAATATTTTTATCTTTACTTTATTTTGTAAAATGCATCATATCCACTTCAAACACAATACTTTTTTATTTAGATATTTTGCTCTCATTATTTGAAAGTAAGCAAAATATGCGTGCAGCAGGATTAGTTGCACAGTTGTTTGCTTGATTCAGATTATCAAGTGACGATTTCATATCATTACTATATTGCATCATGAGTGAACATACCTGTCGTTCTGTGGAACCGTAAATAAAAAAAATTGTGATAAGATATGCTGAATAACTATTCCTGTCCAAGCATTGGCGAAGTTCTACATACACACTATAGCAAACTGCAAATATTTTGCCTTTTTTGAAAAAAATATTTCAGACATGCTCAACACCCTAAACTTGATGTGATACAGATTTGTCTAAAGAGAGGAAATGAATTCAACTGTCTTTCTGCTACTAACTCAGTGAAGTTTGATATTATGAACTTAATTCTCATTTGTGTTTGATGGCCTCATGATAATAAACCTGTTATTATTGCCTGTTTATAGTAAGTCAGGACTAGCTCAGTTTTGCACTATATTTATACAATATTTAGAACTTAGTATGTTAAATTCTTTCAGATTTCAGCTTTTTCTTTTTTTGTGACTTAACATTTTATTCAATACAAGAAATTAAATACAACACGGGATACATAATGAGACAATATGTCACTTCCACACATATATCTTTGCACTCATATGGCATTATAATATTTTTGCATATCTCCAATCTTATAACAGAATCACACAAATGTGACCAGTATATTCATTGATATATCTCTAGATATGAATGTAAACACAAGCATACACACGCATACACACACCACCACCCCCATACACACACCCTCACACACACACTCTCACACATGCACAAACATATTTACTTACTGATGAACAAAGGATCTATAAACACCAGAGGGAAGTGTTTTTTCATATGTAATTTTCTTGTTGGTAGTCTGCATGGGAGTGTTTAAATAATCGTTGTATTGTTTTGGTTTTTCAAAAAAAAGGAAAGAAAGAAGAAGAAAAAATTTTTAAAAAAATAAGAAAGAAAGAAAAGAGAGTGAGAAACAAAAACTAGACACATATGTAACAAATAGATTTATGGGGGTAGGGCTGACATGTGTAAGTGTAGTAGCTGATATATTTTACAATGATTTTAGCTTTTTCATGCTTGCCAGTTTATGGCATAGCATGGCTTCCATCATTGATCATCCAACAGTCCAGACAGCACCAAATTTTCCCTGTATACAAATTCTTCTCAATAACCAGAAGGCATTGGGTCACAATATTCAGCCAGTAAAATGCTGAAATAAAGGGCTATGTATACCAAGTTTGTTAAAATGAATTGCCTTGATCCATTTTTAAGGTTTCATGTCAAATGTGTTAAAATCTTTTAAAAACTTGCACTCAGTAATGGAGATGTTTAGTATCATAATTAGTGATGTTTCAATTAATGAACTTCGTTGAGAGTTGGTTGGTTATGCCAATTTGTTAATTAATTGACTGCAATATTCCATGATTGATTGTCAGTAAAATAAAAAGTGTCATTCACATTTCCCTGTCTTTACTAGAGAAAAGTCCCGAACTTTGATCCTGTCGACAAACATGATGAAATGATCAAGTGTCTAGTTAAACAAGATTTGTCAACATTGCTTTTTAAGCACTTATTGATATTATTTTTTGAATACATAACATGAACCAATTTATCATTGGAAAAAATGTAAATATATGTCCTTTCCGTAATCAATTATTGATTTATCATCAATCAGTTCAGATAATCTGATGATCAATTATAAAAACTGCAACCTATTCCCAACAACACTTGCCATTATACATGTATTACTTCAGTAAGGTACTAGGATGAATGATTACCAATTTTGTTCGATTATGTGTACTTGACCAACTTTTAATGACACAGGAATATTTTTTAACAACGTCTGATGAATTACCAAAAGGCTTTGGATCATGACTTGGGGCATGTTGAATGCTGAAATGCAGGTTTACCAAGTTTTTAGCCATTCAAATCAACCTTCTCTCAGTGGTCCATTGCCTATGGTCCATCTGTCCGCTTTCTGTCTGTCCATAAACAATTCTTTTTTATTGCTATTTCTTCAAAGGTACTAGATGAATCTTTCTCAAATTTATATTTATATTCCTGTTGCCACTTGTTGCCAAAATTGATTTTTACAATGGAAGTTTGTCATCACTGTTTCGTCAGAAGCACTGAATAAATCTCACTCAAATTTCCCAGTCGTCCCTAGTTGCACCCGTTAGAATTTTGACTGATCAAAAAAGAAAATGGATAAAAACCAGCCATCATGGATTTCAACAACGAAATTTGTTATTGCTGCTTCTCCGAGGATTGTTCATATTTCGTATGATTTAGAGCAAAAGAGAGAAAAGAAGGGAAAAGATCCAACAAATAAAGATGTAGTAATGGTGGGCACAAAGGGATCTCTTGTTTTAAATAAATTTCCTTGATCTTTTCTCAAAGTCTCAGTGGTCAAATGTCTTGAGATATTTAAATGTCTTTTCAGCAATCAAGATGACCTGTGTCATGATATTCATCTTGCAGCATGCTGTAACAAACATTCAAATAAATGACCTTCATCCACTTTCAAGGTCACAAGGGTCAAATGCATTCAAATCTTCAAAGATTCTTCTCCATTTTCAGAAGACCCAAGTTTCCATTCTGTGTTTCAATTTTTCTGCATTTCTCACCCCTAACATCCCAGTATGTTGTCCAGTCTGGTATCTACTGGACTTAACATCAAATATCTTCCCATCCTTCAGCTTGTAAATGCAGCCCGGCAACTGGTCATGAAACTTTTATCAAAGATATGATAAGTATTTCTATATAAATGAAATGCTCAGCTGGATTATATTTTCAATTCAGCTTTTCAAGAATTCCTCATTAATTGTAAAACACTTTACACAACTAACTAGTCGTACAGTAGGAAAAATTAATTAAACACCCAGTTCACGGGGGCACGATGGTTTAATCAAATTTGATAGTACTAAAATATACACAGCTCTTATTTGTTGACATTATGAGGAGTAAAACGATAACTGCTCTGTCAAATATATATCAGAATTCTTAGAGTCAGATTAGGTATACTTCAGTGTGTGTTATATTCTGTATTGGGGTATTTGCCTTATGGTTTACCATTCCCAGATGTCCATTCACACAGTTCATATCTGATTGTACATAAATAGCTTCCCGTAGGTACACAGAAACTTATATAGGTAGTAGAGTACCTGGTATTCTCAGTGCTTAAATCAGATTTAAGCTGGGCTTCGTCCTGTATAGTTATATATTAACAATACTAAACAATATCTGATTGTATTATAAGTTATTTTGTGTGGAGTAAAAATTACCATACCTATTCTGATGAGATAGGTAAAGCCACTTACTGATGTGACATTCAACAGAAACAGATTATATTATGGTATGATGATTCTTTTGGAGACTGGTATATCAAGATATTTTATTGCATTTGCACCTGGTGGATTTTTGGGTACCTGTAATGGTGGGTTGAATATCATTTCATTGTGTTATGTTTCAGCTGTACTATATTTCAAATATGACAGATGTTGCATGGAAAAATACAGAAAATGGAAATTTCATATACCTGTAAAATCTTGAATGGTTGTTTTGATAGATATTTCATTAAATACATATATACAGACTTTATGATATATGGAATATTTGAATTTCAGTCCCCCTGTTGATGTTACACGATGGTGAGACACCTGTATTTTTTACATACTGTGTATTTTAAGTTGATGTTGTACATGTTTAATTCAGGATCTTTTTAATATTGTGTGATTGTTTTTAACATTTCAGTGCTGGAGTTATGTTTGTCATGCTTGGATTTTGATTTTTGTGAATCATTTTAAACTTGCCTAATTGTTGTTTTTAACTGTTCAAGTTTCATTAAAACAATGTATTAATTGTGATTAGCTTATACAGTCCAAAGGACTGTTAGTATTGTGTACTGGTGCAACATCAATCATCTCTCTGCCATCGTTATTATTCCCATTTAAGAAGCTTCTATAGACTAATGACGAGTGGATTAAATGGGGTCTGGAGCATGATCTTTCAATGAAGGGAACTTAATTTGTACAAAGAGGAGTTTGCTTTTGTTCAGATGAAGAAATTACAATCATATTGTGTTAAGCAAGGTGGTCCTTAGATGGAATGGCCTTTTAAATTTTGCATAACTGAGAGTCAGGTACTTCCATAGGCAAGGATGTAACTGCTTAATGCAAGTCAGAGACTTTGAAGAGAACACAAGTTATCATAACCCTTGTTGTGGACAAAAGGGTAGGGAAGTAAAGGTAAACATATCATCTGTATTCATTAATCCAGACAAAAGGACTTTAAGGCTGTGCTAGTGCATCCTTTGGTTAAGAAGATGCTTTACCATATAATTATACAGTATGTCAATAAAGGGTCTGGCCCCTCTTGGAATTTGATCTTTTAAATCCTTTTTCTTCATTTTAGATGATGGAATTTTGAATATTTGGGGTTACCTGGTAGTTATATAGGAGTAGGATATGATATGTGATTACATTCCAGGTGATTGATACAGGCCCAATGTGCCTCTTGTATGTAAGTGTACCAGTTGATGTTGTTTGATGAAGGGATGTTTTTCAAATGATGTTCTTAAAGTATTCTTATTGTAGTGGACTTGGCTTTGCTATTTCAGTATTAATCTTTGTGTCAGCAGCTGCTACGCTAAGGTAACCCATACCTGGTATATATCATCACAGGTCTTCAGAACTGCAGAGGAATTAGCATGCTGTAACATATTGTATGAGAAAATCACTCATGCTCTATACTGTATAAAGCAGTGATTCTGATCTTCTTAAACTGTAGGCCTTTTATATTTACCTGTGATTTAATGTCTCCATAGAAATCTTTCATAGCAGAACAAATTGAAAAGTTCCTAATATAGAAATTTCTTAAGAGAGCGGATATTGACGAGCAATCTCTTAAGTAAAACCACTGAATACCTGTCAAAATATACTTACTAGTGCTTAACACCAGAAGAAATGTAGATATAGTATTTCATCATATGACCTCATTTCTCCTTACATGGTTTTACAGTTCACTGATTTTATTGCCAAAACTTTCAGGTTTTTAACAGCACTTGCTGACATTCTCATTCCCAGTGATTTTTATGTTTTTGTCAATTTGATGAAGAAAAATCACGACAACACCTGATAGATTTTCCATATTAGAATGTATCGTTTTATATTAATTCAGAGAACTGTGATATAGGCAGATTTTTAGCCCAGTATTACATGTATAGTGTATGTTCATACTGAAAATTTTGTATTCTTATGCTTAATTATTGCATATGTATTCTAACAAGGAAGACTTCAGAAAATGACAGTCTTGTCAAAAAAATAAATAGTCATGGCTATAAATACTTTAGTATTGGGTTGTTTGATTTGGTTTAATTATTGTAGTAAGATCCCAAAACGACCTCAATGACACCCATAATACCATTGACACTAGTGTAAATGAGTTTGTTGTTGTTTACATGATTGTCACTGATACTTTGTGGTGAATAATAATAAATTTTCTTACAAAGAAAATGTCTTTAAAAAAATATCCTTGAGCGATCGTGACTATAACAATTTCTAGCTGGGGAAATTGACCCAGATGAAGACCTGTTGGCCCTATGTTCTGAAGTGATTTCACCCACCATGTCACCTGTGCACTCACCTGATCAGTTCAGTGATGTATTTAAATGTTCGTGTTTTATTGTTATAAATAAATGTGTGGTACAGCTCTCTTGATTCATGTAGATAATGCCTTTTCTACTAATTAATTCATGAAATTAATCCGTATTTTTTGTCATGTCTGAATTTATACCTGTGCTGTTCTATTTATAGATATTACCTGCTGTCTGTTGCATTGCTAAAAATAGATACCAGTATCTCTATAAACCTTAGTGTTATAATTTTAGGCTATTTTTTTTTCTCCTCAGTGTAATGATCTCTGACTGTAGTGAAGGTGTAGTATGTTCTTCAATCTTACTTTATATTCATAATAATGATATTTTGGAAAACGTAAAACTGAGAGTTTTACAAGTAGATTATTAACTGTTTCTTTGATTATTGTGTCTAAAATTTAATGATCTATTTTTTCAGCTGTCATTGGTTTAGTTTTAGTTAAATCATTTTTAGATATGATTTTTTGTCCAATTTTTTAATTTGATCTCTCGTTTCTTTCATTTTGTAGGAAACCTTGACAGATAGTAAAACATGCCTGGATCAGCTAGTATGAGTGAGAATTATAAACACTTCCCCACAGATGTTGGCATTGTTGCCATTGATGTCTACTTTCCGTCCCAATATGTTGAACAGGCAGAGTTGGAACAATATGATGGCGTTTCCACAGGAAAGTACACCATTGGTCTGGGACAAGACAAAATGGGTTTCTGTACAGATCGCGAGGATATTAACTCTCTGTGCCTCACTGTTGTGGAGCGTTTAATGCACAAACTCGAGGGTCACATAGGATATGAAAGTATTGGTCGCGTGGAAGTTGGAACAGAAACAATTGTAGATAAATCAAAGAGTGTGAAATCCGTGCTGATGCAGTTGTTTGAGGAGAGTGAGAACACAGATTTAGAAGGAATAGACACGACAAATGCATGTTATGGTGGAACTGCTGCTCTATTCAACGCCATCAACTGGATTGAGTCTAGTTCATGGGATGGTAAGGAGGTTTATATTAACAAAACATCGAGAAAATCACATGGTTTACACAATTTATTAAATTGTGTTCCTAACTGTATGGTTGGTAAAAAGTTATCACAGATTTTAATGTTTGAGTGTTTTGGTAGTGTTGGATTTTTCATTTAGAGCTCCAATATATGCAACTCCGTTAATACTATTTGTTTCATTATCCCCACCAAGTGTGACTTAATAAATAGCACTCAGGTTATGTATGTTTTTATGTTATAATGGCTTGGTTATCATGTGGACGTTTTCTGAGAATTTTTCAGAGTTTCATAAATTTGCCCAATGATGTGAATATCGGGGCTTTAAAATGTATTCTTTTGACAGAATTGGGAAGAGATTGCAGTCTGGTTTTTGAACATGTATTTTAGCATCTTATTAGCATAGTTTGGTATGTCAGTGGTAAAAATATTGAGATATAGGGACTTTGGTATGTCAGTGGTAAGAATATTGAGATACTTGGACATACTTTGGTATGCTAGTTGTAAGAATATTGAAATATAGAGGGACAAACTTTGATAGGTCAATGTTAAAAATGTGTCAAACTAGTCATTAGAATTATTATAAATTATTTGTGTTTCAGGACGTTATGCTCTCGTGGTTGCGGGAGACATAGCTGTGTATGCGACAGGGAATGCACGATGTACAGGTGGGGCAGGAGCAGTAGCTATGCTATTGGGTGATTATGCCCCACTTGTATTTGACAGACGTAAGTGATATTAATTAATATTAATTACAAGTACTAATTATATAATTCCAGATGTTGCACACTCCTTTCTTAACTTTATCAAGAAATTGCTCTACATCAAATAGAATGTTTCAAATAGTTTAATTTCTTCTTATAACATATCCCCCCCCCCATTTTTGTCCCACATTGATAATTGGTTTTGCATCTAAAATTAGCAGAATACGAAAAGAGGAAAGAAAAACGTTGTTTAAAAGGGACGATTCTTGTTGTTTTTGGTTTTTTTCTCATTGTATACCTTTAAATTTAATGGTGTAAAAAATGTGAAATTGTTGAAAAGGAAAAAATTTCTTCTCAACGTTTGCTGTATTCTGGAGACATTCTGTTTAATGGATATGTATAGACTGAAATTTACAATGATTAATCTATATGATCACTGCATATGGAATTCAGTCAGTTTGTTTCAGAACACGGAATCAAACTTGTTGGTTGTCTTCTGGTCATTAGAGATTTCAGAAAAAAAATCATGTAAATAACAGCAAATCTGTCTCATTTCAACTTAAAATTTACCTATTACCCCAAGGTCTGAACCATATGTTTATCCTGTTCAGTTACAGACTACACGGAAACTTTACACAGAAAACCATTTATATATTTTCAAAGAGTGATGGCCCCAATGACCTTTTATGTATTGACGGGCCATTATGAACATAATAATGACAATAATAATTTGTAGATTTATAGATTTTTTAAAATACAAATCTGTTAAATCAGTAACAGGGTTTTCTTCCTAGAGTGTGACTTTTCTAACCAGTGTTAATTGAAGAAGTTAGGATTTGTGATACTGTGAGGATCAGTAGAAGATATTTTGAATTTGCATTGGTAAAGATATGTAGCCTGTTAAATACAAACAAGATTTTAGGTTCTTTGTGTTTATCTGTGGCACTTTAGTGATACAGAAATGTATATTGTTACATGTCTAAAAAATCATTGGTTTCACAAAAAGGGAGTAGAATCGACTAGTTTCTGTATTCAGTCACATATACCAGAACAAGAAATCTTGGCCTAAGTTCAATAGAGACACTTGAGAATGGAGAGATGCTGCCCAAAGATTGCACACACTCTACTTCATTGACAAGTCAATTGATTTTCAATGTATAAACTAAGCTGGCTTTCATTGTACACTTGTCGTATTGAAGGGGATACGTATGTCATGAGGAATATATACACAATACTTTACCCAAACAGGACTTTGAACTTGATGTTACCAAACCTTTGGACTGCGTGTATACACAGCAGTCCTTCAGTGACATATTTGGCAACTATAAGGCTTTAATGAGGATTCAAATTAGTTCTGATCTGATTTTTATAGCTCACATGGCCATCCATGGTCAAAGTCCAACATGGAGGTATTAAGCATATTGTTTAGTCTACATGTACAAATGATTTACAGATTTTAACTGGTTTGGTGTATCATGGGGTCTTTTGTCTTTGATTTAGTAAAGTTGAACCAAAGAGATTGTCTATAATGAGATTTTTGTCTTTAACCAGAGTGACCTTAAAAGTCACTTCAATAAAGCAACAGTCCCAACAGTAGAATAACTCTTTAAACATGACTGCAATACAAGAATAGTCCTATCTCTACAGTACAGGGATAGTCCTATCTCTACAGTACAGGGATAGTCCTATCTCTACAGTACAGGGATAGTCCTATTGCTACAGTACAGTGATAGTCCTATCTCTACAGTACAGGAATAGTCCTATCTCTACAGTACAGGGATAGTCCTATCTCTACAGTACAGTGATAGTCCTATCTCTACAGTACAGGGATAGTCCTATCTCTACAGTACAGGGATAGTCCTATCTCTACAGTACAGGGATAGTCCTATCACTACAGTACAGGGATAGTCCTGTACAGGGAGAGTCCTATCTCTACAGTGCAGGGATAGTCCTATCTCTACAGTACAGGGATAGTCCTATCTCTACAGTACAGGGATAGTCCTATCTCTACAGGAATAGTCCAATCTCTACAGTACAGGGATAGTCCTATCTCTACAGTACAGGGATAGTCCTATCTCTACAGTACAGGAATAGTCATATCTCTACAGTACAGTGATAGTCCTATCTCTACAGTACAGGGATAGTCCTATCTCTACAGTACAGGGATAGTCCTATCACTACAGTACAGGGATAGTCCTGTCGCTACAGTACAGGGATAGTCCTATCTCTACAGTCCTATCTCTACAGGAATAGTCCAATCTCTACAGTATAGGGACAGTCCTATCTCTACAGGAATAGTCCTATCTCTACAGTATAGGGACAGTCCTATCTCTACAGGAATAGTCCTATCTCTACAGTATAGGGATAGTCCTATCTCTACAGTACAGGGATAGTCCTATCTCTACAGTACAGGGATAGTCCTATCTCTACAGGAATAGTCCAATCTCTACAGTACAGGGACAGTCCTATCTCTACAGTACAGGGATAGTCCTATCTCTACAGTACAGGGATAGTCCTATCTCTACAGTACAGGGATAGTCCTATCTCTACAGGAATAGTCCAATCTCTACAGGAATAGTCCTATCTCTACAGTACAGGGACAGTCCTATCTCTACAGTACAGGGATAGTCCTATCTCTACAGTACAGGGATAGTCCTATCTCTACAGTACAGGGATAGTCCTATCTCTACAGTACAGGGATAGTCCTATCTCTACAATAAAGGAATTCTTTTTCAATACAGAAACAGTGATCTAGAATCTTTTGGAATCAACTAGAATCCTGTAATTAATTGTTGAAATTCTACAAAATATCAGTCATTGTGTAGGTCACAAGGATTTAAAACCCTCCACATAAAATCATATCTCTATCTAAATAGGACAGACTCAGTTCGGTCACTGCTTGTCACACATCATAGGATATTGCTACTTTAATGAAATGAAGACAAATAGGTCAAGTAAGATCTTTATATCACAACAAGGCAACAATGTATGGACTTTGAAACCTCCATTTAATTATATTTATGAATTTTATCTGGTGTACTTACTCAGAGAATAGATTTGTTAACTCAGAATTATGATTATGCATTATATTTTCATTTCTGTAATTTATATCTAACTATAATATATCTCTAAGTCTGTAAAAAGTTAGATTTTTTTCAAAGTTCCATGTATTGGTATTGATGTTTGTTTGTTAACTGATATCGGTGAGATCAATGCATATCAGTACATAACATTATCTGATCAGTCATCCACAACATAGTTGGATGCTATGGTGTTACAAAGACAAAGGCAGGATGTAGATACATAAACACCAATCCATTAGACCTCTTTCTGAACCTAGTGACCCTGTAGTCCTGTTGAGGTGACCTGTACGACCCGATCGTGTTTTTGTTAAGATTTGTATGTAGACATGATGTACATAACAAAGGGGATGCAGTACGAGTACTAGTGAAGTGTTTTGCTGTGTTATTCTCCACAACCTCTTGTAAGAGATTATGAGTAATCCAGATGTTATTTTAAAAGTTGACAGATGAGCATGACAGAGTCGCTGGTGTAAAGTGACCACACTTCCTTGTGGTGATATTTTGTAACAACTTCACTTTAGTAAATGTAACCTGAGAGAACGGTCATTTTTTGAGTGGTATTTGTTTATCCTTGATGGAAATTCCATATAACAGTAAAGTTACCCACTATTTGTCCACTACAGTACTGACCTTTAACCAATTCATCTTCTTTGAAATCTATAACAGTGATAATAAGGTATAATTGTATAAGTACAAATATATTTCACAACTGTCTATTTGTATAGGTGGGGATATAAGTTAATATGTCAGAATATTAGGATAATTTTTTTTTTCAGTGTGTATTGAATTTTTTTCTCTTTCAAGGATGAGGAAAACAAAAGATGTTACCAGTGTGAAAATTTTCCATTTTGTCAAGGCCATTTTGTTGATTAGTGGCTATATAATATGTTTTTTTTTTAAACTTTATAAGAAATTTGAGAATTTCAAGCTGGTGTCTTAGAATTAACACCTTTGCAATAGAGCTTCATATGATTCAATGTGATTTTTATACCCTGGTAAATACAGATTTTTAAGAAAATAATTTCAGTTGTGGTATTTTTGTGGGTTCAGTCACAGATACAGGTATAGCTACATCTTAGTCTGTGGTACAGTATAGTTAAATAGTTTACTCATGGATGCTATAGAATAATTACAAATGTCAGAGTCCTCCCTGTGGACAAATCGTGGGTTGTTTACATGAATTATTGTGTTATCTTTATCAACTGGGTTTAAAATTGTGAGTCAGGGATCAAAGATTATTTGATAGAACATCTGATAGGCAAACAAGTGGCCACATGTTTCCTCTATCACATGCACTTGGTATGTACAGTGTTCTGCTGATAGTGGATGTGATATGGTTTTACCTATGATAGTATGGTGAACTTACGGTGACTTTTTTCACATCACTTCTTGAGAAATATTGTCTTCCAGCTATAAACATTGTTCAAACCAAGACCCTACTGTTCAAGTAAAACACAGAGAATTTAAGTATATGCTTACTTACTTACAAATTATCCACATCCATAATTAACTCATTAACTCCATTTAAACACAGTAGATGATTTTTATGCTGAATGTAATGCAGTTTCAAACTATTGTCACAACCTTGGGAACTTTCTGTCGCTTCCAATCCTAGCTTTCTTATTGTGTGAAGTTTTTTTGACAATACACAAAATTATCGTCTTACTGGAATATTCATGGTCTGTCTTCAAATTACTTGCTAACAAGATAATAAATAATAACAGATGATGTTTTATATCTTATTATTAAACTGTATTCAAATATCAAAATTACCGCAACTGCAAATTACCGCAACTTGGGTTGGAAAATAAGGAACCTCAATTAAGAGGCCACCTCTCTATAGAGGCCACTTTCATAATTTCCCAACAGTGGCCGTTTAATACAGGTTAGACTGTATGTGTTATTGAAAAAAACAACATGCAAAAACTGATTTAGGATTAGGACAACTACGATTTAGCACATTGCTAGTTTAAGTCCAATTAGTGTTTTAACCACTAAATCCTATACTATAACTTGTCAGTTTACATATTTTGAACATCTAAAGGTTAAACCATACCAAAGTTATCCTGGTATTATGACACAGGCTGTATTGGAGATATAAAATCCCATGAAAATATACCAAAGTGAAGATTAATAACACTGTATGACATGGAACTCTTCTACTTCCTGAAGACATTTGGTTTTCATATTCTAACACTTAATATTAGATCTAAAATTTAAGAAGACGTTCAAATTCAAGGCCGCAGTCTCCCAATCAGAGTGAGAGATTAGCAATAAACATGTCATTGTCCTGTTTGACAGGTGTTTATGTTGTGTATTTTGTATGTTTGACAAATGCTGGATTTTATCCACTATGAGATATTATATAATGATATGTTACTTTTACTGCTTTTTGTATGACAGGTGCACGCGGAATCCACATGCAGCATGTGTATGACTTCTACAAGCCTGATTTAGCATCAGAGTATCCCGTAGTGGACGGCAAGCTGTCTGTACAGTGTTACCAACACGCCCTGGACATGTGTTACGAACGCTACAGTAGGAGGGCGAAGGAAGAAGGGTTCAAAGGTCAGGATTCACTGATAAAATGGTTGCAGTTATTTAACCTATCTTAAGTAAGACATGGACATATTGTGTAATGAAAAAAACTGTCTATTAACATTAGTCAGTTTCATTTTATGTAATTTGAAATTCAGAATATATCATTTTGATTAAATGTTAATTTACATTTTGTCAAGATAATTCATTTTCAAAACAAGTTTAATGGGTTTTTTAAATTGACTTTCAAAGACTTTGGATGAGTCAGTTATAATCACATTTAGATTTCATGATAAAGCATCAATTAACTTGAATAGAAATCGCATATCAAAATGTAGACATGTTTCGACATTTCTTCTTTTAAATTCAAAACTTCAGAAATGTATTAAAACTATATTTGCATGGAGACCGTAAGCTAGATCCGGCAAGTAAATTCACAAAGTATTGTAGCAGAACTTTAAAAAAAAAAAATGCTGTTTGTAACTGAATATAATTTTTAAGCCATACACTGGTGTATGTCCTGATGTTCAATGCATTAATTGAAAGTTTCAATGGGTTCCATCTTGTATTTCTTTCAAGACTTGAATATATAGTTTTATATAGGAAAGCTGTTGGATAGACATTTTTGACAGGTTCATAAATTTATATTTAGATATAATTTTCCAGTGGGAAGCTGTTTGATAGACATAGCTGACAGGTTCTGAAATCTATATTTAGATATAATTTTCAAGTGGGAAGCAGTTTGATAGATATGGCTGACAGGTTCTTAAATCTATATTTAGATATAGTTTTCCAGTGGGAAACAGTTTGATAGACATAGCTGACAGGTCCTTAAATCTATATTTAGGTTCTTAAATCTATATTTAGATATAGTTTTCCAGTGGGAAACAGTTTGATAGACATAGCTGACAGGTTCTGAAATCTTTATTTAGATTTAATTTTCCAGTGGGAAGCTGACAGGTTCATAAGCTTTTATCTAAATCTAATTTTCCAGTGGAAAGCAGTTTGATAGACATAGCTGATGGTCTCCTGTTCCACTCACCCTATTGTAAACTTGTCCAGAAGTCTTTTGCCAGGGTCATGGCCAATGATTTCCTTACTGACAAAAACCCCGACTTCCAAGGCCGCTATGCTGGTTTGGAAGATTTCAGGTAAGTTTTGCGAGGTTGAATTTAGAAGCAAACATTTTTATGGCCGAGATTCTCCTTACTGTAACAATTGATATTTCTTATCATTCTTATCATTTCACATCATTCTTTGTCCATCAGCAAGTGTCATGTAATTGAATCAATTGTTATTTACAAAGTTATGTCCCTTCTCAGTTTTCTGAACATGGACATAAAAATTTGAGTAAATTTGAGCAGATTAAATAAAACTTCATTTTTTAACTTTTAGAATTTGCAAACACATTCAATTGAGTAAATATAAACAGAATTTGATGAAACATTAGGTTTCATATCTAGTGACAGTTTAGGCTCCTGGGCCTCTTGTTTATAATGTATGACATGATTACCCCCAATATTTTATAGCAGAAATAATTGAATTTTGTGGTCATTATAATGATACCTAGAACAAATTTAATGATGTGTTGTTGGATATGCAGATAGTAGCAGAACACCTATACAACCCCTGCACACACCCTCACACATAACCACATACACATAGGAACCAAAAGGGATAGACATGGTAAGATGTGCATATGTAAGGCTGTTCTTACACTGCCCTGTGTTGTATTTTTTTTGCGCTTTTTTATTTTGTAACTTTAAGAACTAAGGGAGGTAACAAATTATAATTTTCTCTTCATAATTCAGTAATACTGCTTACATTCATAAAGAAGTGTGTTTCACCATTCCAGTTATGGTGTTTAGCAAATATTAAAATTATATGGATGTCTGATACAGCAATATAATATAATATTGCGATATAATATTTGCTAAAATATCAATTTTGCATTCTTACTTTTCAGAGACATACAGCTAGACCAATGCTATTTTGACAAAGAGGTGGAGAAGGCCTTCATGACTGCCAGTAAGCCTCTCTTTGAAGAAAAGACACGACGGTCAACACTACTTGGCAACCAAGTGGGAAACATGTATACCCCATCACTGTATGGCGGCCTGGTGTCTCATCTTATGAGGTAAGATGTACAAGAAGCCTGAGACTGCAGCCTTATCTTGTTGAAAGTGTTTATTCTACAACTGGCAATAGTCAGTACATATTTGCAACATGTAGTTTTGCTATACTTAGCAGTGAAAATTTTCAGCATGTGCATTAATTTGTCCGATTTTATTTCAGGTTTATTTGTATAATGCATCAAAGATATGTTGTAAAGAACAAGTTTATTTATGAAAATTCATACAATTGCTGCTTTTTATATAGAAGTTTGGAACTATATTTTCGTTAGGCAATTATTTTTGTACAAATCATTAGACATAATTGAGTGTGAATTCAAGGGCAGGTAAACCAAGATTGCACAATGATCTTGAAGTTTCATTGGTCTTAATTTTCAATAAATGTTTCAGGATTAATAGAATACTTGGTAATTGTCTTAAAATATAAGCTGCGTTTTTAATCAGGACAGAAAGAAAAAACACATTAGAATATGAAATAGTTTCTGTATTTGCCATCTCTTGAAACATGAGATTTGTATAATTCTTAGACAGCATTTTCAGATAATATCAATCAAACAAATGATTTGTCTGTCTCTATCTGCATATTATATAATGAACATGTAGTTAAATTTCTGATTTTTTTTGTAATGCTTTAGTCACACCATTGAAGAGCTGGCAGGTCAGAGAATTGTCTTGTTCTCTTATGGGTCTGGATTAGCAGCCTCCATGTTCTCTCTGCGTATCTCTGAGGATACATCCAAGTTCTCAGCTTTACAAGTACTGTACTCCTGCCTCAGTGATGTCAAACCTCGTTTGGAAAGCAGGCAGAAGAGCTCTCCAAAAGAATTTGATCGCATCATGAAACTTAGAGAGGACACACATAATAAAGGTTTGCTGAAAAATAGAAATATCGTAAGATATCTGTTTACGAATGTAAATGAATATATACATTTAGTAGCAAACTACTATTATCCAATTAGAATTCAGATTACCATTATTTACCACATGATGAAGACTGTGGCTGTTCAGGAGTCTTGTTCAAGTGACCTCAAAACATACAACAGGATATTTTTCAGCTAATTAAAAATGTCTCTCATATGCTAGTTTGACATAATGTATTCATTATCCATTTAATACCCCCTTTTTGGTGAGAGGCAGCTTGTGGTGGGTGCGACCATCTTGGTTTTGGGACACTCAGTTATTATCTATTCAATAATGGACAACCATAATAATTGCAGAAGAAGAATAGGCTCTGGCAAGATTCCACCAGTAGCATTCTGAACAATTCAATTGCATTCAAACATAAGGGACGTAACTCATCTATTCTCATATAAAAATTATCCCCCTTTAACTGTTGGTATATGGTACTACTCCATATTGTCCTCTATTTTCAGGATTTTCTTATACATTCTTTAATTCCTTAGGAACTCAAGTACATGTGTATATTCTAAAATAATGCCACTTCTTAGATAAATAAAAATGTGGCATGCAGGTTACAGCAACTCTTTGGGATTTAAATCCTTCTGAAGTCAATCACCTGCTATCTGAAAGGATTGTACAAAAGACACACAAGTGAATAGCACCTATGGATACAAATGTAAGATTAGATACAAAATAGCCAATGAATGAATTAAACTGCATCATACAGCTGTCTCATTGTTTAATTAATAGGTTCTTCAAGCATCCTAGTTTTGCATTTTTTATTTTGAGCATTGAGATAGCAAAAAGACATAGATAAAAAAAGATGCCTTGTTCTTTCTAATGTTTAAGACTGTTCTACTCATGACGTAAAAAGTGTTAGAAAATTGACTTTTTTAATTATGGTGTTATCTGGAGAATAGTTGAGGGTTCAACACCCTTACAATGCAGTGATGGGGTGAATCATACACCATTTAAAATATCATTACTCAGAAGTGAGGAATGGATGATATGTCCAGTCATACCATACTAGTGAACCTTATTGTCACTGTATGTAAAGCTGAACATCTGTCATAGATCAGATGGTATGAATTCGGTAATAATAATTGCTTATAAAGAAAAAATTGTGATACTTTCATGCTTATAGATATATATAGTCAAAAACCAGATATTTATATTGCAATTATGCTTTAAAAGGTGTGAATTGGGAAATTAGTACATTAGAAAAAATACTGATAGGATCGCAAAATTACCATATATTTGCTAAACCCAAATAATAATCTGTGATATTTAAAAGTCACTTAGTTTATGCTGTGAAAGTATAAAATTGCTTCTGTAATATACAAAATATTTTAAAAATTTATACAATTATCTTTCGTCTTAACAAAATCGAGAACATTATTGATTTATTTTAGCCTGAATTTTCATAAGGAGAACTTCACCAATGCTTACATTAGGAATGGAAAAAAGTTGTACTGACAGCAAATTATCTCCCTTAGACTGTTCTAAAACTGAAAAATATCTCCCTGTGTCTGATAACTTGATTACTTACTTAATTGTTGTCTTGTTTGCTTCTTTACATAGCACCATTGATCTTCTAAACTCCATTTTTGTTTTTTATCTATCTTGATAAGTTTCACTATATCTGATTTTTAAAAGCTATGATGTTTGCTTTTGTAAATTCTTAATGGAAGTTTTTTTACATTATCAGTTATTTGTCCTGCTTTCAATGATATGTTTTCCTTTACAGCTCCCTATGTACCTGTAGGATCTACAGACACCCTTTTCCCTGGGACATGGTACCTAACAGGAATAGACAGCATGCACCGCAGATCATATGCCAGAGTGCCAGCATCGCCAACCAAAGTGACAAATGGTCAAACCATGTCAACTGTTGAACCCACACCAATGGACACTACAAAACAGGTAAGTCTGTTGGATAGATATGTCTACTGTCGCATCAACATTTCAACCCACACCAATGGACACTTCAAAACAGGTAAGTATATTGGCTAGATATGTCTACTGTCAAAAAACACTGTTCAACCTACGACGATGGACACTTCAAAACGGGTAAGTATATTGGATAGATATGTCTACTGTCGCATCAACTGTTCAACCCACAACGATGGACACTTCAAAACAGGTAAGTATATTGGCTAGATATGTCTACTGTCAAAAAACACTGTTCAACCTACGACGATGGACACTTCAAAACGGGTAAGTATATTGGATAGATATATCTACTGTCGCATCAACTGTTCAACCCACAACGATGGACGCTTCAAAACAGGTAAGTATATTGGCTAGATATGTCTACTGTCGCATCAACTGTTCAACCCACGACGATGGACACTTCAAAACAGGTAAGTATATTGGCTAGATATGTCTACTGTCGCATCAACTGTTCAACCCACGATGATGGACGCTTCAAAACAGGTAAGTATATTGGCTAGATATGTCTACTGTCATATCAACTGTTCAACCCACGACGATGGACGCTTCAAAACAGGTAAGTATATTGGCTAGATATGTCTACTGTCGCATCAACTGTTCAACCCACGACGATGGACGCTTCAAAACAGGTAAGTATATTGGCTAGATATGTCTACTGTCGTATCAACTGTTCAACCCACTACGATGGACGCTTCAAAACAGGTAAGCATATTGGCTAGATATGTCTACTGTCGCATCAACTGTTCAACCTACGACGATGGACACTTCAAAACAGGTAAGTATATTGGTTAGATATGTCTACTATTAATAAAATTGTTCAACTCACACTAATGGATAATGAAATCAAAATTGAGACCAGTTTGGTATTCAGTTTCAGATACATACATTTTTACTTCTAAACATGTGGTATTATACTTTTATTTTAAGGTCTTTCATGACTATAACCTTCTAGAATTAAGACCGTGTTTCCCTTTCCATGTTGTGAAAAAAGGGTTAACTAACTTTAGATAATGTGTGTGTATAAACTAACTTTAGAGGATTTTTTTAATTTTATAGTTTTCATTTTGTGATAAAATGAATTCTTGAGTGATTGGTTCCTTTATGAAGATCTGCTTGCCTTTGTAGAGATTTAGATTGTATTACAATGTGTCCTTTTACTAACTATGACTTGCTCACCTAATTTCGTTATTTCAACCTGACATCTGCCGCATCTAACCAGATTTCATCCTGTCAACCTGACACTAACCTGCATATATCATGAAAAAAGAAAAAAAAATGCCCGTAACCTTTGAATTTGAAAGGTTATTATAGTATATCCAGGTATTAGATAGATGGTTGGTGACTATTGACTTCATTAAATCAGAGTAAACATCTTATGTTCATTTAGTGTTGATTTATCATCGATATCCTTTAGATGTAACTTATCATGGGATTAATTATTAAAGATTCATTAATATTTAGGAGACTTGTTGAACAGAAAGTTATAGAAATTGGATAAATATTAACAGATTCCAGATCACATGTGGGTTTGCTGTGTCACCGACGAAATTGTGTGTTTTCTTATTAATTCTTACTTGTTGTGTTCAAGGATGAGCCATTAAGTATCTTATTCTAACAAGATGGTCCCCAAAATACAAGAAGTTAAATTTCACAATGATAATGAAATAGAAATTGATATAAGATGCTGTTTATCACGTTTTCAGTCTTATGCAAATATTTTCAATTTCTTAGTAAACTGACTTGAAATCCAAAATAGTGATAAGAATGTGATTCCAATCTATTCTAATTCTAATAACAGGGAAGTTAGGTGACAGGTATTGTGTTCTGTTGTAGCAGTCTGTCCTTTTTCTTTCATTTTGTCACATCGCATTTTGTGATCTTCATTTCCTACGATGTTTTTTTCTCTGCCTCACTTCTATGAACTCATCTTCACAAGTCAGTTTTTCTTAAGTTATTATTTTGGACCTGCCAGTTCTTCTGCTGTGATTTTTTATTATATGCTACAGGAGGCGGTCGTATATTGGGGTAATCTTCTCTGTCTGTCACACCGTATGTCCGTCCTTACATCCGTACGTCCATTTCTTGTGAACGCAACTCCTCCTAAACTAATCATCTGATTTTCACGAAACTTGCTCAATGTCACTACTACAATGGGTAGATGTGCATGAAGGGGCGATTTTTCTGTTCTTTGATTTTTGTAAGATTTATTCCATTTTCAACTTTGTATCTGTAGCTTGCTCAAAGTGGAGCCTTGTGAACGCAACTCCTCCTAAACTAAGGATAAGATTTTCATAAAACTTGCTCAATGTCACTAATACAATGATTTGATGTGCATGAAGGGGCGATTTTACGGTTCATTGATTTTTGTAATATTTATGCCATTTTGTCTTGATCTTTATATTTTGTGGTGGCGTATATTGTGTCCACGGCACTCTTGGGTTTTTTTTTTTTTTTTTTTTTTTGTATTTTTAGATTGTATTCCTTTTTTCTAATTTCGTAGAAACGTATATAACCTTTTACATTTCTTTGGTGTAGGACTTTCTTTAATCTTCTGGTACAGTTTTTTTTTGTGACATACTGACATCTTGTGTGTCTGTCTTCCTAATATCAGTTGTATCCATGTGCTATCCTGTTGGTGTTGGTAATGTTTTCTGTCTTGTTGATAAGTCTTGTGTGTAGTTGTTAGATTTAAATAACACTGATTTTTGTGTAACTTCAGAGGAAGCGAAAGACTGAGGATGAAACAGGATGTAGCTCAGTGAAAATGTCTTCTCCTATCAGTATGACTGATGATTCCTCCCTGGTTACAGTCGCTAGTGTCATCTCCCCTTCTGCCATATTTGAGGCTTCAGTTGTAAGTGAAAGTATAGTAGTAGTTATTGTTGCTTCATTCCCTATCATCAGACATTTTAAATGAATACTGAAGAGGGTCAGTGTTTTTTTTTTTTTTTATTATCATTATTGACCGATTTAAGATATGGATTTAAGTAGGAGCTCTCTTGTTTCTTAGGTCATTCCATAAGTTGATAGAAAGCACTAGAAAATTCGATTTTGTTTCTCATTTTGAAAAACCAAATGAATTTTTAAACATTTTTTGCTTGATTTACATTTTCCTGACCAGGTCTCATTACAAAATTACTTACCATCAATGTAATGATGAGACTGTAGTTGAAACTGGCACTTCTGGTGGCCATCTTGTACTTTGACTCTGAAAGCTTTCAAGTTTAGCGTGTAGGTTTCCAGTGGTCCCCTAAACCTGTTTGATTTTAAGAAATTCAGATTTCATATAATCAGGAGGAAAGAAGAGAAAGTAAGGGAAAAGATCTAACTTTTAAGAAATAAATTTCAAAATAGGATATGTGCTAAGATCCCTCTGGATTTCCTTCAGCCAAATCTTCCACTGAAACTCACCGGACTAGGATTTCATTTTGGGATTAGCCAAAAGGTGTCTTGCATTTCTATCAACTACAATTACATTCAGAAACATTTATTTGTTTTAAGTGACCACTGCAGAATCATTTATTTGTTTTAAGTGACCACTGCAGCATCATTTATTTACATGTTTGTTCATTTTTCAGGCGAAACAGTCATCCATACTCGAAGCCTCCAGTCAGTCAGGAGTCACAGCCAAGCTATCGCAGTCTTGACGTTGACTTTCACAATAGTGGACATTTTTATTAATATAAGCTATATAGTATGTATATTAAATGATTTCTGTGTTACAATGTCCTTTTCCACATCGGTGTAAGGCCTTGTGCACAATGATCTGTTGCTATGTTTTACCAATTGCAAGTTAGTGTAAGTAACATAACAATCACATTGAAGAAGAGATAACATGGGAAGGTCATGTCCAGTTCTCCTTGTATGTATGTATGCTTTTTGTCACAGGTCAGATATGATAGAGAATTTTATCTTTTTCATTTTATTAAAAAGGAACATAGCAAGCCTGAACATGTATCATTGTTTATTAAGTTTAAGAATAAGATAATCTTATGTGAATATAACACAGACTCAAACAAATACTGTGTAATAAATGCATAGAGGAACTTAACCTCTGTCTGTGTAATACTGAATTCATCATTCAAATCAAGTCTTAAGGTGGGTAATATATCAAATTATGAATTCAGTATGGCATAGCCACTAGTATGAGATTCTGTTTTTTAATGTACTAGGCTTGCTGATGTTCTATCAATTGATTTCTATAAAGTTTTGCAATAAGGTCGAGATTTGACTGATATAGACCAGGGTAATATATGCGTTTGATGGCATTTAAAGGTATTGCACATGTTGTTGTTTACTAGTATCTGATCTATGTATTTAACAATGATAACATCATGGCACAACACTTTCCTATTTTTTGTTGTAACACTGAATCCCTTCCTCTGTTACATGTCTTCATTTTATAAGTCTTTACGTACACAGGGACTTGATACAAATTCCCAACCCATGGTCTATATAAGTATGTATCATAGTGAATATTACACTTATGTATGGACGGTGGGTTAGAAATTTTTGTCAAGTCCCCGTGATCACATAGTATATATATTCAAGTTAGTACCAAATTGCATGACTTTAAAAATTGCCAGTAATTATGAATTCCTAAACCATTGTACATATTTGCAGATTTTATTGTTATGAATCTGTTAAGTTTAATTAATGTTTAATATATGTTTGTTTGTTTTTTAAGTATAAGTAGTATCAGTAGGTACTACGTTCATGATCAGTATCAGTTTGATGTGAACAGTAATTTATTACATAGAAAATTAATGTGATTTTTTTGCTTTTGTAAGTGACTTTAATTATTGTGATTACATTTTAGAAAATTCTATTTAGTTTACTTCCTAGGCAAGAAAATCAATTATGAATCAATTTTTGGTGGGTGAAAACAATGACTAGTAAATAAAACTTGTGTTTTATTCTGTTAAAATTCTGGTAATGAGATGATGGATGAAATTAATGAAATTTGACTATGTATTTAAAACTACATAACTATGTTATATCCTTAATGATTTTTTTTTTTAATCCATAAAGAAATTTGAAATACTAAAACCTGAAAAAGTTTGTGGACGCAAATTTTTCTACAGGAAAATTTTAATTATTGGGTTGTTGTTAATGATGAAACATTCTAAAGTTTGTAGAATATTACTTGCCATTTAGTTTGTTTGGATAGTCATCATGGTGCTTATCAATCTCTTTTATATTTTTTGTATCTGGTATGTTTTGTAGAAGTTTTTTTTTAGATTTTGTTGTTAATTCAACAAATTTTTTGGTAAGTAGCTTTTGTGGGGAACAAGATTTTTGTAAAGTGATTGTTTCCAAGTGACCTTACTTATCATGTGCTTGAGGCTTTGACTATAACACAATGTTATCTTATATGTATGTAGCTTTATATAGAACTGTATAAATATGTTTAATCAACAGTGTGAAAAATCTGGTAGAAATAATAATTATAACACCAGGAAGACACTGAAATATTTAAAGAAATACTCTATTTATATGAAGACAAATAACCTGGGATTGGTTCGGGTTCTGAGTTTTGCCAGTTCTATGCAGTTCTCACCATTTTTAATTATCGGTAGACTGATTCAGTTGTTGCCATGTAAAGTTAAAAAGATTTCGATGAATTCTTACTTGAAATAACATCTGAAGTGTGATTCTCCAAAACACAAATGTTTACGTTTTGAAAATAAATGTTGGTTCAAATAATACACAGTATATTCAATATCACATAATATGTTAAAATTGGTATTAAGATTTTTAAAAGCAGCTGGAAACACAAGTTTCATTGTTTATTGAATTTAAATCCATTCACCAGTTTTATCAGACATTTTGTTTCCTTCATTGTAATTATATAGGTGTTTTACCAACAGAACACAAACGAAACTTTGTTGAAATATATCTACCATGTAAAAATATTTGGTGCAAAGCACAGTTTGAAAAGTGATGTTATACTTTTGTGTAAACATGCTTTTAAAATGTTCCACACACAGTCCTGTTTAATTCTTTCTCGTTTCTTAAATATATACACATCTTCAATTTTTTTTATTTATGAAGAAACTATTATATTGGAGCTATTAGTGGCACCATGGGAGGGAGGGAGGAGTATGTAGGAGTGTGGTGTGGGAAGAATGATAGAACTTCAACAAAGATTGAACATATGTAGAAAAGTTGACACAAAAACAATATATGGAGTGTGGAGGGAGGTATGTTAAAAGGAATGAAATTTTGTAGAAAAAATGAAAGAAAACAGGATGATAAAACATGATATGATAGAAAAAGAGATGTGTGAATGTGTATGGAAAGGAAGTTTGAATAGAACCTTCTACAGTACCACCCAGAAATGCATTTATAGAAATTGAGTTCTACCAATTGAGAATAAACCTGTAGTGTTTCGCTTGCAAAACCTGGATTTTCGTCCTGTGATAGTTGGTGTTTTATCGCTTTAAGGAGAAAAAGAAGTGTGTTTTGTGATATTTGTTGGTAATATGATTCAGACAAATCAGTATACTTCGAAGTCCTAACATTAAACCTTCTTAAATTGATTACCTAGTTTGTTCTGTATTTACATCAGTGTCCAGTTATATGCCCTATTGATATACAACATTCCTGGTATGTTCTCAAACTTCTTTCTAGGAAACACTTTTTAGTGGTAATATTTCAATACGTGTGTACCAATATGGCATTAAATTTGCGAAAACACTAAGTTAAAGATATTTGCGTTCTCAGTCAAGTGACGTCATGTCGCGTTCTCAGTCAAGTGACGTCATGTCTTTTGCTGTCGACAGTACTGCATCTTATCCTACATTTCCTCTTTTCCTTCACAGTCCTAATACTCTATAGTAGGAAAAGACTGTGCGTTGTCAAGATGATAAACCTATTTCACTTCTAGACGCGTTTTTGTACCAATATGGATTTCAAATCTAGGGTTTTGTGAATAAACCATTTGTGTGCCACACCGAATTTTGCTGTGTTTGATGTGTAAATAAGAATTTTAATTAATTTTAACAAAAAAAAAAAAAAAAAAACGATTTGTTATTCAATATGTACATGATACTTGAGGCGTTCCGACCACTTTCGCTCCCTGAGAGAGTGATAGCTATCGTAACCCCTGAAACATCAATATGAATTAATTTGGAAACTTTCATTTCTTGTGTATTTTCATTATTTCATAAGCTGATTTTAGTCTTAACGTTTCCATTGTATTTGCCATACACGACAATGTTAACTGCTGTAGTGAAATGAAAATCGACATTATAATAGATTGATGAGTACTTTTACGCGGAATTTTACTGCAGTCGTCATCCGAGGATATAAAAAACGTGTACTGGGAATCGTTATGTATAAAACATGCACTTGAAACAATTATGAAATATATGAACGAGTCACGTATACTTTAGCTAAACTGTAATATACAACGCCTACAACCACGTATAAACAGTCGTTACATCGTGATATCTAAAACGAAAAGTGAAACTAGTACTAACTGTTTCCATAAAATGAATTTGGTCAATTAGCTCAACAAAATATTTATTGAAATAATTATATATTATACTGAATATATGTTGATATGAATATCGTTTTCCTAGCTCGGTCATTGACTTTTTCGCTCCCGTCCTGACATTAGTGACTACCATGACAAATTTTGGTGGAACTGAACACGTGACACCAGCTGCTGTATCTTTTGAGCAGGTTTCATTATGCCTACTGGAGTAAAAATAAGCGACCCATCATTTGTGAATTAAGTAATTGTAAAATACACCTCATTGTAGAGAAAGAAACCCTTGTTGATTGTAAATAAATCTGTAAAATATCTTCCTTCACAGTAACATTCTGGTTCCCTCGTGCCGTGATACCGGATACAGTAAGATTAGTCACATATGGCGTTTAAACGTACTCACTTTCTTACTGTCTTTTTCAGTTCTGTTCTTTTTTTATCGGTCTGTAATTTCTGGTTCAGTTATAGAGATATCTGCACGTAACACTCCCACCGCACCCCAATCCCCCTCCCCCCACCCCGCCTAACCCCCACCCCCGGTCCCATATATATATATATATATATATCCTTGTTGTTAACATTGCCTCTTGTAAATATATAATCGATTTCATCAGTTAGAACACGAAAATTAAAATCTATTGAATTAAATGCCGTCCTTTGACAAACAAGGACATGATTTCACAGAATGACAACTATAATTGACTTTGTGATGTGTTATTTTTATGTAATGCCAGCGCAACATTACGGATAAGTTTTGTACAAGTGATATGTATCAACATTCCACGTGTCTATAGCTATGACCTCGCGCACTATGATTTATCCCGGACGAGCGTTGTTTCCGGACCTTACCCTTGTTACCAACATACACATACCACACCTTTTGGGATATCCCAGTAAACACCACGTGTTAACATTCTATAACCTTCTACAACATAATGTAACATTGACTGTAATTATTTTGTCATTAAAGGTGTTACAAACATCAATAATTACAAATACTATTCTCTATAGTTTTTTATCAGTTGTAATCACAAACAGAGTTATGACAATTGAACCATCGATGTGTTTTCTCGCGCCCCGCCCTTTCCGTCTTATTCCCTTCAGATCTTGAGAGTTCCTGGGATATCGAGGATGATCATGACAACCCTCAACAGAACTAGCCAATAGTGAGAGCACAAAATAGTACTGATTGTTTCCATAAAATGAATTTGATCAACTAGCTCGACAAAATGATATGAAATAGACATATATTATACTGAATAAAATATTGATATGGATGTCGTTTTCCCAGCTCGGTCATTGACTTTCGCTCCCGTCCTGACATTAGTGACTACCATGACAAATTTTGGTGGAACTGAACACGTGACACCAGCTGCTGTATCTTTTGAGCAGGTTTACATGTAACACTCTTCATTATGCCTCCTGGGAAAAAATGAGCGACGTGCCACTTGTGAATTAAGTAATTGTAAAATGCACCTTATTGTATGGAAGGACACTCTCGTTGATTGTAAATAAATCTGTAATTATCTTTATAAAACGTGACTTCCTTCACAGTAACATTCTGGTTCCCTCGTGCCGTGATACCAGATACAGTACCATTAGTCACACATGGTACTTCAAACGTACTCACTTTCTAAACTCTTAATTATGCCGTTGAATATTTGAATGTAAATTTTATGTCTTTTCAGTTCTGTCCTTTTTTTATCGGTCTGTAATTTCTGATTCAGTTATAGAGATATCTGCACGTAACACTCCCACCGCACCCCAATCCCCTCCCCGCAACCCCCCCCCCCCCCCCCCGCCCCATGTATATCCTTGGTGTTGTTAACATTGCCTCTTGTAAATATATAATCGATTTCATCAGTTAGAACACGAAAATTAAAATCTATTGAATTAAATGCCGTCCTTTGACAAATAAGGACATGATTTCACAGAATGACAACTATAATTGACTTTGTGATGTGTCATTTTTATGTAATGCCAGCGCAACATTACGGATAAGTTTTGTACAAGTGATATGTATCAACATTCCACGTGTCTATAGCTATGACCTCGCGCACTATGGTTTATCCCGGACGAGCGTTGTTTCCGGACCTTGTTACCAACATACACATACCACACCTTTTGGGATATCCCAGTAAACACCACGTGTTAACATTAATGCCGTCACATTCCTTTATCGGTATTTTTATGAATGAACAGTATTTGCTAAGTGTACTAACCATTCCATAACCTTCTACAACATGATGTAACATTGACTGTAATTATTTTGTCATTAAAGGTGTTACAAACATCAATAATTACAAATACTATTATCTATAGTTTTTTTATCAGTTGTAATCACAGAGTTATGACAATTGAACCATCGATGTGTTTTCTCGCGCCCCGCCCTTTCCGTCTTATTCCCTTCAGATCTTGAGAGTTCCTGGGATATCAAGGATGATCATGATAACCCTCAGCAGATCTAGCCAATAGTGAGAACACAAAGTTCTACATCTGACCACGTTCTAGTTCGTCTACAGAGGAAGTATATTCATGTCTTATAGAAAATTTCTAATGCCGATCTGTAATACCTGACGAAAGCTCGGTATAATACTGCCTGCATTATAATGTAGGTTGATGACCTCATTGCAGTCCCCTATCGCTGTACCTACCTGTAATCACTGCGGTGCCTGGCTCCAGTTTGCAATTGAGTAGCGTATTTTATCTTACATTCTTCCCGCCTCTGTGCTGCTGTTCCGCATTATACATATCGTGCTAAACTAATGGGCTTGACATTTAATTCAATTCAATTCTGTTAACAACATTTTCCAAATTGAAACAGTTTAATAACAAGCGATAATATCTCTTCATATGTCAACCCATCAGTATTCAGGATGGATACAGCATATTCATTGTTTCGGAAGGAAGGTTTCCAAAGGTCCAGAGTCCCAAAACATCTGTCAAGAACGCCTATCTCTGGTAGTTTTGTTTAGGAAATAAGGCACTTTACATCAGTATTCGGATATATATATGCAAAGGTGATATTGATAAACAATAATACTGTTGTACGATTTCATTGAGAAAAGCCTAATGCCTTGTGTGACATGAAGTTAGATGTGTTCGATGAACGTTAGTGTGTCTGGTGGTTTCGTTGCTTTAAAGACATTTTTACATGGCGGGTGTCCTACATGAATATCCTTCCGACCCTGTGGTAGCTATATACAGGTGATCTCTATGTCATGTTTAAGTAGGTATTTACCTGTGGTAGCTATATACAGGTGATTTCTATGTCATGTTTAAGTAGGTGTATACCTGCGGAAGCTATATACAGGTGATCTCTATGTCATGTTTAAGTAGGTATTTACCTGTGGTAGCTATATACAGGTGATCTCTATGTCATGTTTAAGTAGGTATTTACCTGTGGTAGCTAGATACATGTGATCTCTATGTCATGTTTAAGTAGGTATTTACCTGTGGTAGCTATATACAGGTGATCTCTATGTCATGTTTAAGTAGGTATTTACCTGTGGTAGCTATATACAGGTCTCTATGTCATGTTTAAGTAGGTATTTACCTGTGGTAGCTATATACAGGTGATCTCTATGTCATGTTTAAGTAGGTATTTACCTGTGGTAGCTATATACAGGTGATCTCTATGTCATGTTTAAGTAGGTATTTACCTGTGGTAGCTATATACATGTGATCTCTATGTCATGTTTAAGTAGGTATTTACCTGTGGTAGCTATATACATGTGATCTCTATGTCATGTTTAAGTAGGTATTTACCTGTGGTAGCTATATACAGGCGATCTCTATGTCATGTTTAAGTAGGTATTTACCTGTGGTAGCTATATACAGGAAGCTATATACAGGTGATCTCTATGTCATGTTTAAGTAGGTATTTACCTGTGGTAGCTATATACAGGTGATCTCTATGTCATGTTTAAGTAGGTGTATACCTGCGGAAGCTATATACAGGTGATCTCTATGTCATGTTTAAGTAGGTATTTACCTGTGGTAGCTATATACAGGTGATCTCTATGTCATGTTTAAGTAGGTATTTACCTGTGGTGGCCATATACAGATGGTCTCTAGGCCATGTTGAAGTGGGTTTAAGTATAGGTGTTATTTGTTTTTACGAGCAACTGGTGGTAGTTCTATATTATTTTTTGTTTTGTTTTTTTGTAATATGTAAATTGCAATGTTGACAAGTAGTAGTACATCAATTATCATTTAGGTGATTTGAAATTTATTCATTGAAGCAATTAGCCAGACATTCATTCAGATTCATATGAAGAAACAAGTCTTCGGGCCTTGTACGGTCCGACACTATTTCCCGGTAATTCTAACACGTGATCTATTTCTCACTATTTCCGATTATGGTGCAATAACCTCGTTGCTATTAGATCCGTGGTTTTTCATGACGAAATATCTATATTTAGAAATAAGGGGAAACACCTAAATTGAAAAACAAAATATTATAACTAAAAATGATAAACGTTAACAGAAATACATTATGAATGCTTGTTTTGTAAAATGTACAATAATTTTTATCAGAATGGAATACTTTATTTTATCTACAAGGGACTGCATGCTTTTAATCGCCAACGTAGCACTATCGTCGTGGCCCAACCGGTTCGCCGCCATTAGCGACCATGTTGTTATGATAAAATGACTTTTAAACTTTGAACTTGTGGTGAGCCAATCGCTGGGCTCAGTTTTACCTATCGACCCGCCCGGAACTCGGTAAAGTTCTCGGTTAAGGAATTTGCTGACACATTACTCATCATCGCTTAGTAAGCCAAGGCGTGAAAGTTACCGGCTCCTTCCAAAACGTGGTGTTTAATTGTCAAAACCTGTCAATATTTCAAAAAATATTGAGAGAAAGGAAATACCATCGACATCGAATATGACACTAACGGATATTACCGAGAAAAGACTAGAGCAAAGGTAGGTTGTTAAGGTACACGTGTAAGTAAAGCTTGCATCAGATCCACTAGGCGTTATCATACTACAGCTAAAGTTCATTAGATACTACCCTACATAGCAATAAAGTGGTTAAAGAGATATTCACATAGCGTGTTGTCTTGTGAATATGATGCACCAGGTTACAATATTTAATTATCACTTGTTGTCTTAAAAGAATTTTATCATGTCTAATGTTGATAGAGATGAAGTTATTGTTTTAGATCGTTAAGATCGATTTTTACATAGTAAATTATTGATAGTTCGTCTACATAAACAATAAATGTGCAAAATATTGTTTCCTAGCAGATTGGAAAATGTTATAACAATGTATTAGTATCTATGGCAACAACATCAATTTATATCCAAGGTATCATTTCGTTATTTACAGAAACATGGCAAAGACAAGTTTTGCATTCAAAGAAGCCTTACAACAGGCGGTGAAAGAAGGACGTTCCACCATTGGTGGCTATGAGTGTGCCAAGCAAATGCAGGGGTAAGCTTTTTCTATACTTTTAATGTCGTGATTTTGGTATTCCAAATTTTATAACATTAAATCCATTGAAATGATTTTATGAGGAAGAAAATTCTTGAAATTACAGTTGTTTTAATTTCCTTGTTGATTTGTTTAACAGGAAGGCAGATAGGTTTGCGTATTGCGTATTCCCTGAGCAGACGACAGATGACGCCATGACGAGCATAGAGAGGATTCTGTTAGAAGCCTATTGTCGAGAACATCGTATACGAATCGTGAGGGTAAGTTAAAGTGAAATGGGTTCTGATCGGGGTCGTTTGGGAATATCTCATTAAAATCGCTAGAAGAAATACAAATCCGGCAAAGTATGTCCCACCGCGAGGACGGTAACAAAACACAAACAAAAAAACTGAACTTTGTTCCTGGCAGATTCGGGCCATTGCAATCACAAGGGTAAGCAACAAATAAAACCATATTGGGGAGGTAATCAATAGCACAACGATTAAGTTGCATAATGAAAAAGTGATGTCCATGTTATGGTTGGATAGTGATCGGTGAGGTAATTAAGAATATTCTTCTTGTTTTTTACAGGTCGACAATGCCAAGAATTTGGGAAAGATGTTGTGCAAGTTATCAAACAAGCGGTACAACCGTGACAGCGACTATACCTGTGTCCTAGTTGAGGTAAGTTTGCACTTTTTTGGTAATTCATATCACAACATGCGTTATTGGGCCTCTTTTCAGCCAGGTGCACGATGTCCCTGACAACTAGTTATCTTGAGATTAAATATAACCCGTATTTAACTGTTTATCAATCATTGGATGCACAAAGCGATGATGAATAAAGAACATCGTATTTTATGAAATGAATATGATATTTAGTGTGTAAAATATAAGGGAACATAGTGTAATTCTACCAAGACATCTGTCATATATATTATAACGACACGCCTTAAGCAATAGGTATGTACAGTTTTCGATTAATAATTGTCATTCATGCATTGTTCGTCATGATTCGTTTCAATGTTTACAGAAAACCCGGAACAGTGTAAATTTAGACGAGGTGTTGTTTATGGAGAGCCATAGACAGGCGATTAAGGCGGACCCTTGGTATGTTACCGAGATCCCCTTATAGACCGGTCTCCCAACCACGCCCTTACGACTGGAACCCCATAAGTAAGTAACCTAAATATCAACTCTGTGAAAATACGTTTTAAAAAAATCACATACAAAACATTTCTTGGAATAAAGTCCAAAGTTCAAAAATGATCGTGTGTATAAGTCATTGTTTAAGTCCCAATGTATGTATACACATTACTACCTGAATGGTATTGCACAATATACGGGAAAGCTTTCGAAAGGGAGACAACTGCAATCAAATTTTATCTTATTATTATGTGATAATGTGAACAATGACTGTGTATATATTTTTCATTGTTGATTTTTGTATGATTGACATCACAGTCAAATGACAGGCACCGATAAAAGGTATTGTTTTAACTTAGATAACCGTGATGATAAAATTCCCAGAAAATTAAGATCAAATTTCATCATTTTTCCCCCAAATTTTTTATAGCTTGTTGGTTAAAGTTCTATGCATGGTAGCCATAACGTTTATGAATATTTCTCTATAACTTACATTTGTTATCGTTCCAGGGTCAACACGACAATACGTCAAAGCACTTGTGCTGGCGGGGCCGGTGATGTAACATGAAGTTGAATATCTCATATTATGGACCCTGTTGAACCACTGGTGTTCTTCATGGAAGTGATGCATTTCATGACACTTAAAGTTCGTGGGATATTTCAATTAGTGGGACATCACTGTTATGCAATGTTGCAAATTTTGCAACAGCAATATGCATATTGTTTTACTATTACATAGTGTGTGAAAAAATAGGAAAAAACCTATAAAAAATTCATAAGTAATAAACTAATGGAAAAATGGAAAAAAAAATTATCAAACAGAACTACAAAAGAAAAAAAAACTCGGAAAACGGACCAAGACCAATATTGATTATCTGTTGCCGATCATGTGTAATGCTGATTATAAATAACTGTGTATCAAGTGAAACAATTGCAATCAATGTCTGATATGGAGGTCAGACTATTAGAGATTAAGGACAGGAAGACTTGTGTGTAACACGTGTGTCAATAGTACACTAAATGCTAAGACGATGAGAATACAACAATCGTGACGGAGTGGTTTTGTACTACAATACAGACCGGCCTAACTTAGCAACATGGCATGTCTGTTTACACAACAAACCAGGAACATGTATGAAGGACAGCTGTTCGACCGTGAGAGTTTGTGCAACGTAGTAAAGAACAGTCTGGTATATCTGAAAAGAGGACATCACTGAGGAGAAGATGCTCAGCATAGCGTGCTGGATGAACATTGAAGATGATGTTCTTCATTCCATTTTACATAGTAAAAGCATTTGCTCAAATATTGAAGTAGATATTTGCAAATATCTATTCATATGTGGAAGAAAGTAAAATTGGATATTGTATATAAGTTTAAACAGCCTTTAAGGATATCTGCTGCTACAGTGTTCTCCTGCTTATTGTAAATGATATATTTAATTTTTCTCACCACAGGCATTTTACTCGCTGATGTTTAAACATATTTTATTTGCACATACAATGACAAAGGGATTTTCATCGGCAGCTATGTGCTTGTGGTCTCTGATCTGAAAAATATATGTACATAGTTAATTTGTGAGATATTCTTAAACTTATGCTGTAGATAAGGTGATTGAATAACCTTCTTGGGAATATGATGTGTATATTGTTTGATTAGAATTAATTTGGTCGATGGAATAAAAGTTTGGAAATTCAGATTTTATTGTTTGTTGTTAATGTATCAACTATTCAAACGACTTTGTCGGTGACCCTTTTAAATGTTGACAGCATGCAAAATACACCGGTACCGCGTTGCACAGTGTATGTCACATAGGGTGTGTAGGGCACAAGGTGTGAACCATCTAGTCACACTGGAAAAAAGTCCGATTAGCAGCTCCGCGGAGGTAATGAAATTATTGGAACTTGTTCAGGTATTGATAATGGTCATATCAGAGGCTGAAAAAGTACACAAATAAATAAAGATTTAGAATGTGTAAAGTATGTGATTTAACATGAAGTACACGTGTATGACTAAACGAAGTCATGTGCAAGTTACGACAAACCGCGGAGATTTTAAGTCCTCCGGCAAAGTAACCTGCTATCTCAGCAATTGTATGAAAGACACATCAATTACTGCTAGGGACCTAATTATTAATGAATGTAGGAGTGAAAAGACATTAACTATGATTTTGTGAATTTGTATACGATGGAGAGAATTAACTAAAGGTAGATTTGGCTGAAGAATATGACATCCCTAAACACAAGGATTTTTTATCCGTGTCTCTAAATTCAATATTTTTGCCAGTAAACAGAGTACAGATTTATTGTAATTTCACTGTAGACTTTGGGTTTGTCATATTTTTAAGTTTACTCGGAATGAGGATGACCGTGAATCACTGCTAGGAGATTGATATGTCTCATGTTATCCGCGAGCGTATGACTGACCTTTATGAGTCTAAAGTCCACATCGCTAAAACCTGAAGCTGATAATTCGGTCACATTAACACCAAAGCGGAAGTAGTTCATAATTTACTACTTCAACTCACTTAAGTAATTTTTACTGACGTAATTTGAAAAAAAAAATGTGCAATAATTGACAGGATTAGTTTCTCTGTAACACGTACCCATCCTGGATACTCCAGGGGTTACGATCACTTTCGCTCCCATGGAACATTGCCATGCCAAAATCGAAAGCACAAGCGAAGTAAGTTGATGTCCACAAGATGGAATCTTCAGTTTTGCCATGAAATGTTTCAGTGGTGCAGAAAGTTAACGTGATCGTAACCCCTGGCGTTTCGAGAGTGACACGTACCCACAACAAATGTTGATTAGAGTAAATTTTTATTAAAAAAAGGCTAGATATGTAAAACTAAGGTCTGCTGACAATTCAATCAAAATATCTATGACGATATATCAAAAACAACAAGAAAATACCAACATGTCAACATAATCATAACCCAAACTCAAATTCAATAAAACTAGGGCAAAGTAGTATTGATTAAACGATTAAACAGACCTTAATATCACATGGCTTCAAAAGTACATATATAGACCAACACTAAAATTAATGAAAAAGTGTATAAATCACAGGGCAATTTGTTTAAACTTGAGTATTGTAGAAATACTATTTTTTAAATTTCGGTATAAAATTCTCTTTTAATGCGATTTATTCCTATACTGATTATGTAACGGTACCGATTACATGTTCCTGGTTGTTATTTTTGTAATGACCTAATTCCAGTCTCGGTATATTTCCCAAACCCATTATTTATAGTATTCGACTGACTTAATGATTCTCGGCGTAGCTTAGATCTGAGTATATTTCCCTACCTGTAAATATCAATAGTGTAGTTTGCTCCATGAGAGGTTTTTACCCGACCTTGATTGTAATGCTTCTGAGGGACCAGCTGTGGCACAAATATGGTATAATATACCAGATTAGAAAATATGTTGCGGTGTCATTTTGTTGGGGGTTAGTCGTTAGGAATTCTGTGATTGTTTACCAAGCAAGGCTAGTGAATGTCTTGCTGAAGTCAAATTCTGAACATTGACAACCCGTTATAAGCCTGTGTTTATGTACAAAAGACACAAATGGTACCTTTCAATGCAAAGATTGTACAACAGACAAATAACACCTCCAATGCAAAGATTGTACAACAGACAAATAGCGCCTCCAATGCAAAGAGTGTACAACAGACAAATAACGCCTCCAATGCAAAGATTGTACAACAGACAAATAACACCTCCAATGCAGTTTGTACAACAGACAAATAACACCTCCAATGCAAAGAGTGTACAACAGACAAATAACACCTCCAATGCAAAGATTGTACAACAGACAAATAGCACCTCCAATGCAAAGACTGTACAACAGACAAATAGCACCTCCAATGCAAAGATTGTACAACAGACAAATAACACCTCCAATGCAAAGAGTGTACAACAGACAAATAACACCTCCAATGCAGTTTGTACAACAGACAAATAACACCTCCAATGCAAAGAGTGTACAACAGACAAATAACACCTCCAATGCAGTTTGTACAACAGACAAATAACACCTCCAATGCAAAGAGTGTACAACAGACAAATAAGACCTCCAATGCAAATTTAGACTGAGATTCAGTAGAGTGTAATCTGCATCATACAGTTGTTTCTTCTTACTCGGACTCGTCAGTGATGCGAAGGTTCTTAATTATTGAAACCCAAGAGGCGACTGAGGAATCTACAAATCGGTCGAAACTTATGTCAAAAACCGTATGCGAAAGTGTACTAACACAAGAATTTTAAACAAACGTATAAAACAATATTCTGCTCCTATTCGAACGAATTAAACAAAGCATGCAAGTAATGGTAAACATCTTGGACTCTCCCAATACTGTTTACCACCTGCCCTGTTTACCACGTGTCAAGTTTACCACCTGCACTGTTTACCACGTGTCAAGTTTACCACCTGCACTGTTTACCACGAACACTGTTTACCACTTGTACTCTTGAACATTGTAAAGAAGATACATTTAAGAATAGTACCTTTCAATCCAAATTCACAATTGTCTTTTAAAAATTGCTATTAACAAAACTAGAAACACCGCTTGCTGACATCTTTCTAAATTACCATGTCACTGTTTGTAAACTGTTCGATACTTCATTGTTGGTGTGGAATATTATACAGCGTTTGTCATGGTATTTATTACGTAATTGTTTACAAGAAGGTTCAGGTAACTTGAATGTTATACATACCAGTGGGTGTCATTTAGCTACTGACATGTTCCTGGTTTATTTATATAGAATTGATTTGTAGTCTTTGTAAATCTTTCCACTGTGGGAATTAACAGGCTAGAATGGCAGACATGTAATAATTAGTGCACATTTAAGCTAAATATAGATTGTGCGGTATGTAGGGTGTATAGACTTTTCCATGCCTTTCGAGGCCAGTGCCAAATTTGACACATATATACTTAGTAGAAGTTTTGTTGACATGGAGTTTTTATAGCTAGTAACTATTTCTCATACACTGTGAATCGTTTTAAAAGAAATACTGCGTAGGTGAACGATCGACCTGTGTTGGTCTTTATGTGTTCTCATTTTTGGACAGGCTGAAACTGATAACGAGACATTCGTGACAGGCTAGATAACAGAAGTATAGAAAACACTGAAGTATTAAAAGGGGGTCACAAGAAACTATATTCAACGGTTATCGAGTCCCTTTTCACTGATTTAGATATACATATATAACTAAGTTTTGTAAATTGCCCGTGAAGAAAAGAAGATGCAAATTGCAAATACTAATCATTGTTAAACAAAAACGTAACAAAAACATCTTTAGATAGACCCTTAACATCACTTACGAGTCGTAAAAGGACAAACATCTATATAAGGTAGTTTAATCTCAAAAGTGTATTTCACTTGTGTGGTTTTGTACTATCTTTACAATTTATACAACATTTGTACATAGATAAGACCTTCTTTTCTTTCACGTGGTATTAACTTGATTACTCATTTTCTGTTGATTTAATTTTCAACAGTTCAACTGATATATATATTCGTGAATCATAAGATTTTGATGACAAGCTTGTAAGAAAAGAGGTATTGAAATGGCCCATTTTAAATTTAAATGTCTGTTTGCATGATCTCTATTATTCCCGAGTTGAATGAACAAACAAAATATCTATTCACAACATCTGGATGTTTTGGTGAACTCTTTATTTCATTATGATGGTTGTACGCAAGTATAATTACTATTCGAATGTTGATCACGAAATAAGTAGAATGCATTCATTTTCCTTTAGACATGTGTTTACGTCACATGTAAAACCCACGTCCTATATGTTGAACCATTTGTACTAAGCGGAACCACGGTCAACGTGCATCACTTTCACTACTCATCTGTCTTCCCACCGTATCAAAATCAACTTATCTTTGTATGATTTTCTCTTACCATAACTTGTTATCAACACCTTTAAGATAACGATCAATTATATTACTAATGTAAGTAAACAAATCTTTGATGCATTGTCTTGTTAGTGACGTAACTCACACCAGAAGACTCGCCCACCTTTTCTCGGAAATTATGTACAAACATTTATATTGAATGCATAAATGCTCCCTGTGTGTTTATTACACAGAATTACGTAATGTAACTAACAAACGAGAAAATTGTTTGTCAATATCCACAACAAAAATCATCGTGAGTTGACATTTATGGTTTGCAGCCAAGTCTTATGAAATAATCAAAATCTAGATTGATACTCCTCTATACAGCGTAGTCACTTAGAATTATCGTATAATATAACCATATAGATCGTTCCAGGTCATAAGAAAGTTTTCGTGTCATATGATCTGCGTCCTTTACTTTGTGATATAGGTCTCTTCATTGTGGGTTAGATTCTACGGTTGCGATAGACACATAGAAATGTGTCCTCCAATACAAACTTTAAACGCATGACTTTAAAATCGGAGTTACTTATTCAGATTAATATTTATTTATGAGATGAACTTTCTTAGTATTATTTTTTTCAGAGTTTTCCGAATTAGTATTGGTAAATGCTCAGCATCTATCATGACCTTTTGTCGGGTCAGTTCAGGTGAGAGTATTAAGTATGCAGTTTTGTCTTTAGGAACAACACATCTCTTACGAGGGCTGATCGATAAGTTGTGATCCTCATATTTAAGGGTTTGACTTTCGGCAGACATATTGCATTATTTTCAACGTAATTCCCTTCAGTGTCTGTGCACTTTTGCAAGCGATGTTTAAAGGCCTCAATGCCACTTTTAAGGAAGTCCATTTCTTGACCGAACAGACAGTCCTCCACTGCATGTATGGCGTTATCATATGACCGATAGTGGATACTGGAAATGACCTTTTCACTTTTCTAAATAAATGAAAGTCTGATAGAGCGAGATCAGGCGAAAAGGCGGTTGCTCAAACAATTCAAAGCTACTAGCGTTAATGGAAGTCATGGCAATGACAGACTTGTGAACAGGGGTATTGTCCTGGTGGAACAGCACACCTTTACCGAGTCTTCTGCGGCGCCTGAGTTTGATATTTTCTCTTAACTGCACACGAAGTGATGCATATAATGAGTAATTGATTTTATGTTCCTTTTGCAGATAATCTACCATCAGAATGCCATCAGCATCCAAGAAAACCGAGGCAATAACAATTCCAGCTGATGGAACAGTCTTTGCCTTCCTTGACGGGGGTCAACCAAGGTGATTCCAATGTTAAACCCACGATTCATCCATAGTAACAAACCTATGTTGAAAGTTAGCAGGATATACCTCTAAAAGGTTAAGATTATCACGCAACAAATTCCGCTTGGTAGCCTTGGTACCCAAAGGGCTGAGATTTTTTTCATTGTAAGATCTTCCGTAAAAATGAAATGTACTCTTTCTTGTGAAATCCCAACTGTACTTGCTATATACCTCTCTGTAATTCGCTTGTCAGCCAAAATAATATTATGGACTTTATTGACCATTTTTGGGTTGCAACAGTGAGGAGTCTTCCGGGAAGGGGTCATACATTCCGCCACCCACCTTTTTACAGTAGCATATGCTGGGTATCATTCCCTAGTGTTACTACCATATCAGTAGGGATATTCTTAGGTGCTAGACCTTTCTTATATTGAACCACTACTCTCTCAGCGATTTTGTCTATTTTGCAAAAGTCACTTGCCTTGTTTACTTTGGCGAGCTACCTCTTCGACATAAACTGACCACATGATACAAGTCTTCTGGTACACAGCCTTAAATAGCCAATGAATAGAAGAGCTAAAGAAAAGGACATACCTGCTTAGTTTTCTCAATACAAGACTCACAATTTATCAATCAGTCCTCGAAACATAATTTGTATATTTTAATATTTTCTGTTTTATTTTTGTTGTTGTAATTGTTCGATAAGGAACAATAGTAAGGTATTGGCTGTTTCATCTGATTTCAGTGAACTTAATGATATAAGGCTTTAAACTATGATATTTCAGTCCCTCACCAACAACAAGTGTGCAATATAACATAGATATTTTCTTTAAATATGCAAACCTTGAAAAATCGATAATAGTGGTGAGATCGGTACACCCAAACTGTATAACGTGATATATAAGTGGTTAGGCAGTTTGGCAGAGGAGGAAGCTTCTAGAACCAGTGCATAACCCGTATATCAAGGAATATGGGTTACTGGGACATATAAACCTAATGGTGCTGTCAGATATCTAAGCATGACTTTGGTAGTGTAGTTCCTACGTGTCAGACACAAGTGTCTGTCCTTATTCTCACTAAAATATACAGTTCGCGCAAAGCACAAAGCCCTGATGACAAACTGAAAACGGCAGTAACTACATGTTTTTTTGTACTTTTAAAACATTGCCAAATTACTCCAAATTAATTGTATGTGTGATGAGAAAACAATCTTTGAACGAAACTAAGGTTACTCGATGTAATCTTAGCATAAAAATGTCGCCTACATAAAAACCAAGTCAAAGTAAGTGAATAAATTCCAGACCGAACAGCAGCTTTTAGGTATATATAAGTATATAACATTGGCGTTCTAAACCCTGACACGTACACTCGTGATCCTGCATCGGTACATGTATTCTGTGCGGTGTCGATAACTGGAACAGTTCCATAACTGTGCCTTAGGGTGCTCCCACCCTCAGGGTTGTCTAAGTGGGGTGTCGTATCATGCTCTGGTGCTTTGTTAGATACACCAGGTCGCAGCAATTAGTTAGACGATAAGATTGTATTTATGTTTTACCAAGTTCTAACAACGTGTCAGAAAGACCAGTCTTTGATAAAGGTGTGTTTTATAGAGGAGTGAAAAGTCCATTTTGTTGTATGTCCATGTTTACTGATAATAAGGTTCGATTTTGGATGCAATTAAAACTCAAATGAAACATCTCATTTTAATACTGTAGTAATATGAAAATTGTATTTGTAACTAACGGATTTGTTCTGGCGAGCCATGGGAACATTCACGGGCTGTTCAGGACATAGACTGCTTCTGTCCCTGATATCAGTAGTCAGTCACATGTCTTACACCGTGACGTTACGTTAGAGTATAAGTAAAACTATCGATCTGGTTTCTGAACCCAACTTATATAAAGATGTAAGAAGGTACGCCACTTCTGGCTTGAATTCACACGGTTATGTCAGGTCGTGTTGTGAATGAACGCATACCTTTTAAGGCTTGGCATCGTATGATGTTATTAAAATAGCATACGACAGTTAAATCCATTTTATGACCAAGATCAAGCATGACTATGAATTGAAACTACTTGTATATATAAAAATAAACAGTTCACAAACAAGTCTGGTTTCATGTCTTGGGAAGTATTTGCATAACAGTATTGGCATTTCATAATTAGCTGTATCATTAACTGATTTTTGTATCATTTATCAATATAATAGTTTATTTTGTGTGATTTCTCATAACTTTTTCCAAATTTACCTGAAAGTGTAGCATTTGTAATATCTAACATACATGATGTTTGTAATTTGAATCATACTTTCCATCAATAATGTTGAGTTAAATTGTAAAATTATTAAAATAGTTTTAAAACTTGATATATGATATATGTAATTTCTAAACATATCTACTGTTCGTTTACCTCACGCTTAACACGAGTGTTATTTACTAATAACACTAGTTTGTAATGATCGACCTGAGTTACATGGTGTTTATAAAACATTAAGGTATATACACCTGTGGAAATGTAATAGATATCCTGACTTTCCGGATGAGGACTAGGTCACGATGTATGTCAGTTTAGTCATGATGCCTAGTGGGGTAATTCAACCAACCAAAGCAATGCAAAGTAGTATCCACCATTCTTTGTGTTTTGTTAGACATATCATTTTTTATCCGTCAAGATTAAATGTTAAAACTGAGCATATATATAAGGTTGTAAATTAGAACTGAACTGGTTAATGTTCAAAAGCACCAAACATGAACATGAACTATAATATTTCTGTCTAGTTTTTCGACCCACTCTCATTTTCTCTGCTAAAACTTGAACATAGCTGATATTTTGTCGAGTGTCTCGAGTTATCTTCTACTGAAACTCGAACATGGACCGTTTGTCCATTATCTGGAACTATCCCGTTTTTCCTGAATCATGGACTTGAACTGTGATATTCTTGTCGAGTATTTCTAGGCATCCTGTTTGCTACTGAAACTTAAACATCAGCTATGGTATTCTGTATAAGATATCTGTAGCTACCTCGAGTATCTGCAGCTACCTCGAGTATCCTGTTTTTTTATCGAGACGTTAACTTTCAGTTTTATCATTTTGCCTACTTTTATTTTGAAACACAATTTATCATCCAAAACATTGTTATGAAATATCGGTAAGTGATAGCCAGAAAAGGATAACTGTGTTTGTGCATTTCTGGGAATTGGTAATAGAGCGAAAAGCTATGTTGAAGGAATGCGTTCATCACATAGCCATATTATGTGGTTTCTGTGAGGGTCGTTAGGTATAACATGCAATACGGGAAACACGCCGCTGTGCAAAGTGTCATATCTAGATATACGTTGTTTAGCGACTGTGAGTTTCAGCACGGACTTTGATTAGATATTAACACGTGGAAGGTTAAAAAACATTGTCAACAAAAATATTTCAAAATTACAAAAGTTACATTAATTCTTCTTTCGAATGGAATAAAATTTGTAAATCTATATACAATGTAAACTGTACTTGTAAGGAAGAGACAGAACTGTTCACAGCTATATTTGTATTTATAATACAGTAGCTTTAAGAACAAAAATATCTATTTTAAAAAAACTATGACTCAGCCAGTCATTGTACTTATTTCGGAAGTATTGTAGTTATGTTTGTCATCATCTAATGGAATTTTTGTAAAACACAATGAAAATTTGTATATCCGCCTTGCAAAAAATTCCAAAAAGGAAGGATATTATGTAATTCAATTGAAATTATTCTTTCTTGCATGTTGGGATTAAGTAAAAATGGGAAGACAACTACATTTGACAATCAATGGTATAGAACCCTTGTATGATCTAAAATATTCCTTATAATTACGAAGTCGGGTATTTTCCTCAAATTCTATTGGGATCTTAAATGCATTGTTTATACTGTCACGCCTACTGCACGTCTTCTTTGTCGGATATTACATGTAATTTCTATTTATAGAACAAATTGTACTTGTCGAAAGATATAGAACCATCTAGCACTGCTATATTTGAAGTTATAATACAGCAATACCCAAACAAGGAACATATACCTGAACGGGGAAAAATACTTATGACTAAGACAAACCTATACTTATATGGGAAGTCCCGTACCTATATTTGGTATCATCTAAGGTAACGTTGAAAAATCAATGAAAAAATGTATCGAACTTCGGTAAAAAGTCCACGGTGCACATTATTTAAAAGAACATATTGTATTATAATTTAAATTACCGAATCTAGCATGCTAATTAAACAACATAATACTCGTGAAAACGAAAATGAAATATCGGTTGAGGATTACACAAGATGTCAGGTAGTACCCTGGCTAACCAGGTACATTCCTTGTTGAGGTCACAGCTTAATGTGTATCAGCCAATCAAATTCGTTTTGCGCTAGGGAATCCCCAACGAACTAGACAACACCTAACTCGTGACTGTGTTCTTCATTCCTAACCCAGATCTCAATCTGAACAGACGTATTTGGAACAGTGGAAGCTAGCATAAATATTTGGTGCGAGAAGTATTTTATTTCATAGAATGACCCTTCCGGACGAATACCCAGAGGATACTGGAGCCTTGAGTGAGCTGTAAGTGATATGTTTTGTTTGTTTTTAACTGTTTAGCAACTCATTTATGTCAGACGTGTTTTTATGATGCAATTCTGAATATACAATAAGAATGTTCCCTTAGCAATAGGTAATTAATTTACTAATAAATGTCATCTTAAAACTAATTTACAATTGTTTTTATTTTATAATTTTAACTCTCAACCATATAATAAGTTGCTGTTGCATACATGCGCATCAGAAAAAATCTAAAAATAGATATGTGCCAATCTAACCTAGTATGGCTCTATGCCAGGCCGTCCGGTTCATTCCAGAACTTCTATTTTTGATTTTTGGGATTACATGAAAACTTCGGTTTGTTACAGGGTTCTGCATGAAGTGAGGCGGTCACTTGAGAAGTTATTAAGGGACGCTCACGTTGACCACAGACTGACCACTGGCGTATATAACTGTGCTGAAATGTTGCAAAGGTAATGTATCTTTGAAATATAACTAGTGTAAATGACTTGTATTTTCAAGGATTCGTCATATTTTAATATACATGTTAATTCAACAAAAAAACAAAACAAAAACAAAAAACAAAAAATAAATAACTAAAAAAATAATTGAATGGTAATGCATAAATTGGCATTAATGTCTGTATGTGTTGTTCTCACAGGTGCCCTGATCAAGTTATGTTATGTATCCTGCCGGATTCTGGACCAGGGCATGACGTAACCATAGACATCGAACACACACTGATAGAGGCGCATTGTTGGGAAAACGACGTCAGAGTGTTGAAGGTACGTGCATGCACTTTTTTATTTTATCAATGTCGATGTGAAGGTCGTGCATGCGATGTATGGACAAAACCGTTTTTAATTTCCACTAATTTCTAAAACAATGATAACCTGTTTTGTAAATATTTATGTTGTTGAGTTCTGAGGTTGACGTATCACTTAACTATTTACATATTGTTCATTTTTATTTATTGTCCATGATTTTACAGGTTGGCAACGCCCACGCCTTGCACAAAGTTCTACAAAATGACGTATCACTGAGAGAGAAGAAGATGGTTTCACGAAAACAGCCCCAGGACATTGACTTATCTTGTCTTCTGATCAAGGTATGCATCTAATCCTTGATTACATATTTACGTAATGTCAGGCAGCAGCGAGCAACAGCGGTATATAAGATAATTGTTTGAAAATAGCCTTATCATTCAAAGATCTGAGATCAAATGTTGTTATTTTTTTAAATTTGAGATTTTGAGGTATAATGAAGTTCGGTCTACCAGAGACCGTTATACTACTTGCAGATGATCAGAACTACACATGAAAAGACCCCGCAGCTACATCATTTACTATTAATATTTTCATTAATTATTGTTGTTTAATTACAGTACCCGAAGGAAGTCGGAGAGGAATGTGAATGGCTGGACGTGGAGAAATTTTGCAACTGGTGCCTGAAGCACGACGTGGTACAATACATAGATATACATACACCCGATTGATATCAACCCTGTAAATAACAGGTAAGCTAAAGAATAACTAACATATTTACTGAAACATTTTGGGAATCTGTGAAAACAATTTTATCAGTAGGCCACGTCAGAGAGGTTTTAGAGGGTTACATCAGTGTTGCCATAGGCTGTTTATTACGTAAAATCTGACGCAATGTTGTGGGTGTTTGATATGGTACTAATAGCTGCCCTTTGTACTTGTAGAGGACTTTCCTAGAGTCATCATCTTTGAGAAATCAGATACTACGACAGTGGTATACTGGACATCAATACCCCAGATCTCATCTAGGTCAGAATGGTCAAGCTGCACTCCGGCCATACGTGATGAAATGTGTGTGCCCAAGTAAGAGCGAGGTCCGGCCATGATAAACTTCGCACCTGGCGAAGTTATACTGTTTGTGATCCAGCAAGAGTAAGCGCTACCAGTTTCAGACTACATGAGGTCATGAAGTAGAACGTCACAGCAGTTGTACTCTCTGTGCCCATGAAGAGTTTACATTGTCATCGTGTGATCATGAAGTAGAACTTCACAGCAGTTGAACTCTCAGTGCCCAGGAAAAGTTTACATTGTCACCGTGTGATCATGGAGTAGAACTTCATAGTAGTTGTACTCTCTGTGCCCATGAAGAGTTTACATTGTCACCGTGTGATCATGGAGTAGAACTTCACAGCCGTTAAACTCTCAGTGCCTAGGAAAAGTTTACGTCTTTGTGGTATGATGTAGTGGAAATTCACCGCATTTGCTGTGTCTGTGTACCGATATGGCAATGACAGACTTGATGAAGTCATAAAGTAGAACCTAATAGCAGTGACACTGTCAGTGACATGGTTTAGTGTGAATTATTAAAACTTTGTGACCAAATAAAACTGAACAGCCGAAGCTGCAACTTCACGATACGACGCGAACTTAATTGTTTGTTAAAGAAGTTTCTGAGACGGACTAATCGAGCCAGTTTTTATTATGTAGAAATAGAGCCGGTATTATCATATATGATATTATATAGTTGTGAAAAGTCCTCATGATTGGTAAATATAATAATTAGCATGACATAATATTCAGAATATTTGCAAGGGAATGATATATAAAACTGACAAGTGTATTAATAAAGATATTATTGTACATTTATAATTTGTTCAAGTTTTGCTATATCATATGATCAATTACATGCTGCAAGATGCATATCAGTGTAATCGACGAAAGACCGAAGAATCAATCGAGTTCAACAGATTTTACCGATAAATTGAGGGATTTACAACTTAGACGAAATATGTTCACACGACCTTCAAGGACGAATTTGGTTCTGGTGAGAGTTTTTGTATCATACAAGTGGTTCTTATTATAGCAATTTTTATGACTGGCCAAGTCACAAGACTGCTAATGTATATCAGTCTCCGAGATAGGTCAGGTCGCAGGACTGTCATATTGAAATGAGGTCTACGTTAGTCACATGACTGCCATATCAGAATAAGGTCTACGTTAGTCACATGACTGTCATATCAGAATAAGGTCTACGATAGTCACATGACTGTCATATTGGAATAAGGTCTACGTTAGTCACATGACTGCCATATCAGAATAAGGTCTACGTTAGTCACATGACTGTCATATCAGAATAAGGTCTACGATAGTCACATGACTGTCATATCAGAATAAGGTCTACGATAGTCACATGATTGTCATATTGGAATAAGGTCTACGATAGTCACATGACTGTCATATTGGAATAAGGTCTACGATAGTCACATGATTGTCATATTGGAATAAGGTCTACGATAGTCACATGACTGTCATATTGGAATAAGGTCTACGATAGTCACATGACTGCTGTATTGGAATAAGCTGCCTGATAACCACATGACTACTATATTTGAATAAGGTAAAGAACAGTTGCGAACGTGAAACTCCTATATTGTAATTTATATGTCAGACGGTAAAGTTGCAATAGGTCAGGTCACGAGACTGCTAATGTGTCTGTGGATGAACGAGTCCTGAGGCTAATGAACGTTATCAATAAAAGTAGTAATATTTTTTTTCAAAAATATAATAAAATAATATTAATGAACGAATCAGACCGACTCTTGTCTAACGGAATCGATATAAAATGCCTGGTGTGGTAATTAAAATGGCATTTTCTATTTATCTCTTACATTAGTTTTTAATCTCCCTCAATGCAAGTAAATATCATCCATCTTCTATGTGTTGATAACAACATGAACAAAACAATAGGAGGTAAACAATGTCAGTTATGACCCCATTAAAACGTACATCATACAGAAAACGTAAACAAGTTTATACTGTGACACGCAAATCTATTTCGTCTGGAGTAACGGACGAGTTATCTCCCTTGTGAAACACATGCACACTCTAGCCTTAATGAATTTTGTGTCGTCGAGATAACATAACAGTTAACACGTCTTTGAAGAGTAACACAGATAACACCTTGACAACACCGTAAGAATTAAACATTTCAAAAGCTACAATACACTGTCCTTTATTTATTTACCTTTACAATGAATTTCCCTAGCTTAGTGATAATGAATGCTCCAAAGAGTTTCTGGTTGACAACATCATCGTCAAGTTTGGCGGTAAGATCTTCCAACAGACTGTTGCTATACCTTTGGCAAATAACTGCACCCCAACATTGACTGTCTTAAATTCTTTTCATATGAGACTGAATTTATCAAAGAGCTTATCAAAACAGATCTGAGAACTGACAAAGTCCTTCAATTTCACTGTCAGGTAGATGCATTGATGATGATGATGATGATGATGATGATGATGTCTTGACTTTAAATAAGAAGAGAATTATTGATCACACCCATGATCGTTCCATACCATATAATAACAATCAAAATTGGAAATCAAAGACACGACAGACTTTCCCACATCAGCCGCTTACCTCGATCTTTTCCTACAATGAAACGAACATGGACAGCTTTCCAACAAACAGTATGATAAGCGTGATGATTTCAATTTTCTTGTTGTGAGTATTCCATTTCTGGATAGCAACATCAGGCATAGCAAACCTATGGTATTTACATGTCGCAATTGATTCGATATTTAAAGGCCTGTGTCCATTACTACGATTTTAGTGCAAAATGTCGTCAACTGCCGGACAAACATGTGGTTTTTAACCGAGATGCAGGTTGATGAAAATTATTGTGGAGTTTTACGGTCGTTATAATGATCTCATTGAGAAATATTCTATTTCTTTTTGCGATTTGATGCTGAATGTGTTTGATGCTAAATTGTTTGCCTGTTAGTTTCTACTTACTAGGATTGACAAAGATTTACGTGACGGGTGTCTTCAATGAAGCAGAAGACTCTTACTCTTCCCGAACACTTGGTCTTATTATCCTTGTATTTTTTCGGGATTCTCTGTGCATATATTTCTTTTGATTATATTTTGCCCTGGGTTTTTGAGTTTGAATTATGATTATGTTCACTTATTGTTATTTTCTTATTGTTTCTGAAATTATGTATATTCAGTAAATTTAAAGCTTGAAAACAGATTTTGAAAGAAAAAATCCTTTATTCTGGATGTCTAGGACATGTTGATAGGGTTAAATTCATCTTCAATCTTATTTGGTCATATTTATTACAATACTTATTATTTCGGGCAATATTTCTATCTCTGCCGGTTTCTATAGGAGTTTAGTAATTGCAATTCTGCGTTGCTTTGGTAACGATTTAGTTTAAGTCATATTGCAGAGTAACATTACCTACAACATTCCTATTTCGGTCACATTTGTTTAAAAAATAAACACACAACGAGTTAAACCAAGTTAGTTTGTCTGATCGTTTTATATGCGGTTTGATTAAAAGTAATGAGATGCTAGCGGGAGGAATGTGCCTCACCCATATATAGCCCAAACCAACTGTAGAAAATATCTGTTTAACAGCGCTCGTTTAGGCAGCTTGGCACAGACTATTTATACCGATGACTACATAGCCGTCCATAGGATGAGGCAATATATAATTATAGAATCAAGAGCCACAATCATGATTTAAAACCTTCAAATGAACTACGTGTATTTACATAATCAATGCTTCCTACAAAATACCAAACATGATCTGTGACTGTTTGCTTATGGCACATTTTCGATCATTAACGGTCACATGATTACTCTCAAGGAGATATATCTAGTCATTATAGATTTACAGGATAGGCTACAAAATACGTACATAATTTAACATTCTATCCCAGCTTAATATTCAAACATATAAATGAAAAAATGCTTTTCGGCTTAATCCTGGACTAAGATAAGTCTTGGAGTATAGCACATGAAGACTCTTTACTATGACCTAATTGGATAGAATGACAATAATTTACCAATAAGCAAATACATTTAAATAAACAGTAATGACAATGATATTTTAACGCATGTTATTTTTCATGTTGGATTAAATCGTGGAACGACATCCATATAAAATTCAAAATTTATTTATTTATTTACTAGTTTAATTATATATAAGATATATATTTATATATATTTAAGATATATAAGTGGCAATAAGGAAAAAGAAAAGCTGGCAAAATAAAATCTGAAATATATTACATACATAGACTTGAACTCATCGATTGGTCATTTGAATGTCTTGGACCATAATGATTATCATATATTGAACTGAAGACCTGCAGACAGTCATGCATTCTGTTTATTACTTCACCCCTTCTAAAAGCATCGTGTTTTGTTTTGATTTGCAGCACGTTACACATGGACGGATATGCAGTTGACACTCATTTTAACAACGTGATTATCAACTCAAATATGCTTACAAATATGTTAGTTTGGTTTCCAAATTATGACAAACGAGACTTGTTGGTTAAAGTGAAAAAATCCTTTCGACGGATAATGTGATAAAGATAATGACCTGCCGTGGCAGATCAAGGAATCTTTGGTTAAGAGATATACAGAAATAGTGTGTGAGGTATCATCCATCATGTCTTTTATTTACAATGTTTGAGATGAGATGCATTATTCAGCGTATCAAATATAACTTCTACAGTATTAGGACTGTATGCAAGGTCTTACTGAACTTAAAAGGTCATGTCCTTGCCTAAAAATATGTGACATCATATCTTAAAATAGATTCCCAGGCACCAACAATCAGCTTTCAGATTGTAGCGATAAGAGGCATACCTCAGGACAGGGGTAAATTTTACACAGTTATATCCCTTGGACTGTACAGATTCGTAACAAATCTGGCCTACCCAAAGTCCGCTACTTGATCGTTCTGCTCTGATAATACATTTCCGAGAATTTTCAGCGGAATGTTCTTACTGTATACTGTAAATCTATATTCGATGACAACCTTTGCACATCAAGACACGTAACAGCTATTCCTGTGCTGATTATATTCAGTGTGGTAGATTCATGTATAAGAAGTATAAAAATTACATCTATAATATTGTAGTTTATGCATTCTAATTTCATATAAACAGGCAGATAATTATAAAAGAAGTAGCAACTACACTTAATGATAACCAAATCAACATATAGGACTCTACGTAATACTTCACTTCCAGGAAACGATCACGAAAATCTACATGCACAGTGTTGCGAACAACGTGATCGCTCTCCTGGTAGAGCTCAATCTAACTATACATTACCAACATTCCATTAAACTATAACCCATGAAATGATAATGGTACATGCGTAATGCTCCGTAAGTTGACTAAAGTTATAGGTAGATAGGTGATAGCAAAACTACTTAGCATTAATAATATCTATTGTTAATATATTCATGATCGATGACACAATACCTGAACTGTAACATAATATTAATGCATAGGCACTACTCTTTGATGACATTTGATTTCCTTATCTGTTGCTAATAGGTTATATTAAACACACTGTTTCCTGGAATATTAATATAGAAACACAAAACATTGGTAATTACCAATCTGGATTAAGATGTTATTAGCCTGTCGTTGTTGTAGACTCTGCATGTGTAATATGCAAAATATTGTTTTAAAAACAAACGTAGATGATATTTACCTATAACCTTTAATCAATAACTAATTTTCAATTTTCAAGTTTGTCATAGTTTGGAAACCAAACTAACATAATTATTGGCATATTTAGGTTGATAATCACGTTGTTAAAATGAGCGTCAACAACATA